CGTACCCCTAGTAAAACTGTGGGAGACTTTACAACAAAGCAATATAAACTCAGAAATAATAAAGACGGTTATCAAGGAACAAGATCGAGAGTTAAAACAAGTTATGGATTAACAACAGGATTTACAGTTACCAAAGGTCTTAAACAAGGTTGTTGCATGTCACCAACGCTATTTAAAATTTATTTGGAAAATGCACTAATGATTTGAACGCGAAAGTGCAAGAATATGGGAAAACCAGTGGGTGTCGAGTATACAGTTTACACTCTATCGTTCGCGGATGATCAAGATATGGATGGCCTGCAAACTGAAGGAGGGATATGACAAGTGGGGTTTGGAGAACAACAAGATCTACGGCTTGGAACAGGGCATACCACTAAAGACTGCAGTGGATACAAACATCTGGGAATGAAAATCGACAAAGGCGGGACTCTGGACGAAGCAATAGCAGAGAGGAACGTACAAGGAAGAAGAACAATTTCGATGTTAAGCAATGTACTATGGGACAAAAATGAAAATGTAAATAAAACAACTTTTTTTCAGGTATTGATTCACCGATGGAAAAATGTGATGACAATATATTCCGCAATATCATCCGTTCGTTTGTTGAACTCCGACTGGAATCTTGCAGACGTTTCGCCAAGATGTGGCAAGTGAGATCTTGGTGAAACGTATGCAGGATTCCAGTCGGAGTTCAACAAACGAAAGGATGATATCCCGGAATATATATTATGATGATATGATATATGATTACCATCTGATTCAAAAGCCTAAGGCCAAAACACTTTCATTCTATTTTAATTTTTTATTATCTCAGCATGAGGATATTTACATTTTTACATCACAGGAAACAATACGAAACTACGGCTCTCAGATGAGAGATAGCCCGACTAAAAGTATTACAAGTACTAAAAGTATTTGATCCTTTTATCATGCGATCTTGGTATAGTCTGTCACAATATTCAAATATCCATCGTGCTGGCTTTTGCCCGCAATTATGAAAGTTACCTGCCGACCGGAATAAAACTCGATTCCGGTAGGTATTAAAAGACAGAACATTAGAGATGGACTCTCACAAAACAATGACATTAACTATATAGAATAAATTCATAGCTAGGAATATTTATACATAAGTACATTTTTATTCTAAATGTCTAAATCTAGTTCTGTTTCACTATCAAAGTCGTCATTGCGATTAATTATAATGGGATTTATGTTATTTTGTATAGAAATGTAAGAGTCCTCAATGTGCTCTACTGAATTTTTCCAGCATTTTTTATCAAATTTATTATACTGAGACTTAAAGCAGGAGTAACATTTTCTGCTCTGACTTTTGCCTTTACTTAAAACAGTATGTTCAGCCAAAATATAACGTACAATTAGCATATGAATTTAGGACTTCCAAAAATGGCGCCTTTTTGTAACTGGATTTAAAATAAATATTATTTTCTAACCCAGCGTTTTCCTTTATTTGAAGGTGCTTGCATCTGTCAGTTTTGAGCGGAATCAACCCATCTATACAGAGTCGTGCGTATCGAATCGTGTTTCATAAATGTAAATTATGGATGTGTTGTCTAATCTATATCTTTTAATTTCTTGAAAGTAATTAAATCTTCAAGTGCGTAATCTGTGTGATTCCATTACTACTTCCCTTTTGTCTATTTCGCTATTTACTTAAGTCCCATTTTACAACCAACTCCATCGAGGATGGCTTATATTGGTTTTATCTTCTTCCAGCTTCTTTTTCAGTTAATCGAAGGTAGGAGCAACTTCGCTTTGATAAAGACAATATTTTTCGCTTTTTATTAGGTCCTGATCACTATTGCCTATACGGTGAGTTTGCAAATCACTACATTTATCCCTTTTCTTCAATTCTCCACTATTAATATTGGCGTTTTTGTAAGTGGACAGGTATCTTTTGAAGCTTCTTGTTTCATACACATTTTTCACAACCTGTTTTGCATTAAGCGACCAATTATTTCGGCGAGACTTTGTTATATTCTCGCAAAGTAAATTTTAATAATAACTTACTCAACACTGCCACAAATAGCCAACATTCTCACTCAAGTAAGAATAAATTTGTTGTTAATGGCTGTACCCAATAACAATAGGTAATAACATAGTTAAATCTTTATTGGGAAGGGTCCGTCGAAAGACAACACGATGAAAATTGAGATAGACTATACGTGAAAGTGTGACAGGACAATATCTATCTAAAATGTCATACATACCTATTAAAATAACCTGAAGCGGAACATCCTAGCACATTACTGACACTTTATTTTAATGCTGGGATCAATTTTAAATTATAAATAGTGAATAAATGATCAAAATAGAAATTTTTTCTTTTTCTTTTGTACTGTTCTTTACAATAGATGGATTATGAGAAAAAAATAATTTAGAATTTTTAATTCACTCATAAACAAATTGTTTTTTTGGTTATAGACTCTACTGGTTGATAGATTAAATTGATATTTCAATTTTCATGTTATTTCGTTTTGCATTGCAATTTAAAATACGGTAAAAAACAAAACCCGATTTTAGAGAGTCAATTGCATTACCCAGTTTTAATAGTGGGAAAAATTGGAGCAATTTTAAAAAACCTCATTAAGTTTTATCGTCAAACACAAAGCCGCCTGATTATAATTTATTAATTTTCCAATCATCCTAAGCAATATTTGGTTTCTGTTTAAATCAATTAACGGGGTTATAATTGAATACCACCATCGAGCGTTGGTCAGAAATTATTTAAAATAAAGTACAAGAGATCTGGAATAGAAAAAAGATCTGTTTTATTTTAATGAAATAAATGAAAATGAAAATTATCAATATCTTATTATCCTAATTTTTCTTGAAAACGATCATACACAATATATTTACATTCTATTGAGAAATATATGCATATTTGCAGTAAAAATGGGGTAGGCATACCTAATTAAAATAAATAATGATTCACATACAAGAAGAAAAATTAAATCATATTCACCGAGAAAATTATATCAAAATGTTTTAATATTTAATTCCAACACATGATATGATTATTATATAATAGTATAAGCATTTTTTATTATGAAATAGGATTGATACAAATTAGCAATTTGGCAATTAAAATTAATCCCAGTATTCATAGTATTAATTAGATCTACACAATTTTAGCTGACGTATTACATAAGGTGTCTACATTTTTTTCATTTTAAACATAATCGGTTTGTCCTCGCAAACTCTTTTTATGCCCCCAGAGCACCTATAACATGCATATGCAAAACATTCTACGATTTTTTATATATCCCCGATTCATAACCAAGATTTCTTGGAGCTGCATTTTAGAAACGCTCTCGGAGTCACAGGTACTATAAAACAAAACAGGATAAAAAATAAACTTTTTCCAGATAAAATTGTAGACTGTGCGTATAGTTTTGGTAAGTTTTTAGAAAAATTAATAAGGGTATTAAGAGCTAATATTTGGCATTCTTTCTGCTTCAGAATGCAACGACTTGTGTTTGCGATTTCTTGATATTGTTATATAACTTCTGATATAGATTACAAATTATCACCAGACGAGCAATAATAAAACCTAGATGATATTTACATATCAAGCTAGCAAACTACAAATTCAGAAGTCACCAAGGAAACGAAGATATTTAAACAAGGCATGAAAATAGAATTAATTTTTACCTAAAAGTATCAGCAACTAGAGACAACTACTTTGAGAAATCAAAAAATTTTCCGTATACAGGGTTTATTTTTTAAAACTGTGAACCTGAATCTTGAGAAAACAAAAGAAGTTTCGCCTACAGTCACGAATGATGATCCACTACCGCCTGATGAGTTATGAGCGACATTTTTTCTAGCCAAAATTTTCGTTTTTTAAAGTTGCATTTATAAACAATCTATTGATTCTAATTATAAAGGATTGTTTTGTTTTGTTTTCAAATTATCGCAGTATTGCGCTTTTGTGTTTCTACTTTAAATGCTGCGAAAAACGAAATCGAGTTTGGAGAGTCAATTGCATTACCCGGTTTTAATAAAATTTGCAGCGATAATGGGAAAAACGGCAGCAATTTTTAAAATCCGCTTGGGGTTTTATCGACGAACAAACGCCGCCCACCTAATTCGCTAATCTATCACCTTATGCAATATTTTCCTCGTTGGCTTCTATTTATAGATAGAGAAAATAGTAACTTTTAAATGACACCTCAAAGCAATTTACAAACGACCGACATCTGTGCCGCATCGAGAAATAAAACGTGAAACTTGTCTGATAATGAATGTAAAACCATACATTAAATATTCTCTTCTCCCACTCATTATTCATCTTTTACTTTATTTTATTCTGAAGAAATTTGTTCGTTGCCATGTATTTTGAAGAAAGAATGCTAACATAGTATCCTCACTTAAAATATCAAGGAGAGAGAAATAAGCAATTGGTTATGTTTGAGAAATCCAAAACTGTTCCATCCATCAAGCTTCTTTTGTCGCTTTTGTTTTTGATTAATAAACCAATGGAACTTCAGCAAGTTAGAGAAAAAGAAACATTTCTACGAAGATTATTTTGTGTTAAATCTTATGTTAAAAAATAATATACAATTTTTATGAATTTGTGAATATGTGTTTAAAAATTTGAATGCTCTAAAAAAAATTTAAACTTAACAAAAATACTAGAAAACGGAATGAACTTCCACAGAGGTGCAAACTATTGCAAACAAATTTCATGGGCAGTAATATTTTTTATTGTTTTATCTCGATCTGGGCAAAACGAGATACATTTTGCTATTATCTACCTATTATAATGTATATATAAAATTGTTCAATAAAAAATTTATTCTTGAATGCAAACACGCCACTTCGTGTTATCTTATCAATGGCAAACATTTTTCCTCAGCTACCAGTTCTGCGTTTTAATATTTCTAATTAGTTTGCAAAGGCTTGTTAAATAATATTAATAAAGATAAATTGGGAGAAATTTCCAAGCAACTGAAAACCAACGTCGTCGTTCCCTTTACCAAATTCAGTTTCGCTTCGAACTGCTTTCTGAGACAACGTGGTTACAATTTCCCGCCACCACTGTCGCGAACTCGTAAAAACTTTTAAACTCCGCGACCCGCCCGATGGCGTCGAAAAAGCTCCGAACGCAGCATCAAACTAACATGCCATGGAGCTTTTCCGAGATAGTCGGGAGTGCTTTCCCAGTTTCCCGAGCTTTGGAGCGGTAGGTGGGGGAATCTGATATTGCGGTTTTCCGCCAACTTATGAAACTAGAGTGCCCGTACCGTAACCAGGCGAAAAATTCGAAAGGTTTCCGCCACAGATGCTAATTTAAAACTGCCATGATGTCAGGAACTGTGGGGCTAAGAATGAGCTTTACATAAAGTTAATTAACATAAAGTTTATAATGAAGTCAGAGTCCGGGATTGCGTTCCTTGGCGTCTTTTATAAACAGCGAGAATGTGTTTTCTTTATCCATAAAAGGTCGAAACTACTGTAACTAAAATTCTTTCGCTTAACGATTGAATTGAAGACACTTTGGTTTTGGCTGAATTCTAAGTATACCAACGTAAAAATTTAAAGGCAATAGCCTGCCTCAAAAAAACGAAATATCTCATTTGTTAAATTATTTCCACACAAAAATAGAAAACCGTTATTCTTACGTTTCAAATATATAGCAGTATAGTCAAAACGGATCATAACGTGCGGAATTTATCAACGACAAACTTTAACGTTTTACTTTTTTTATCTTTTTTTAATTGTACCCCCCAAATAAAATTCATAAGATAAATAAGACGGACGTATACTATCTAGACTTGGAAAATAGGAATAAGCTTATAATTTCAAGAGACCTTAAACGAAAACTGGCATTTTTGTCAAGATGAGTCAATGAAACGTGTTAAGAAGTAAACAACATGTGGCAAGGGAAAACGGTTCATTATTTTGCCTGCTCATTGTTCAACATTATTTATTCCAGATGCAAGTTCATTTTTTTCTACCACATCAAAAAGTTTGGAATGTCATGATAATATGAACTGTGAAATATTTAAATAGTGGCTAAAAGAAAACGAAATGTGGATGATCCATCATTTTAGACAACGCAGCGTTTCATTCAATAATTTTAACTAAACAACCTATTTCATCTGAGCAAAAAAATAATATTAAGCATTTACCAAATATTCTTAAATCAGAACTCCTTTCAATGGTAACATCTTAAAAAACAAAAAGATATGCCATAGATGAAATGTGGTATGAACATGTCTCATCTTATTACGAAAAACATTTAGCTGATGATCTTAAATTAGAGCAAATTAAAATTGTTTGGAAGGATCCGTTAAATCATATTATGAATGAGTACTGCAACAAATCCGTAGAAGATACAGAAAATTTAATAAGGGACTGGTGGGATCGAGAAAGATTACTGGAGGACTTCTCAGATTTTATAACTGTTATTGCGAGGGCTTTTAAATTTTTTGTCGATAAAATTAATCAGTTTTTTCTTTTATACTTTTTAGTATTCTTAGTATCATATTAAGTTTTATTTATAAATAAGTTCCTGTACATTCCTTAAACTGACTATCACTGTTTCTGCTACTACTTCCTGGAGACTGTATGGTCAATTTTTTGCGGATTCAATACCTTTGACTTTCAGATAGTTGCTAAAATAAATAAATATATATTTTTTTAATGTAGAGGGTAATTAAACGTTTCAGAATGCCACAACTATTTGGTGAAAAAAGTCTGCCCTTATTTCAAAACTCTTGCATTATTTCACTCGATACTCTATACTTAGATATTTATTTTTGGGGTATAAGGTTGTTTCTGGAGGCATTCAAGCCGATCATGAACATAAAGTGAAAATTGAAATCAGTCATATCGCAGCACTCGGAACACATCTTTATAAAGGACACGAGCATGGCATAAGGACACGAAATTTATGCTATGCACGCAGCAATTATGAAAAAATTCGCCGTACTGCTTCTTTGTGTCGAAAATCAAAATAACTTTCTCGTGGTTTTTCTATAGAAAAAAATCATTTGTTTGAATAATTACTTTTCCTCCCTTGTAAGAGAACACAGAGACACGGTAGAATCGCTACGCAAAAATTTTTAAGAAATCGATGGTATTAATATTTTACTTGATTCACCAGAATGATGACTTTTCATTCAATCCAGTATTTTTGGACGAGAGTAAAGGAGCGTCTAAAAAAAAGCTGGCAAAACAATTCTCTACAAACACTTCCAAAAAAAGTAAAGGAGTCTAAAAATGGCTTTGTGGAGTATACCAGTCTTATTTTTAAATCGGGATGCAAATCGGGGGACTTCTATGATTCAACGAACACTGAAAATTTTGAAAGGTGATTTATGGGAAAATTTGACTTTTGTAACCTATGAACAAAGATAACATAAACATAAGATAAATGCTTTGGGAAAAACTAACTTATGTATTTTGTTTTTAGTTCAAAAGGTGGTTAAATCAACCGATGTTGCCCAATCTTAATGAACCCTCATTGATAATACTGGACAATGCATCGCATTACTGTGAACTTGCTGAGCCACAATACCCAATCAAAGTTGGATCAAGAAGAAAAACTGCATAGGTAGTTCCTCAGTTTTTTTTAATATGAAATTATTTCACAATATAACTGACTGAAGCACTTCCTTAAGTGAAATAATAATAATACTTTTAGATTAAGATTTTAACACCTTGTTTCAGGTTTCACCCGAAAAATGGAAAAACTATTGTGAGTACACAGACTGCCTGATCACTTTATCTAGAGACAGGTAAACAAGTCTTCATTTAAAAATATCAAAGCTTTTTGTACTTTCAAACTTATAAAATCCAATGATTGAAAAAATAAATGTATTTAGTACAAGTAAAGTATATCATAAAAAACATTGCTTAAGTGTACTAAACATTAACATTATACTCACCAATGTTATTTATTTTCGCTCACTTGTGTGAAAAAAAACAATTTACTCACTTTTTTTATTCATTTTGGGTCATATTTGCTAAAGATTGTGGCAAAATTTATCTGCAAACAATGGTTTGAAATTTCATGTAATGATTTCAAGCTGTCAGTTAAAATATCCATTAGTTTGTTTGTAGAACATGTACAGTCTCTTGTCACTTGCTAACTACCCACACAAATATTAAAAAGTTTTGATAGGGCACATTGTAATGCATTCGAAGTTGCATTATTTCATGTAACATTTAAAAATGGCTTTATACTGTTGAAAATACTCCATTACAGCCGACGAGGCTTCATAAATTTTCATGAAACGCGTTGTTACTACATTCTTTATTGCATGTTTAAAAAAAATATATTACGTTTTTCGTTCTTCGAGCGTTTACGGAGTCACGGGTTAGGTTTTTAATATTTTGACATTTGTGAATTCTGACAGTTACGTCACTCTTCACAGGCTGAATATGTTCGTACTGTTTTGCACACCTTAACTTTAACTTTAACACGATCGGCAATCTTGTAATTTAACTTTAATTAACCTTCTGAATATGTATTAAATCACATGTTTAAATTGGACAAAGGAAATGTATTTAAGAAGAAATTAACAGGTTATGAAAAATAAATGATATTGGTGTCTGTAAGATTAAATTAGCGCAAATTCAAAAATGTTCTGTACAAAATCATCAACAGCCAATCCACAATTTCCCTTTTTTTGGAGAACCATAGCATGCATGCATGGTAGCGCGATCTCGTGATAATGATTGATAGTAACGTTCCACTTTACTGTTGTTTTCGAGAGTGGTAGTCATGTGACCGTCATGCAAACATGAATAACCACAAGCTCGCGCACATCGGGATTAGTAGTAACATTCGAGCAGCGTGTGCCAGTAAATTAAGTTATATTTCCACAATTATGGTACGCGCAAAACACTTTGTATACAAAAAACACTTCGACGGATTTCCTAAAGATGGCGATCTAGTGCTCGAAGAGGAAGAACTGCCAGCTATTAAGGATGGAGGTATTTTAAAACGATCGGATTTATGAGATTAAGTATTTGCCTCAAAAATATCCAAAGCTGAAATATTTTTATTGTATTCTCAAGGTCACGGCCGCACGATAAGCTCCTTTGATACCTGCTCAAGTAATTCTTATGTGGCGAAGATGATTTAAAAATAAATTATTTTGTAATCTTTGCATACCATCAAGAACACGTTGATATTTCACCCGTCCTAAAGTAAAACTTTGGATATTTATTAAAATTTTGCAAAATACCTAATAGTTGCTTAAAATTCATTGAAATACACTCATTCCCAAAAATACGAAATGACGCAATAAATTTTTTACTTAAGTTTTATTGTCTCTCATTTTTTTTATTCCGTTTGATCCAAATTTTATTTATTCGTAGATAATTTCTTCATCTCAAGTTAACTAGAAGTAAGATTTTTCAAGTCTTCCTACACGAAAGACTAGAACTGTTTCTTTTTAGTGTATTGTTTAAGTAATAAGTAATATCGACATAGAGAAAGCTTCTACTCTGTATTTGAAAGACGCTTTTATAACGAGAATTTTGTTTATTGATTTGTCTCGAAATAGTGCGAATTGCAGCTCTTTTGCCGGAACCTTGCATATTACCAACTTTCTTTGATTTATTTTATTAGTAAAATAAACTGACACTACTTTGTTTGGAAATACAACCTTTAGAAACTGGTGGAATAAGCAAAGCCACTGATACCCAAATGCAATTCAATCCAGGAAATTTCCGTCCTCCATTATTTTTAACCAAATTTCTTCTAACTGCACGATATCAATAATTTAATACCTTTTGCAAGTCTTATTTTTGCCGTCTTCTTGCCGTCTGCTTAATTATCTCATAACACTGCTGTGTCAAAAACTTTCTGCTCTTTCAAATTCCTATTAATTAATTATATTTAATTTAATTGGGTAAATCAACAAACGAGTTTATGAATTCTGTGAAATATTTTTGTTATACTCAGATACTTTGCATGATAACTTCGCGTTCTTCCAAATTCAAAACATTTTCTGTGGTTTTTGTTAGAATTTTTGGCCGAGGCCGTGTACTTGAGCGTTGACCCTTATATGAGAAAATACGCGCCCTGGCAACCACTCAACAAGACATTTTATGGCAGACAAATAGCAGTGTAAGTATTTACCTCAATATAATAAAAATCAAATTAAATAATAATAAATAATAATTTAATTTTGCACTAATTATTTTTCAGTTTTAACAAAAGTAACTAAATTATGTGAACTCTTTGAATTAATTTTAGAATAAAAGACAGCAAAAATTCGAAATTTCCTAAGGGCCAACACGTACTGGCCTCATTTGGGTGGAGATCGCACACTATTTCGGACGGAGTTTCGAAGGATCCTTTTCCGATCAAAATACTACCAGACTATGGTGGCTTACCCTTGTCGTTGGGGCTTGGTGTACTGGGACATACTGGGTAGGTTTATACCCAGTCCATTCGTTAACCAGCAAACGCCAAAATACGATCCGTGGCTAAAATCCACCAAAAACATCCGATCGTCCTCAAACCTGTGACTCATATTCCTGAAACTTCTGAAGTGGTGGCTGGCGCCTTACTGAAGTGACACTTTGTATACATTTTATCGGTACTTAATTCGGTAGTTTAGAGTAGGGGATCAAAAATTAAAACGCTTTCCGAATTAAATTTGGAGATGCAAAGAAACAAAGGCAATTTCAAAATATTTTTTTAACTAAAACTAGTGTATTATTTTTCTGATGGCAGTGTTTTTACCCTAATTTATTACAGTTTCTTTTCTTGCTGTAGGTCTCTTTGGCGACCTGATGAAGTCGTGATATCCGAAAACATTTCAACTATTTTTGCATCTTTGAATGTAGAGTTTTGGTGGCGAAGAGCTTTGAACACCTTAAGAATAATAATTTTCTCATTTTTAGAAAGCGCAGTATTACTAATTTGTTCTACCGGAAAGTAACTACAATTCTAATGTTAACTAACTAAACTAAACTAACCAAAACTTCCTGCCTATCTACTTGCCACTCTCGGGACTCTTGACAATCATCATAGGTACAATACTACTCCTATGTAATACTGCCAAAAAATTATAGTGGAAAAGATGGAAGGGAATATTATTGTTTCATAGTACCTAATTACTTTTTAGCCACACTGCATATATCGGCTTTCTCGAAATATCACAACCGAAAGTTGGAGAAACGGTAGTGGTCTCGGGGGCGGCGGGTGCAGTAGGGAGCATTGTCGGTCAAATAGCGAAAATTAAAGGCTGCAAAGTTATCGGTATAGCCGGTTCAGACAAGAAAGGCAAGTGGCTGACGGAGGAATTGAAATTTGATCGTTTTATTAACTATAAAACGCAAGACGTGAAAACGACGCTGCAAGAATTTGCCCCCGAAGGAGTTGACTACTATTTTGATAATGTAAGTATTATCGATATCCACGTCAGAGTAAATAATTATGGAAAAATGGAATTACAAAAACATTAACGAAATAAATTAGCTTCTCGACATTAAAACTTACAGAATGGTAGCTTTAGACTTATTAGAACAAATTTTTGAAGTACAGGGTGTTCCTTGCAAGTTTAAATGTCAAATTTTATGATGATTATGATTAAGAACATATTTATATAGATAGTTATAACAGGGTATTGAAACTCCTCAAAACTTAATCCTACATTTCTTCTTTCGACTTGAAAAAAATGTCGCTTTACCCCCACAGTGAACACAATCTAACCAAAATTGGTTACAGATATTTCCAATATTTACAATATTTGTAAAAAATAAAATTTATAGTAATCTGATTTCTAAAAAAAACAACATGCATACAAATTGAAATCTAGAAATCTAGAAATTCCAAAATATTTTTAGAAAACATGTTGCTCCGAAAATAGCAATACGTATTTTTTTAGAAGTATTATTTCAAAAAAAAAAACTCAAAATTATTTAAATAAAAAATAATAATAAATTATATTAAAATATTTGCCTAAATATATATAATGTGTTCAATTTTTAATGGTTTTACTTCGCATTTTCCATATTAATAAAGCTAAACCAATTACGACTTTTATGAAATGCAAAGTGCCACAAACAGAAATGTCATAGCTATCTCGAATTTTTGCGTTTTTAGGGCACCCTTTATAGTTCGATTTTGAGTTTACGTAATAAAATCCAGTAATGTATTCAGTTTTCTTCTGAAACTCACAAATTTTTGTATTCAAACTAAACATTTGTTTTTTCAGTGGAAGACTCTCTACGTATTGTAATAGACGTGTTATGAACTTTTCAAAAATATGTAACATATAGGAAAGATTTGATTTTTTTTGTTTGGTCCTAATATACTTTTCTTGTCATGTCAACGTCATGTTAACCCAAAATATAACAATTATGAGAAATTTGATATATTAGAGATGTATTATTGATGCCCGTACAATCATGCACATACAACTTTAATTTGACAGGTTTCTAACTTGTTGTAATAAATTGTATAGCTTATGTAAGAAAATATTACTAAAGTAAAGATATATGCTTTGTATTTGAAATAGTTTTTATGTGTTATATATTTATTTATATATTATACGATTGTTAAAAGATATATATACATTATAAAATACACAAGTTTAGTTTATATAAGAACGTCAAAAGAAAACTGGCTGCACCTCTGGAACCTACATAAGATCCCTATACAGAAAATTATTCACATAATATATCAGTATCACTATCGCTATCATCGCATGTTCTAATTATTATTTGTTCTATATCATTTGCAATATGGATATACGATTTGAGGACATTGGAGGTAACACGGAGAAAAACATTGTTACAACGAATGGCAGATTTCAGTTGGTGCCAAACATGTTCAATGGGATTAAATATGCAGTGGTAAGGGAGAAGCCTTAAAACTGTATGCCCTAGATTTTTTGCATAATTATCACAGACGTATTCCTTTTGTAGGTTCAAGCTTTGTAGAACCTCAATTAATTGCTTTTTGGTATAATCTTCGTGCAAATAAATTTTTGGATTGGAATTTGGATTGTTGCTTTTGTGTCACATGAGGAAGGGGTTTTAGTCAACTGTCTGCTGTGATAACTTGCATTGTTCATTACCATTACGCTGTTAGGAGGAATGTTTAGAACTAGTTTGTTTTTAAACCAACTTTCAAATAAATCAGCGGTGGTGTCTTCATGGTAATTCCAGAGAAGAATCTTGAATATTTTTCGCAGACAGAGAAAGTCCATTTGGAATCCAACCATCTTTAGAGCCAGCATGCAAAATAGTTATTCTTTTACCTCTTTTTGATGACGCGTTTGTTTTACACTTATCATTTGAGTCAACCCAACTCTTTTCCGGGGTATCATAAGTGTCGAACCAGGTTTCATCCAAGTAAATAATGGGCCTTTGTTGTTCTCTGTAAATCCTAATTTTTTCTAGATATTCCAAAACTTGCCTTTTGTCAATTTTTTTAAATCTAAAACCCATGTGTTGAATACACTTCCATAAGGTAGTTCCGCCACATTTAACATCGGTTTCATCTTTTTCAAGCCTCCGAATTAAGATATCTAATGCAGGCATGCCTAGTTCCTCATATAACTGGTAAATTTTACGCCGTATTATATCTTGATCATTTTCATCTACACTTGAGAAAATGTCAGCATCGCTTCTTTTTTTCCTCGTTGAAATGGGATTATTCACAATTTTCAATACAGTTGATGATAGAATGATTGAATAGTGTTTCTATATTTGGGCGGGAGCATCTCCTGAGATGCACTAGACTCGCACATATTTTGCATAATTCGCACACGATTTAACACACGCTGTATTACACACGAAATAAGAATGATTACTGATCTTAACTTAAACTAAGTAGTATACAAACCAAAGAATATACACAGGTATATACAGGTAGGTATAAAATTATTTTCTATTACGGAGCACAATTTTAACTGAATTTAAATTCCGAAACTTTAGGTAATAATATTGTTGCATTGTATGTTAATGATCACCCTTGGATAATCCCATTCAAAAGCAATTGGTCACTTTCTTATATCTATGAACAGACCATACCCAGTTTAAATCCAGTTGACTGTTGATTCAATAAAATGTTGCCACATTTCCGTTTGCAATTTAAAATAAATCACGTTCTACCAAAACTAAACCAAGTTCTACCGCAGAATTCGAATTTTATGATATATTTGTTTCGTTTAGGTTGGCGGTGAAATAAGCTCAACGGTTATTTATCAGCTGAATCCCCACGGACGAGTTTCAGCGTGCGGATCAATTTCGGAATACAACGATGGTGGTCAAAAAGGTAAGGAAGAATGTGTATTTTTTTATCTCGATTATTCTTTTTTTTTGCACCAATCGCCGTCGTCCAAATCCCCATTAATGAAAGGCATTCTCCCTTAAATCTTTCCGTATTCCACAGTAAAAGTTTTGCGTCGTGCGTATATCTCAAACGCTAGAATTTATAGCGGCGACGCGTTAGCTTAATGTTTATTACATGGATTTTACTTAGTTCTATTTCGAAAACCCCCTAACTGGCCAAATAAAAGGACCCTTTTACCCTTGTATCATAACTTTTATCTAAGTCGCGGTCGTTTAGATTTGGGGAGTCCGAGTCTCAGGACGTTTTAGGTTCTGGTTTCCGGTAGAGAATGGCCTTTCTTTCGAATATCCCAATTAACTAAGAAGGGCAACACTGATAAATTGGTTAAGGCTTTCGCGGCCCGTTGATAAGCTATTATCTTGATTCGGGTTTAAAGGCCGTCGTCGGTTGGAATTACTTCCTAACGTTTCGCTAGCACGAGTGGCGAGCTTCTTCAGAGGTCCTTCCATCTCCGATGTTGGACGTAGATGTGGACAGTCTACGTCCAACATTAAGGGCAACACTGTTCTCTTGTCTTGGTTTAGTCTCAGTTTATTTCTCTAATTAATTAATTCTTGTTCATTATTATAACATGCTGATATTCTTAATAGTCATAAGCAAAAACAAAACCTAAGGCTAAAGAAATGTAAAAAACGTTATTGATCAGAAGAATTAAATAAAACTGAGGGGGGAACCATTAACCGAAAAACTTTCAATTAATGCGGAACGAAAGAACAGTAGAGGTATAATATTTTGACAGGCTGAGACAATGTTGCCGGTGCTAAATATCGCCGGCGTAAATCAGGTAAATTAGAAATTTAACTCAATATACGTTTACAAAATATTTCGTTAAACATTGCCCTTAAAATAACAAATATTCCAAATGTCTTATTTGAATGCGACAACAGTACAACGAAAAAAAGCTTTCGGAAATATAAAGTTTTCAAACTCGATTATACGTATTTCTAGTATTTATCTGCTTTGTATTTTTTCTGTGGGAGAAGTGACTTTTTCAAAGTAAAAATGTGTTTTTCGATATTGCTATTACAAAGATTGATACCAAAAATGCGGCAATACTGTGAAGTTTGTAATGAACTTGGCGGTTTGAATTCCAAAGTGTCATTTCATGTGTATATAACAGATCGTAGGCGGATATTGTAGATTTCCAAAGAACGCTCAAATATATCGAATCTGGTTTTCAAATTTTAATTTTTTTTCCATTATAACTTCACACGCTAATTATTTATTGTCCCTATCAAGAATCATTTTCTCCCAGGTTATATGGTTGAGATAGTAACCACTGGTATATTGCCTAAATGCCTTTTGCGTCACAACATGAATTTTATGAAAGAACTAACAAAAAAATTTGTTTCTACTTCCCTACTCTCAAGTACCCCATTATGCACTGATCATGCTTGCCACCAAAGGGTCACTTTAGAACGTCAACATAAATGTTACCGTTATTCACATATTTTCTTTTAATCTAAATATTGTGAACATGTAAACGTTTGTTAATTACGTTATAAGCAATTGTTGAAAGCTTGACTTTATACAGATTAACAACTAGATTTTATATGGTCATTTTCAGTACCGATAAATATTAATAATTAAACGGAGCACTAGAATCACTACCGTTATACCACTTGTAAATTATTTCTTCTGTATATTAAATAGAATTTTCCCACACAGTTTGTAGTGCTTCTTGATACATTTTTAAAAGCATGTTGAGTTTGACCATCTCCTCCAATATGTCGCTTATAATAGTTTTTTGTAATTCTTCAAATAAGTAATACTGTTTCGTCCACAGACAGTGGACAAACTTAACTTTAAAGTTTATTTGGTATGAGCTTTATAAAAAAAGTATAGCGTTCTACACATGAACTTTGTCACACATTCGTCACCCACTCCGTACGTGCCCAAACAAAATCGACTGTGAGTGCCAGTTTGCGTCGTAGAAAACAAAATTTGTTTCTTGAAAACGTTATTCAAAAAGGTTACTAACAGATTGAGTGTCATTCCCTCATAGTACACTTTAAGTAATAAAATTTATGATGATTCTACTAGAAGGATACAAGGTGAAGCCGTCGGAACCTATGGGTTCGAAAACAACTAAGCATAATGTGTTATTCAACCATACACCTCGACTGTCATGTATTTGAAGCATTTAACAAATACTAGAAATTTTATACTATAAAAAAGGGGCTTTTCCAAGATAAAGCACACACTGGTTCCAAATATCAGATTTCCTACTCTAGTTCTAGAAAAACCATTTTGAGAGTTGTTTTTGATAAGCACATTTTGTACATTTTTTAACTCATAAATGAAATGAAAATTTTCTGAAGACAAGTTTTCATTTCATTTTGACGTATGTAAGTTGGCACCAATAAAATGTTAATATTGTTTTATTATTTATGTGACCAACTTTCTGATGAATGATAAGAAACTACCATGGTCAACTACTGAACGGTTCTGAATTTAATTTTTGTAAGTGTAACAATATTTAAATCTGTTAATTTTTTCATAGAGTAATGAAATTAGTTAATAAATCACCTTATGACGGCGTTAAAATTTATAAAATAAATTAAACAGTAGACTAAAATAAGGCGACGCGATATTTTATTATTTTGATGAAATCAAAAAAGACAAAATTTTAAAAGAATCTAATACACAGACAAGTACATAAATTTATCAATAATCAATACAATACATACAATACAAATTTCACACTTCCATGATCTTTATTTATTTTTTTTTTGAAAATCCAATAGGCAGACGAGGCTGTCTAATTACAGGATAGCTCGTACTAAACATACAAAATTACAGAAAAATTAAGAAGATATTTCTAAAGTTAATACAAAGTATTAGAAGAAAATTCAAAATTTTGGTTTTAAACAAACTCAGGCTTAAGTACAATAAATCATTATCTTCGCTATTTAATAAAGACAGTTGTTATCGATACTAGTGTATCTAATAATTCGAGAGTTTAAGGAGTAGTTTATTTTGAATAGTTCTGAATCTTTGTTTTATGACGGTTTTTATTTTCAGTGACTCCTATTTACTTTCCTTTGGTAGCCAAGGAACTTAAAATAGAAGGATTTCAATCGCGCAGTTGGTACCATCGTTGGGACGAGGCAGTAGCGCAAAATTTGAAATGGATACAAGAGGGAAAACTTAAATACAACGAAACTGTCACGGAAGGTTTTGAAAATATGTTCGTCGCTTTTACGGACATGCTAAGGGGCGGTAATATTGGAAAAGCGATTGTCAAAGCTTGAGCAATAAAAAATTAACCACTGTCTTTTATTTTTCTGTCCTTGTGTCGCCGTTACCCTATTTGTCTCCGTAAATGTGTCGTAGCACCGCTAAAAACGAATACGAAGAACGTAAAATCTAAAAATAGCAGATTATTCTCCCATATCGGGAGCTTCAATGTCCGTTCCATTACCATCATTAGTGAGTTTAGTGTTAACGGAAGCAGCTTGGCAGCTGTCAAGACGACTGGCCTCTTTGCCCTTTCCATGAACGGAATGATTGACCGTTGAAAATATTTATCTGTAAGGTACCACGTTGACATATAACATGCGGTGCCAACATTTTCGCTCTGAAATTTTTATAACTATTGCATATACTATAATAAACTAAATAAAATAAAATAAAAATACAATAAACCGAGTTATTTTAAAGAGACAATGGTGGGATAAACGTGTTATTATTAAATATAATTTCTTTTTAAAAAAGAAACAATAAAAATGTAAATGAAAAACTTCAGCAGAATTTGCGATTGATGCAGTTAAAAACAAAACAAACTGGGATCCAGAAAATTCATAAAAGGGAAGTATATTTTTGGATTCGTTAGTTTTAAGCTTCTATCTATCTAGGAATCAAAGACTACATAATAACACGCTATACATACAAAAGAACGACTCATCAATAACTTATGCTAATTCAATAGTTTGGTTTTAGATCAATTTAGGTAGGAGAAAGTAAACGAAATTTTATTTTAATAAGCAAAATAGATCATAAACATTTAATATTCGTGGATGGTGAATATATTTATATAATAAAATTTAATAAACATATAAATATTATATATTTATATATTTTTACACGCACCTACAAACTTTATTATCGTTGATATCAATAAAAATTTATAGAGTTCACTCCGAACCACCAGGATCTCTTTTAAATACACGACTTTTCACTTCACTGTTTAGATATAAATATTATAGCGTTTTCTCATTGAAGTAAATGTCCATGATGCATCGCTACTCGGCTGTCCGATATAAAGAATCTTAATAACCATTAAATATTTCCAAGTTGGATATCATTGGACTACTTTTTTATCAGAAATTTAATAACGCAACTCATATTTGGGTATTGGCATTTTTTAATTTTAATTCCAACCATTTTTTTAATAGCACACCCCGTATTTTTTAAGTAAATTAAAAAGTGCTAATTTTTCTCTTTTCAGTGACATACGATAACACACACAAACACCTTGTATTCTGCTAAGTGTAAATGGCAATCTTTCAAGACGAGAACTTCTTGGTTGGGCAAGTAAACCAAAAATTCTTTTGTACACGCCAATGAATTCTACGTAAAGCATCTACAAGAAGGCGTTTTTTTTTTTTTTTGATAACACAAAACTATATAGATATATATTAGGAAATTAGAACATTCATAAGATAACGTAAGACGCAGTCCATAATTCAACACTCAACAAAGTAATCTACAAAAATGCAACCTTGCAAATGAGAGTTAAAAAAATATATTAATTTAATCTTGAGTATTAAAGTTTTCCCAGGAAATAATAAGGAAAAAGGAATTTAATTTTAATTGAATTGAAGTTTTAATTATTTAATTGTGTTTTAAGATAGCAAGGAAAACTTTGAAATGTACAGTTTCCTTAGATACTCACTAGAATGGATGAGATTTTTAAATTAAATTTTTAATTAATGTTAACCGACCAAGTTTTCTTATTATTGATCAATTTTGTTCAGATCAGTTACAAAATTTCGCATTTAAAATCATGTAGTCAGTTGGGTCAAGACAACCACTAAATTCAATGAAGCAAACTTCATGCAGTTTAATATTGTAGTAGTTGGAAATTTGTTGTTATATCGCTTGATCGATTGAACTTGAAATGGAAAAAGTAAAATGTATCATTTTTCATGAGTTCGTTAGTCGTTAATATTCCTAATACTCATTTGCAGATTGTGGAGAAGATTCGCTATTTGAAGTTTTGGTAACCTGCGATTATCGCTTCTGAGTTCGAACGCCCATTAGTGAGCATTATGATAATCAAGCAGCTGACTGCTTAGCTCTTTGCGCTAAATTTGTATGCACCATCCGGGTAAGCAAACAAAGTTCGAGAAACAGCTAATTGTTCACTTAATCAGCAAAACGCATCGTCTACGTGTTATACATAAAGCCGCAATCGAGGATTAATTTATGGCTCAAGTCGATTTTACCAAAGTTTTCAGATTATGTCCGAACCAGCAATACATCGCGACCTGCGCGAGCATTGAGTTCAAATATGTAAATGCTCTGATAAATTCTCCGCTTCCAATGGGAAACTGAAATTAAGTTGTACCTACTATTACAGTATACTCAGTTTTTATACGTACAATAACGATTTCGAAAGTAGTGGAGCAAATCACAATCACACTGGCGGCAACTTGGACAAAAATTATGGTGGTATACATGTGTTCGATGTCCTGTACAAATCTAAAATCATAAACAGTGCACAAGTTAACTGCAACACGCAGTAAAACTTAATAACCTCTGCAAAAATATATATTCTTGGCACACCGAAATCTAGGGGGTTAGTATAATTTTAATTTTATATAATTCGCAGACTTTAAGCAACAAATCAGCAACTAGACAGACAAAGGAAACGCGAAAAACTAGAGGCAACGATTCCTAGTATAAAATAAAGGGTAATTACAATCATATAAAAGTTGTGAGAGATAACGCGCTACAAATAGAGCTGAGATATAATGTTTTTATCTTTTATCTTAAAAAAGAAAATAGATAGAACAATAAAATATTACGTGAGTATTACTATCATTTATAAAAACGCATTCTGAATATTTTTATATTATTTAAAAATAGTTGTAAAACTTGGACATGAAAAAACATAAATTTCGATAGAAGAATTTATTAGAATTACGCTAGAATATACTTAATTTCGACTAATCCTTTTAGATATGCCCAGATAAAATAAACAATGGGATTTAAATCTGGTGATTGAGACGGCCAATGATAAAAACCCACCTCTAGGCTGAGGTGTGCTGGGCTACCACCATACATGTAATAGATACCTCTTCTTGTTAACAGGGGTACATTTTCTACCAAATGGTTCTTGTAGAAAATAAAGTCTTAATCTTAAAAGTTGAAAATGTAGCACAATTAAATGACCATCGATAATTTACAGTAAAATCGTTCTGCATATACATATAATATAAGAGCGACTAAAATAAACGTTTTTAGGCATCCAAACCAACTGCTTTCTTGGTTCCATGATTCACATAGGATTTACATCATTTTAGAACTTGCGGGCAAAGATTTTATCAACCAATGTGAGTAACGATTGTTAGCTTGTTAATATGACAAGAAATTGGATTTTGGGGTGAAATATTTTAAAGAAAGTGAAGAAAATTATATTTCAATTTTTTTAAAGCAGGATTTACAAGGATATTTCACTTAACAAAACTGGCCCATTAACTTCATTTTTTTGCAAATGTAAATGTGTAAAATCACCATGAATATTTTTCCCTCTACTCCATTTATGAATGCAATGTCTTACATGCAATTTTTTTGGGTCATTAGTTTTTGAGTATCTTTTTTAAAACAGCAGAAATACACTCAGTGAGTGACAGTTGATGTGATCCTCAGAATTGGCAAAAATAACGGTATCGATATTTGTTTTATTTTAGATCGGCAATATGTAAATATCAAGTGGCTGATGCTTTGGAATACTGCCATCAAAACCAAGTGATGCACAGGAATCTCAAACCCGAGAATTTATTACTGACCATAACGAATGACGTTAAACTAGCAGATTTTGGCTGGTCAGTTCACTGACCATCACTAAACCGCAATACCATGTGTGGAACTTTGGAATAGTTACCTCCTGAGATAGTTGATATCAAAGTTTACAATCACCATGTGGATAACTGGTGTATAGGTAGATACCCCATCTCTGGTTAATTAAGTATTTAACTGGTCAACCGCGATACCTATTCAAGAGATATTATATTACGAATTTCTTCATGGATATACTCCGCTTAAAGGAAATGGTTAGGAGGACACCTTTCAACAAATCAAATCGGGCAACATGAAGTTTGAAGGTTTTTCTCAGCTGGGGCAAAATATTTAATAACAAATGTAGGTAGGGATATTCTTTTTAATAAAAAGTACCCACAATATTCTTGCAGCTTGTATTATTTAAAGGCGAGAAGAGAATATTTTTATCAGATATCCTGAAATATCCTTGAGTAATACAGGACAAAAAAGAAGTCAAGTAAAGTTAAATATTTTCCTGAAACCATTTTTAATTATGAGTTTTTTAATTTTGATTTAGACCTTAGCACGTAAAAAATTCCAATCCACACACACACAGAAAATTACTATTAATAACAAATAAAAAATAATAAAAATAATTATTAATAAAAAAGTTAAAAAAATATTTGCTACATGCTAAAACTTTCACTTCTATGGGGATTATTTTCAAATGAAATTACTGAAGAACACGCTCCGGTTTCTCAGGCAACAACGCATCTCACGCGAAAAACGTCATTTCGAGCATTTGAATTTGAGCCCGAAAGATTACAAGATGTACAAAACTAAAAAAATGTAATTTTACTGCTCATGCCTGAAAGCGACTTGTTCATTTTTGGGTCTAAAGTTATAGACATAACTGATATCTGATATGTATACATAGGATAAGATAATACTATTAAATGTAGGCATAAACAATCGAAACCTATAAATACACAAGATTTGTTAATATAGTTGATATTATTCAATTAACTTGTTAATTATTAGATTTGTATGAAAATAGTTTAGACGATAATTCGATAGTCATTAGTAAGGACCATTGTTATATCTCGAAAATAAAGTTTTTTATTAAAACTTTCCCAGTTCTGTTCTTAGTTCTAGTACTATTTCGAGTCTAGAGAGAGAGAAATCCCACGAACACACAGAATATAACAAATACATTTAGTCTACGTCAGAAACATCACAGAACGAAGTGACCATTATGACAAACAGAACCGCTAAAACGGGTTTGCTTTTAACTAACTTTAATTTATCGGTTGACGACTGAAATTTGTTGTGTGGTACAATTTATCTAAAAGTAAGTTAATAACCGGAGAGCATTAATGCGCGAAAATAGTTTTAAAAGTACTGTTATAAGTTGCCAATGAAGAAATAAAGTTTTATTTTTTAATTTTTTTGGAGCGATAATTGCCGCGCCGTCTACATTCTAATTGGAAAATGGTCAACGAATAAAGTTAAAATAAAGATCATCTCTAAAACACCGATCGAGCAATGCTTATTTAGATACATATTGTCATTATTTTTTGGTTGCAAATAAAAATGTGTGAGAGATTTGCTTCTGGAGACATAACAAACAAAATATTTGTGAATCAATCAGAGATCGCTTGTAATTATCAACAACACGGTACTGATGTTATCATCGAAATTTCATACAATACAAGGTTATTAAAGCAGAATCAACTTGAAGTTTTCGTCGCTCATGTAGAGAAAATCACGACCAAACCAAAATAATGAATCTATGATTTGCTGAATAATGTGCGTAAAATAGTGAATTCGCAAGTATGTCAGTGAGTTTGACAAAACAAGAACATTTCGCGGTGCTGAAAGACAAAGTTGTTGCACTGGCGAGTCACTTTCTTTTGTAATTTGTATTCATTAAGAACTAACGATAAATTTGTTGCTTAGTAGTTATTTAGTTGCGGTTTGAATTTATGAAATTAGCAATGTTGGTACTACAAATTAATTTGCACGCATTTGTTTTATTAGCGAACAAAAAAATCAGACCGCTTAATCAGTTTCTTTCATATCTGGACATATTAAACTAGTGGTAGCGAAATTCTTTTTGCACTACTAATGAAAGAAATTGTTTTGCGAGATATGAATTTATAAAATTAGTAATGCAACACATACCCATAGCTTGGAGATCATAAACCATCTGGAGATAATATGTCCAAAGTGAGGTGAGGGAATGTGGTTTTCGCTGAAGCAAGCTTGAAATATTCGGTCTCCTAATTTCGTTTTGGTGCAGATGGTAGTGACTTTAGGTTTCATAAGCTAAATTTTTGGTAATACAGTGAACCAAGAAAAGTAAATTGAAGTTTTCAGATATATCACAAGGAAATTTAGAATATGGAAATACGGAATACTTCCCATGACTCCATGGACCTAACATTATTGCCGCATTTCAAATATATTATTACTATTATTACTTACCGTAACAGTTTTACGTGAAATTTTATGTGTTCTTTAAATGTCTGCTTCTCAACTTCATGTGATGTGAAAGTGACTTTGCCGACTTTATCACTTAAAATTTCGAAAAAGGAAGTGGCTATTGAAATCAATTTGTAACTAATGATATCGATGTTGGAATTAAGATAAGCAGCCGTGCTGAAGAACAGAACCTGAGCGAAAAAAGTTACTGAGTAGGTGATGTTATTAGATACATCATAGGGCACGTATCCGGGCAAGGGAAGAACGTATTTGGAACCCGAAGCAAAGAGCGGGGCAATACTGAAGAAGCTGACGCATATCACGCAGTTCGTTCGGTAAACTTTGGCCACCGTAAAAGTAGTCTTCAAATTTTTGCGTAAGACATCCATTTGTCGGTCTGTGAAAGTTTCCCTACAAAATTCGTCGGTCCTCCTCTCCAAATTCAATAGTTGTTGGCCGCTGGACGCGAATATTAGTAACTTTGCTAAGAAGGCGGTTTGTTCTAGTAAATGCAGTAATGAGTCAATAATTCTACCGAAATCGCTTATGTTCAAGACGACTGAAACCACCAAAGAGAACTCAAACAAAACGGCGACTAAAATATGACCCATACGACGGAGAAAATAAAAACTGTTTACATTCCACGTTGGTTTTGGGTTTAAACCAGCCAGACGAAGAATCAGAAATTCCGTATTGAGAATAGAAGAAAAGCTGTAAATCTGAAATTCAAAAACTATGGAAATGTCTAAACAGCTTTGAATTACACACTTACCGACCCAACCATGTTAAAGTTCGCAATTTTTGAAATATTTCAACTGTATGTATTTGCCGTAGCCAATTAGTATCTCCTTAGGTAGCGGCGTTTATGGTATTCTTTGCTGAAAGCTAAAGATAATTTCCTTTTTTTAGGCTATGAATAAATTAACGTTATAGTCCGAGGGTTGATAGCAACAGATTGATTTCGGATCATTATTTAGTCAAATCCCTCAAACATTCTGATTGATAGCTTCTTTTGTAATGATGCGTATTCACGCAATTCGTCTAGTGTATTATCAAGCCAGTTTTAAAATTTTGAAAACGTCTATACCATTATTTGTAGTTATAGTTTATGTGTCATCGGGCCTTTAACTATTGTTTCAGCTCATACGAGGGCAAAACTAAGTTTAGTGGAGCTTGCTTATTAAATATGCATATCTAAAATGTCGGCACACGCGTATGTTTTAAAACATATTTTCTTATATGATTAATCGTTAAAAGTTTGGACGGAGTGGGTAAAATACGAAAGTTTTTAGAATCGGGGGAATATTACATTTATCATGAAGTTGAAAATAACAAATGATGACTGAAATTAAAAATACCGGCTCACAGGAAATTACTGCCCATCTACTTTACAATGCAGTCTTGTTTATGACTTCCATTTGATGAGACTGAATTTTACATCCAAATCAATTAGACACCAATGAGGCACATCAAAACAAAATTCCTTATCCTCTGTTTTGGCATTGAATTATAGAGATATTAAGTATACAGTAGTTACAAAATATTTAAGGACAGATTCCACATTGAAAAACGAGGAAAAAAATTAATATAAGTAATGATATAAGAAATGCTTGATAACATGGTCAACTTAAAACGTTTTCTGGCTTTTACAGTTTTTTTATTTAAACTTCTTAATGTTTACTTAATGGGCAAGAGCAAATGTTTTGCGCCTAAAACTATGCATTACTGGTTTTAGCAAAAATTAGTGTCACAGTGTCTCTTAATAAAGCCTTTCTCGAATTTTTTTTAGGGAACAGTGAATTAATTTGTTTAAATGTTTTAATACAATAAAGCATATTGTTTGACAGGCATTGCTAATATGTTCCACTAGTGTCACTTTATTCCCTGTAGGAGTGGAATACATCAGTTTTATACATATAACTACCAGATATACAGCGTGTTTAAAAAAAACATGACCAACGATAGGCAGAAAAAATCGTCATCCAAAATATAGAAAAAAGTTCATATAAATGCATGCCCAGAAATAGTTAGGGACTTAGGGACAATGTTACGCTATAGGCTCCATGCCTTCAATTAAGCTAACGGTAGACATTTTCAACATTTTCGTTGCTGTTAATTTTGTAGAATTAAGCAGGTTGTGACCACAGAAATATTGTTGCCCGAGGCACATAATTTTGTTCGTCCTTACGCCGCTATATTAATATATGAAATAATTATTTCATAACAATATAGTTTTATAACGTAGTAAAGTTAAGTGATTCAAAAATCCAAATGCTACTAAAATGAGCAGACGCTTCCTCACTTCTAGTAGTTATGATTAATTATAATTTAAAATGTCAAAAACGTTGTTCCAGAGCCAAACAATTCGAGAAATAGTTTCTAAGCAAAGTTAATCTGGCTTTTAGAAATTGACACCAACTTTTGCCAAAGCCAGTGGCGAACAATTTTTTTCGATAAACATGAACTTTCCGTCGTGAAGGCCACTGACGTAAGTATCTTAGGAAACAATTTTGTATGTAAAAACGTTTAGCAGAACATCCAAGTGCACCAAAAAGCCTCATCTTAAAATCTCAAAGAGTTTTCGGTAAATTTAGGATGAACTGCAAAAGAAGGAAAACTTTAAACACTGTAAATCATGAAAACTTTTTTGCATATTTTTAAATCTAGAATCTACTTTTTAATTTTCTCTACAACATTCTGTAAAACTCAGATTTTTATTAAGGATTTAAATTGTTTAGTTTGAAATAATAACAAAATATTTATTCGAAAAAATATCTTGGAGATAAACATTATTTTTTAGAAAATTTGTTAAGATGTTAACAAATTATGCACATTTGGCAAAGTATAAAAATATACTTTAAGGGAGAATTTTAACCCCCTGTATTTTATTGGTGCAGTAAACAAGACCCTTCATTCTTGATCATACCTATTTTTGACACCTTATTAAATTATGCAAAATAAATGTTTTTGCCTACCAGGAGAGGCGTACGAAATCGATAAGTAACTGGTCAAATTTTCAACTTCTGTGCCACAAACTGAATTTTAATTTTGTCAATAATCTTTCCATTCTCTTATCCCTTCTTCTGTAACGATGAATTACTGTATCTTAGTAACCAATTTTTAGTAAAATATCAAGCCGTCTATATTTCTTGCCTTTAGATTTCGTATGTTCTTTTCAATACTTATTCCTAAAATTATTTAAAAGACTCTCCATATCTCAGTCGTAATAAATATGTCTTTTATAAAAATTAGAATTCGACTTTTGGTATTCGTTCTTAATCATTTATTTGATAAAATATTAATGTTTTTTTTTCTTTCGACACAACATAATCAGAAACAGCAAGTAGGTTAAAATAAGTACAGTGTTAAAGAAATAAATTTTATTGAAAATGGATCATTGAACTTCTTTAATAACATGTTTTTGTCTTTCAGGTACAAATGGAACTGATCCAGGTCTTGAATGAGTCCTCCTATTGCCTTCTTTCCTTTTCTGCTTCTCTCGAATAGTGCGCATCTCACTTTGAGCATTATAAATATGCCTCGGTACATGTCTATGCCTACTTATCCTTTTAATCATAGGATGACTTGCATATTTTTGTTTCAAAGCTTCGCTGTATTGAAGTGCAGCTCTTTCCCTAGGTTTTAACTAAAAATAAAAAATAATTTATGCCAATTTTAATTTCAAAGTAAAAATTTTTGTACTTACAGGCCCTAATTTCTCTGATGCCCTCGCTTTCCATATCCTAATGTTCATTTCATCAGAACCACTAATAATATATTTATTGTCAAAAGTCCAGTGAACACATGTCAACCTCTGCATTCTCTTAGTATGGTAAATTTCTCGAGAATGACCTTTGTCAACTTCGAATATCCTTATGGATTTGTCATAACTTCCCGAAACAAATTCTTTACCGGTTGGAGCGTAATCTACATAGGTAACGGCACCCACATGGTCCATATGGACATTCACTGGCTTCTTCAAATTTCTGGTGTCAAAAGTATATAAACTAAAAATAGAATTAGGCTTTAAAAGATGTTGCTTGTTTAATTTGAGAATATAACGCCTTTTACATAGAGTTAATTCTCACAATACATGAGAACATGCCCGATAAACTGCACTTACTTAAAATCTTCACTTGCGCAAGTAAATATGAAAGCTTCCATAGGATTCCAAGATATTTTATTTGTTCTTAACTTCATAATCACCTTTCTCAGTGGTGCATTGTCTCTTGTATCATAAAGCATAATGCTCCTATCACTGGCACATGTAGCAAATATATCTGTTTCTATATTGTTAAAACAAATGTCATGTAGGCTATCAACCCCCCACTGGTAAGTACGAATTGGTTCATTGCGACCTTCTTCCCAGAGTTGCACAACATCCCCACAGGTTGCATACATTTTATTGCTATAGTGATGACTTATGCCACTTAGAACTGACTTACTCAGGATTGTATTTACTGGTTCTTCCCCTTCCCCAAACTGGGGTGATAAAGATTTCCATATTTTAATAGTTTTATCATCCCCAACAGAAATGAAAAACTGACCATTTGGAGAATAAGTAACCCCTCTCACAATTCCATTGTGAGCAACAAAATTCCTTAAACATGATTTTTGAGGAATATCCCACACTCTTATTTCTCCATCATAAGATCCACTTGTTATTAAAGATAAACGTTTCGGATGTTTGCTAATGCATGACACACTGTCCCTATGTCCTTCAAGACTACACAAAAATGGTTTTGCAAAAACTTTCTCTAATTTTACGGCATTTAGAGCTCGGGTATATTCTCTAGCCGCCTCGAAGGGATGCAGGGATGGGTCAAAATTTCTGAAAACTAAAAATATAACGGAAATTATTTTGATAAATTAAAGAATCAAATAATCAAACAGTACCTTTATGAATATCATTTTTAGTCTCTCGAAGGTAGTCATCAGGATTTCTGCTTATAACTTTAACTTTCATTTTATAAAAATTAAACGTTTTAAAAAAAAATATTAATAAAAATAAACACCGTATATGAAATGTATTTAATTCAATATAACCTCATTTAGCAAGAAACGTTCCCAAAGAAACAAGAAAAAGAAGAAGATTAACTTCATTTCCACCACCAACCACTTTCAAAAAACCAAAATTTTATCTTATATTACTATCACAGCTTTATAAAAAATGCTTCTTACTTATTGTTCTAATTCTGTTCTTAATCTCGATATGTTATTTTCGCCAAGATGGTTGACGGGATCACCCAGATCCTTTCAGGGAGCACTCTTTGTCAATTGCGATAAAAACACAAACCTGTCAGAACGTAGCCGAATCACCTCAGTAAAATTGGCCAAGGAAGGTAAAACAAAGATTGTGTGAGTCAGGGCAAAAATTCTATGTGAGATTCTGTGGTGGAGCATTGCACGCGGCGGTTTAACCTCCGTTCGCTCCCTACAGAATCCTTTGTAATCGTCCAAAAAATTTTTGAAATCCGTCTCCACTAGGTGGATTTAGTGTTTTCAGTGTTTAGTGAACGTTTTAAAGTGATAATCGTCGCCGATCTCTTCGCTTTTCCCCGTTCACGCCGGTATGGAGGCCGGATGGTCCGTGGTGGAAGCGGGTGGTGTCGATTTTTTTGGTATCGGTCAAAATTGTTTTTTGCTAATTGAGCAAATATTGGTTATGTCTTCTTTGTACGTGTTGATCCATGACCAAAAGCGAAGATCCTCGACGGAAGTCGGCAATGGGCGAATGATCCTAACAGTTTAGCCCAACTTTTTTTGTGAAACGCATTATTGAATTAAAATTCTCTGTGAATATATACTTGTAGATTTTAGAATGAATTTAATGTTTTTTAACCATTTTATGAGGACAAGAACAGTATTCTCCAGAAAATATAGAAATTGGAAAGCTTTTGGTTTAAATTCAACTTGGTTTTCGTCAGAGGTTGATAAAGCAAACCAATCAAAATATGATCAAACGTCTGAAACAGTATTCGATAAAATCATACGCAAACAAATTCCGGCCGACATAATTCATGAAGATGATAAATGTATAGCGTTTAATGATGTCAGTCCGCAAGCACCAATCCATTTCCTAGTGATCCCAAAAAAAAGAATTGCTATGCTTGGGCTTTGTTCGGGGACTGACAGTGAGGTAATTATATTCTCGCCTCATTTTTAGTTTGATGTGTTATTAAAACAGCAAAACTTTTAAGCATTCACAAAATATGAACTATTTTAACAATATAATTCATATTTTAGATTTTAAGCCATATTTTATTAACTGCTAAAGACTTAGCCAATGAAAGGTTACCAGATGGGTATCGGTTAGTTATTAACAATGGAAGGGATGGTTGCCAGTCTGTATACCACTTGCATATTCACATTCTTGGAGGCCGACAAATGAATTGGCCACCTGGATAAATATCTATATATTTAATGATTAACCCTGGTTACCTATTATTTTTAGTTTACTTGTTATATATATCAAGATTGAATAAAATTTATTTTATCACAATTAGTTATAATTTATTTTTAAAGGTATCATCAAATTCTTTTTCCCAGTCATACTTTTGTTTTTCACTCAGATTGTAAGCTTTTCCATGTTTTCCAATACCACTCATAAATTTTTTGGCACCCACAATAATGGATGATTTATCTAACTTATTTGCATTTTTCTTTTCAAATTCTAGAAGTTCATCAAAAATTTGAATAAAAGCAGAATTATAGATTGATTTTCGGTCCGACTTGAGGCACCTTTGTGGAAATTTTACCAAGGAAGTTGCGAGCTGTATAGCCTGCCCTAAACCTGAAATCTTTACTAGTACTAGATTTTTAATATTTTACATACACCCACTTGTTCCACAAGCAACAATTCTATTCGCCAGTCCCCATTCAAAAGCCTCTTTCGCATTTAAAGTTCTCCCTGTTAATATGAGATCTAATGCTTTGGATAAACCAACCATGGCTGGTAGTCTCACTGTTGCTCCATCCACTAATGGTACACCTAAAATAAACTAGGCTTTAATTATAATACAACTCAAATCAGAAAATACCAAATCTTCGTCCGTAAAAACCCATTACTGCAGTATCTTCCATTACTCTCAAATCACAAAGCAGAGCCAATTCCATGCCTCCAGCAATGGTAAATCCACTTAATGCTGCCACCATAGGCTTTTGGGTATGTTTTATTCTAGGAACCTAATAAGAATTATACAGAGCATAACAAAAAAATTACACACGAAATTTTACTAGGAATTATAATAATACAAAACAGACCATCATCATTTGTGAAATGAGGTCTTCATTGTCTAAGTCTGCTTGAGACAATTCACTCAAGTCATATCCTGAACAAAAATTGCCTCCTACACCATATAACACAGCCACAAGAGAAGAGTCATCTTCTTCAAACTCATTTATTGCTTTATTTAATTTGACTGCAGTGTCAGTGTCAATACAGTTTCGTTTTTCAGGTCTATTTAAACCTATTGTAACTATTTGACCCACAGCTTCAGTAACAATACCTAGAATTAAATGTTTCATTCAATCTACTTAATATAATTCTGATGCTTTGTTACCATTCTTAATAGAGGATATATTTCGTTTAGCGACATGCAAAGTTGAACGGAACATTTTAAAATTATTAAAATTCAACTAGCATTGAAACTTTGTAACTTTTTAAAATATATGAATAACTTTTTGTTCTTCTTCTTATTTTACTCTTATTGGCCCTACTGCTAACTTTTTGTTCATTCTAGCTTAAATATATAATTTCGTTCTTGCTTCTACCTTCTAATGGCCATAACTACATCAGGTCATTCGACCAGCTTACAACAATTGTGAAAATTATTCAAAAATCCTAAAATCCTTCATAAGAGAAGGGTCTAGATTATTCGATCGTTCTCCAGGTTTATTAGCATATAGTTAATAGGTTCTCAAAAAAAAAGGTACTTTGACCGATAGCAAAACACGGCCTCCCCACTGTCACCGCGGACAAACCGGTCATCAACTGGCGTGGATAGGAAAAAGCAGCGGGGCCATCAACGATTACACACTTTAAAACATTTCCTAAACACTAAGAACACTAAATCCACACGGTGGAAACCGATTTCAAGTTTTTTGAGGACGATTACAAGGGATTCTGTCTGAAGCAAGCGGAGTTTAATCCGCCCTGTGCAATGCTCACGATAGAATTCGATAATTTGGACGGCTTGTAATGGGAATTCTTGTCGTCCTCTTAGTTATTAATGGGAATGAGAGAATCGAGGTGTTGCCGTTGTTTAATTCCTTGGCTTACCAAAAAATTTTCTTTTGCCGAACACACAAATTTGCATATGTTGCATAATGTTTAATTCATTCCACCATGAAATTGACGTGGAAAAACTGAAATACGATATCAACGAATCACATATTACAGTTGTCTGCAATAGTACTAACGCGTACGACAAATAAAAAAAATACCCGTTACTACTTCTAAATTAAATTTGCTTCACACGATCAGATTGACTTCAGTGACACGCTCGAAAGTTTATTAAAAAAACAAAAATTCTTTACCCAACTTTTCAAGTATTGATTGTTTTGCTGCTAAAAATCTACAAATGCGTTAATATCACCTATTCACTGTTTAAAAATCTCGTCGAAACAAATTAGTGAAACCAAACATGATGGAAGATAAAATCTTAGAAAAAATAAAGCATCTCTCTGTACCGATCTTGCAGTCCATTACCGAAGAAGAGAAAAAACATTTCAAACATTTCAATGAACGTTACTATGAAGACAAGTACTGTGTAGAATACAATGACGCTGTATCTAATAGAGATGTGCTTATACGTTTACATACAAACAAACTGGTGTTAATATGTTTGGCTCGGGGGCACGATATAATCCGTCATAACAAGGTTATTGAAAAGATAAACTTTAACATAGAAGGTTCTAATTTGTTGGATATAAACCTATCAGGCAGAAAAAAAGCAGGAGCAAGGAAGTTAAAGAAGAACCATTGTGTATGTTACATAAAGTGCAAAGGGGAAGATACTGAATACCCAGTGTATACATGTGTGCAGGGCTCCTTAATAGAAGTCAATAAAAATGTTATAAAGAATCCACAGTTGCTGGTTACAGACTCTAAAGGATTAGGTTATATTGGTGTACTTTCACTTAAAAGTTACAGCAAGGGATTATTGCCAGATCTTAATTATTTATTGTCAGAAGATGAATATGAAAAATATGTTAAAGAGAGAAAATAAATTCTTGTTTGCACAAACATTATAACTTTAACTACTAGGACCTTTTCTGAGAGGACACTTGGAATGTTACTGAAATAACTCCACCATGAAGCATTTTATATTGGATGCAAGCAAGAAATTGCTCCAGAAAGTCGGTTCGGAATTTTCAGTTCAGCGTTTTAGTATTCTTTAACAATCATATAAATGAGAATTATACCAAAAAGTAGTTCATGTAAACTACTCCAGGTATCTGAGTCTGTTCTATTTTAGCCTTCCAATGCAATGGTCACAGTTTTAATTTCGCTTTTGCACGTTAATAATTAACGCAATCAGGTCTGGTCTTAATGAAATATCTAAAAATTGAAATGTGCATAATTAAAATGCATTGTCGTTGTAAGTAAAATACTGCTTTATTTTTACTCTAGTACATATTGCACCACACAAATATATTATAACTTTTATAGCTAGTCCTAGTTCCTAGTTTCTTGAAGAAACCCGGCTCTTCTCCATACCTTTTCTAATAGAAGAAAAAATGGACTACCACAATTCTCCTCCGTCACCCCAATAATCTCAATTTTCAATACCAATTTACTGCAATTCAAAGAATAAAACTTAAATATAATAAAATGTCCTTAAAATTTATTTTCACGTCAACCTATACATATAACAATAAATAGTTTTTAAAAATCATCTCCAACTTTTACAAAATTGAGGGAGAGCAGCTCGTGAACCGTCGCCCTTTCTCTCGGGTTGTGTTTAAAACATAATTCTAAAAAGTCTAAGCCCTCATCTGTCATATCATCTGGCGGATCGGGACTTTGTCCCATTCCTACTTTAAACATTATTTGGTAGTTTGAGTCGAAGTGGGCCCAGGGACGCTGAAAAAGAGATATTAATATGTACTTTATAGAATGTCCAATGACAATCATACCTTTCCTGAAGCCATTTCCACCACCACACATCCCACAGACCAAATATCTGCTGCTCTTCCATGTCCCTCACTAAGATTTTTTGTAAACACTTCGGGGGCCATGTAAGCTAAATCAACGTTACATAATCTACAAAACTTATCAACAAAGAAACAACTTTCCTACCTTGGGTACCAACAAACCCCTGCAGTTCACCAGGCATTGTGGAATTCGATTTAATTTTGGCTGCACACCCAAAATCCCCAATTTTTAAACAGTTTCCCTCTTCCGTTAAAAATATGTTTGCAGGTTTTATGTCTCTATGCACAATGCCGTGATCATGCAAACACGCCATACCACATAAAAGCTGGTATGCATATTTTCGGACCAATAGTTCTGGCAGTCCACTTTCAGTAGCGTTTATCAGATTCTCCAGTGTTCCTTCAGCGCAAAACTCCATGAATATCAACATTTTATCCTGCAATATACATCCATTATATCAAAATCAAATACAACAAAGTTCAGCAATGTTGTAAAGAGAGTTGTTGATAAAGATACAACTCTGCCAGTAACCAGGGATAAATCCAGTTATTGAATCTTTGAAAAAACAAAAAAAAAAATGACATCTGTGAACTCACTCCTATAATGCCTATGATTAGAGTTCCAAAAAGTTTTGAGGTGAGAGTAAAAAAGTTTTTTTATGAAACTTTACTTACTGGATATATTTCCAAACCAAAGTACCTAACCAAATTTTCATGAATACACCCTTCAAGAATTTTCATTTCTTCAGTGACATTCTTAACGGTCAGTTCATCATTGGCTTGCAGCAAAAGTTCTTTAACAGCCATCATTTCTCCAGTATTATTATTAACGGCTGTATAAACTTTTCCAAATCTGCCTTGACCTATTTTTATACCTCTCTGCCAGGAAAAAGTTACATTTCTTCTTTTTATTTGTTTTCGCTTGTCCAAATTAAATTCTACAACCTTCCCTATTAAGTTTTGCTTAGAAAGTTTATCATCCAACTTCAACTCCAAAGCTTCCAAAGCTTCTCTGACTCGTTCTGGATGTGTTTTAGGCGGCAACATAATTTTTATGGAGCATATGTTCTTGCCTTCTCTTTTTATACTAAAATAATAAACACACTATAGACTTGTAATAAAAGATTAGATGAAAGTTACATTTGATTGCCAAAATTTATTGCGTCCATTAATTCAGAGTTTGGCGATGTTTGTTCTATACTAGTTTTTCTTGACTGGCCTGATCTCTGGCTCTTGTAAGAAGGTCGAGGACTGGGTGATGAACCTCTAGACCGTGTCCTTATGTGGTCCAATGATTTTGGAGAAGCAGTGTAAAATCCACTATCAGGGGTAGATGCAGCTCTGGTGCCTAAACGTTTATAGCTTGTCAAAATAATCAAGTTGCATTTTATTATGGAGTATAAAATGTTTACCTATCAAATGAGATATACACTCATCCATACTTTTTTTGAGATCTTCAAACTCTTCTTCAGTCAAGTACTTTGTGTTGGCTGGTTCACAAACTGTCAGCAAAAATTCTATCCCTTGGGTTGCCCACCTAGGACGCAGGCCCCGCCCTCTTTCGCACCTCTCAGTTACAAAAGTCATCCAAAGTTTAGCAAAATGTACCATACTCTTCGTTAACTTGTGGCGGTTTGGACTGTCCGCCATTTCTTTATGAAACTAGATGAAAAAGCTGTTACTTGTTTTATGACAGCAAACGTTTGGTATCATAGCAATAAGTTAAGCTACATCAAAACAGAGGGTTGTGCATTTACTCTCTGTAAATTGCTACCACAATTTTCCACTTTACACGCTGTTTACTGATACAGTATGCATATAAATTCAACACAATAATTTGCAAAAGAAATAATTTCACAGACAAATAATCAACATGGTATAAAGCTCTAGAGGATCGAATTTCCTAAACCAATAAAGGTGATAAATATTATATTTTTATGTTTTCCAGCGCAATAATACTAACCTCAAAACCAAATCTGTAAATCTGCATGAGAATTTCTCTTACTCGAGAACTAAGCGCTGCCTTATCCGCATCCTCTAGATAATCCTTGTTGATGTAATCGAAGAGACCTTGTACCTTGGCTATTACTTCCGGTATTACACATTTTAAAGAAATGACTGAATTCTAAAAAGCGGTTATAAATAAGTGAATTTTCGGCTGTAATTCATTTTGCTGTAACGTACTTTTACAAAAACGAAAGTTGTCATGAAATATTCTCGATTCCTATCGTAATTTGAAGGTTCAAGGGAAAACTTTTTGCAAAACGCCATGGTTTTCATGCTTAGTTCCCTTTCTTCGTTAAAAACTGATTGTAGTTCTCGACATATCGCGAACAAGGTTTGTCTATAAGTCAAATAAAATCGTCATACAGGGTGTTCCTCATTAATACGTACATATTTAAAAAAATAAAACTTTAATAATAGCATATGTGGCATCAATGAACTTCTAACTACAGCACTATAAGTAAAAAATTTGATGCTTGGGAACTGTTTCCACAATTATTGTAGTAAAAAAATGACTACGCCACAAACATTTTTGCTAGCTATAATAAACTTAAAAAAAATACGAAAAGATAACAGCAGCAGGTTGCCATATCCTTATTTGTTTTTATTGAAAAAGACTTCCCCTGACCCCTATTTTAATTTGATCTATGACTTATGAAACACCCTGTGTAAGTGAGAAAATACTACATACTTTAATGTGTTTGCATCATTTTTTTGAACCTCTTCCAAAAGCTCTTCGCTTCGGCTTAGTAATCTCCCTCCAATCCTTTCAAAAATTGTTCCCAAAATGTTCCCATACTGCTTAAACAGCAATTCATGTCCTTTTGGTATATGCTTAATCACTGCACTGGAAAATAAATATTCCTCTTCCAACAAATTTTTTTGAAGAGTATTCTCATGTATTAAGATCCATTGTTCAAGATATTCAAGGTAGTCCTTAAAAACCTTTGTCATGTATTCGTCGAGTTCTTCCAGCTGTTTCTCGCAAGCAGGTTGTATGGTTTCCATCCCATCTTTAACAACCCGAACATAATTTTCAAACCTCTCTTTTTCAGTTATGCCTACTTGGAGGCCCCCTTTAAGTTCCCTCATTAACTGCCGCACGCTAAGGGGCGAGGGATTCTCCGGCTTATGTTCTAGCCTCATTTTAAGGTATTCCTGTATCACATCCAATGAAATCCTCGAAAGAAATAAGAACAAAGAATGGTAAGATGGTAATCCAATATTTTTTGCCTCTGGACTCCAAAAACCGTACCTCCTAAGTTCATCTTCTTCAGTATCACATAAATCCTAGAATTAAAATATAATTTTAACACCCAACCTTAAAAAAAAACTTCTTACATTGCCAAATATGCTGTTACTTTGGGGCTTCTCCAAAGTCCAATTAGCTTTGCGAAGAAGCTCAGTGTGGATCTTTTCCAAAAAATTTAAACTCTTATGAAGAGTTCGTGTTTTTAACACATTTTCAATATATCTCCTATATGGAGAAATACCATCTTCATCTTTTTTGGTGATTATAGATGCAACTGGGATAATATTGTACATCTCATTGTATTTCACGCAACGTTCAATGAGTAAAGAATTTGTACTATTATTACTGTCAGAGGAACTTTCTGAGATGTCATCATTTGACAAAGGCCAAGCATTGTGCCTAGTTTCTAAACACAAAACCAAACGCCCCAAGATTACTAATTTTTGCCTCTGAAGCACAGTCATATTATACCATAAGCTAATTGCTTTTACCTGCAAAGATGATATAATCATAAGTTTTTATATGTAGATTGTTATATTATTAAATATTTACCCTATTAATAAACTCGGGACTACTGTAGATTGGGTACAGTTCAGCAAAAGCTTTGGAAGAAGGAAAAAGTGCCTCCACACCTTCTAGTCGCTTCATTAAACCTTCAACCTCTCTTAAAGCTTCGGTGTGAGCTTCCATACATGACACACAGAACACCGACAAACAACCTGTACAATCTTCTTCAACACCACTATCGCTATTATTAGAAAGATATCTTCGTGAAGTCCTATTAAATTGATATGTCAATATATCATGTAGCAATGGGTCAACAGAATCTCTTGCTTTGCAAAGATACTCATCTTCTTCAGTGGGTGAGCGATCAGAATGATAGGCCTGAAGATCTAACCAAATTAGGTCCTTTATTTCAGTCTGCCAAAGAGATTCCTCTCGACTTATCTAAAATTATTAAAATTAAAAAATTAAATATTAAAGAATTTTCAATATATTAATGATAAATATAGGAGTTTTTTTTCATTAAACTTCAAAGATTGTAATATATCAGCACTAATTATTTATTAAACAATCTTTAAATTTTTGTTCAATTCTTCATTTAACTGTTGTGCTAATTTGTGATTGGTATTCAGTAAGGTTAGATCGATTATATTATACATTGCAAATAAACCTAATAAGTTGAGAGTAAGAATGGTGCAATGTAATATGCAGTTTTCTGGGATCCTTATTAAATGCCCATTAAAGGGAAACAGTCATTTGAATCAATAACCAATAATTAAATACATACTAAAAAAATTCAAACCTACCCCCCTTCTAGTGTTTTTCTCCTCTCGACTGCCACCCATCCTAATTAATATGCTCAATGTATGATAAAACTCGACCCTACTTTTGGGGCATTCATCTTCTTGGGAAATACTCTCGTTCCTTTTTACATTATCCACCATTTCTTGACATTGACTAACATTTTGTTTGTGGCAAGCAAATGTACGACCCTTTAAGCACATAAACCTTCGGTCACTTTCAATCTGATAGCTTGGAGTTCCTGGCTTCGTGTAATGGTGATGATGGAGTCCATATTTGGTAGCACTCTCAATATCTAATTTTAAATCTCTTTCTGAACCCCTATGTAGCTTCATCTGCCGTTTGTGAGATCGTCTGCTAAATGCTAAAAATATCCTAATATCACTAAAATCCACTGATTTATTCTATTTTTATTACCTTGTTCCATATCCGAACTATCTGCCCTTGCAATAAGTTCGTCATACATAGTGCTGAATGTGTTTCTTCTATGAAGTGTATGTTTAGATTTTACTTTTGTTGATGTATCTGATCTAGGTAAGAAATTTAAAAAAAAATTGATTGCTGTATCACTAATAATTTTCTATGAAAAACTGGCTGCACATAGAATTAAATTTTTAAAATTTTTATTTCTGATATCCCACTATTTTGCTTTATTTATATCTATATTATTTTATTTGGGTGTTAATGAGAGAGTGTTAAAGTGGCAGCCTGCGCCTTTTTCAAATGAACTTAATAGGTACATCCCAAAATAACTAACTCCACTTAACTATCTAATCTACAGAGTTTGCAGAAGAATTATAAATATACATGGCCAATAAATAATTTCTATATTTTATTGGAAATACAATTTTGTTATCATTTTGTGTAATTGACTCACACAATTAACTAATTTAGTGAAAGTGTTTGTCTACTAGGGTATCGAAAATAAACAAATGACGGAATGATTAAGCTTTTCATAAACTGGAACAACTGTTTGCTTTTGCGTGTTATCATGAAGGGGATCTTTATAACAGTATTCTTAGGTACCACACAAAACCACTATCATAAACTGTGAAAATTAGGTAGTAATTTAATTTCACAAAAATAGGAATAAAGTCCTACTAGAAAAAAATTATCTCTATCAGCAAGGGCTCAACGATTTTGCGAATTGGTTTCAAATGAATTGAAGTAAATATTTATAGTAGGTCCACTTACCCAGTATGTTTCTGCTTTTTTTCTCTATTTTTTTTCAAAATTTTTGTTCTGGGTGGCGTTTTTCCAAAAACATCGTACAAGCTAACTTCATCGTTCGGGCTTAAATCCTCATCCATAATAAAATTTATTTTAAAATAACCTAATTGTAATGTACATAGAAAAGATTTATTATTAAGTTTTAACATAAAAAATAAAATTTTTAATCTAACCTATAATTACAGTTTTCAGAATGAATGGTGTTAACTATGGTTAACCACCAAAACAAATCAAATTTATGGTCAGTGCTCCAACTACAGAAACAGATTTTCTATGTGGATTTTGCCGTGAGCAGTGCGAATGGCGGATTAACCTCCGCTCGACTCCTTTATAATTCCTTGAATGAGTCTCAAAAGTATTAATAACGATTTGAGTATTTTTAGTGCATTGTGAGTTTTGTGAATGTTTTGGAAGTATGTGTTGCAGACTCCGCTGTTTTTGTCATTCACCCCGGTTGGAGGCCAAATGGATAACCAGTGTGGTGGAAGCTGGTAGGAAAGGCTTTTTTGTGTTCGGTCCAAAGACGCTACAATCTTTGGAGAAGTCAAAGTTTAGTGTTAGATACCAATAAAAAGTTGAAAAAGACGAATGATCCTAGTTGTTTGTCTAACATTTTTTTTTTTAAATTTAGTGAATCAAGTTTCAAAGCTTTAATCTTTTAAAATAGGAACTATGGAAAATCCTTTCTGTGGGGATTTTGTGGTGAAGCATTGCACGCGGCGGTTTAACCTCCGTTCGCTCCTTACAGAATCTCTTGTAATCGTCCCCAAAAAATTTGAAATCGGTTCCCACTGGTTTGATTTAGTATTTTTAGTGTCTAGTGAATGTTTTGAAGTGATAATTGTCGCCGATTCCATCGTTTTTCCCAGTTCACGCCGATATGGAGGCCGGATGGGCCCGGATGGTCTATGGTGGAAGCGGGGGATGCCGGTTTTTTATGGTATCTGTCAAAACTGTTTTTTGCTAGCTGAATAAATTTTGGTTAGTTTTCTTCTTCGGTGTGTTGGTTATTGACCAGAAGCGAAAATCCTCAGTAGTCGGCAATGGGCAAATGATCCTAGCAGTTTCGCCCAACAGTGTTTGTGTAACGTATCTCTGGTAAAAACCATAGAGATTTGTAGAGATTTTCTGAACCTCAACATGATTAAATTATGAAAAGTAAAACGATCTCCTTCACTCACATCCGATTTCCTACCCTTATGTGTGTAATACTAACAGTGACTAATTAACTAAACCTTAGTTTAAAAGTATAAATATTATATAACAAAAAGAAGGTCCCATCTAAAGAGCTGGTAGAAGGTTACGATGCCTTGCCCATTATTAAGAAAGAAGAAAGAGGTTAGAGGTTTTGGAGCCGTATTAATCATGAAAATATTTACGCTTTAAAGGAAATGTTCAATATACCACCAGAAAAGCTACCTTCGTGGTTACCAGACGAAGAAAGACTTAACGTTTTATTTGGACCTCTTAGAAACCGAGAAGTGAATCAAAGAGATTGGGAGGATAAGATATCTTCCTGGAAAGCGATAATCAAAATTTATTGTGAAGCCAACAATATTTTTTGTTTTACTTTATCAAATCTTAAGGAAGTATTTCAGCGGCATGGAAGGCCCCCTAACTGTTTGGAGGAAGTAATAGAAAGCATGCTGAAAAACAAAGAAATTGAAATTCTTGAATCATTTAACAGGAAGCCCGCTGAAACTTGGAGTGAATTAGCATTGAATGTGATTTTGAAACCTGTAACTTGGTCTTTTACTAAAATGAAAACAAAAATTTTTTATAGTCTAAATGACTGCCAATTTGTACATTTAGAAGTTGTTAAGAATAAAAGTCAAACTTTGTTGTCTTCAGTTCCAGAGAGTTATAGAAAGAAACTCATAAATGCGCATGAACTAACAAAATTATCAAACATGAATTCAAAAACGAGTGATATAAAACTTTTGTTGCATTATTTGTATTTAAAGGATAAAATTGACATTCGAAATATAAATGCCAGAACACAGAATGAACTTGAATCAATTGTACTAAAAATTTATGAGGCAGGAAAAGATAAAACAATAACTGAATTAGATATTGGCATTTATATTTTGGAAGAGAATGAAAACTTGCTGTCCAAACATATTGAAACCATGGAAGATGAAATTCAAAATTGCTTAAAGAATGCTAAAATACATTTAGCTCAAAAACATAGGCATTCGGTAAGTTTTTAAATCATGCACATACATTTTGTTAAGTTAATAATTCTTAGGCTAAAGTGTGCCTTATTAAGAAGCATAGCTTAGAGAAAAGACTCCAAAAAAAGATAAATGCACTTCATAACATCCAAAATCTTCTGGAACAAATTAAAGACAGTCATACAGATGCTCACATATGGGAAGCATACAAAAGTGCGCTCAATGCATTTAACAAAACTTACACAGACATTGGACTTACGGAAGAAGCTGTTGAAGACACTATGCTAAAATTGGGCGAGGTAATCTATTATTTTCATTTTACTTTGTGGTGATACTTGTATATTTAAGGTTTTGGAAATAAATGAGGATATACAATCTGCTTTGGCTCACCAAATACTTGAAGATAACTCAAGCGATATAGAAAATGAATTGGAGGAGCTATTAAAGGGTTCACATTCTAATAAAGACCCTCCACCTGATGATGAATCTGGTCTTAGTGATGATCTAGAAAATCGATTTCAAAAGTTAAAAATTCCTTTACCTAATGTGCCAGACACCAATGTATTAATGCCAGAATGTGTTTAGTTATATTTGAGCAGATTAAGAATATATGGAATAATATCTAGAGTTAATAACAAATCAACATGTTTTTTGTTTATTGCTTATTATTATCCTCTTTTTGAAAATCAAATAACCATTCAAAATAACTTCACTCTTAAATGTAATTTAAAACTGGGGCTCATGGAGACTTGTCACATATTTTTCAACCTTTTTTAAAAACTTGAAGTGTATTTTCAATCATAGAAAACATATACTGCAAAATGTTTTATTTTCTTTCAATTTTTCAGACATTTGTGTAATGTAGTTTTGTGAACTAAAAATACTGTTAGCTTTTTACATTTTTGAAAATTGTATAATGGAACAGTTGCCCATAATTTTAAGGGGAATGTTTAACTGTAACAATATATGTACATATTATCAAATGAATGTTTGTTTTTGCAGTACACACAATGGATCCTATGTTTTTTTTTGGCAAAAATTACAGACGATAAAAAATTACTTATATTAAATTTAGTATATGCATGCAATTCCGGGCATGGTGGATGAGCTTACAATGTGTTGCATATCCAGAATAGCCACTTGCCACTTTATGTTTAGAGTATTAGACTCTTAAATATGACATAGACTTTTGTTGTCCAAAATAATATCAATATAAATTTGGAATGCATGTTACCTGCTTCGCTTAAAAAATTACAAATTGAAGATCTTGGGATCTTTGTGCCATCACTGCAGCTTTACATGACACTGAACGGAGCGAATTCTAGACCGCTACACAGGCAAGACAGTTAATTAGTTTTCTTCAGACAGTGATGGTACCAAAAGAGATTTGACCTAAGAATGTGAATTTTTTGCTCAATAGTACAGAAAAACGGCAACTAATCTTTGAAACAATTATAATAAAAAAATTGCAAATTTTTGTTAGACTATAGAAACTACACAAAATTTTATTGAGCAGTATATATGAACTTTGTCCTACCTGGTTTTAATTTTTCACAAAAAATAAAAAATATTTATTAAATTGAAATATGTGTAGACATATTACCAATTGCTATAAAATGCAATTCTTTACTGCATGGATCTTTGGTGCCGCTAAAATATAATCTCAATCGACAAGTGTAGTAGAACCGATTGTGCACAATGCATATGAGCTTTACATTAAAAAAATATACAACTGAATTATGCTATAGAACAATTTTCTGGATTAAAAATTAAATAAAAAAAAATCGAATATATTATTTAAATATACATTAGGCGGTAGTTGTCATCCTGATTGGGCAACTTGAGCAAAGAATGAATGCACATATAGTGATTAATGAAACAGCACCCTTCACACAACTGCTCATATTTTGCTTCATTTCAAATCATACTAAAAATTTCAATAATCATCTAGGTCAAAGTCCACAGAGTCTAATTCTTCTAGTTGCAGGCTCTGGAAGTCCACTTTGTATCTCAGCAAACCTGCAAAAAGAAAACTTTCTTTCTAAATTTGTATCATCTCTCTAGGTATCTAGCAATTCATGCAAAGATGCAATATATTTTGAGATATGCCGCAAAGTAGATATGTATTGAGGAAGTTATGTTAGGAATGAATTTAGCTTCTCAGTGTTAATTATTTAAATCAAAATCTTCAAATCCACTTCTACAATTTTTGATAATGGTGGATCGGAGCGACTATAACAAAGATCTGATTATTCAGTATTTAATATATGAAGGTCCTTCTGTCAAAATCATGCATTCTGAAGAAACAGGTTTTGTTAGTATTTACTTATTGCTGCGCTGAAAACCAAATGTTTAACACTTTTTCTATATTTGAAGATACTATCGCAATTTGGCATACATTATATGCTACGAATTACACCCAATTAAAAGGGCATTCTATAGAGAAGCAAATGTACACTACATGTTATACTCACCATTGGATGGCCGGACAGGAGAGTTCCACACAATTTTCGTTTCTCATTTACAGCAAGATACTTTCCCATTTATAAAAATCCATATTGTCAACAGCAAGATTCTTGCCACAAAAAAGAAATGCCGTCTAGTTAAAGATAGTTTGCTTAAGTTGTTGAATAATGGTTTTTATGAAAATCAACAGTTTGGGAAATAAAGGATGAAATACCAACGAGTTCTCTTATAAACTTTAAATACATTAAGGCAGTTTACATGAAAATTATCAAAAACAAACAGGCAAGTTCTAATTTGAGAAAAAATGAAGATGCAAATTACTTTAATCCACTGGAAAACCAATCATTTCAAAATAAAAGACTACACCGCTTCTCTCTGACAATATTTTTTCTATATAAACTATTAAGTAAAAACTAGGTCGAAAATATTGGTAATCCCTATTAATTTATATTTAATTAATGTGTTAAACGGTGAAAGACAGACAGAACACGTCAATATGAATACAGAAGTCATTAAATAATTTCATTAACTGATAAAGAGGGCCTTGGTTCAAAAAAATGTTTTTTGGGGTTACAGTCAATGAAAATGTAGTTGGCTCAACTTAGGACGCTAAAATTGTACCGACCCATTATTCTGAACTAATTTCTGTTAAAAAGCCTGGAAAAATGGATAAGTGCAGATGCCCTTCTACGGAATCCCATGAGTGCCCTCCAATCCTCATAACCAGAAGACAAATCAACAATGCTACCTTATCTTGGTTAATAGAATAAACCAATCTATGAAGAACAAAGAGATCGCAATTAATTATGCACTACCAGAATTGCTCTATGAGACTACAAAAGCCCGAGCAATCGATCCCATCATATGTAAATGAATATGTTGTATGCTGAAAAATAGAAAAATACGACATCTATGGACCTACTGGATATCCTCTGACTATGGGATGAGATGGTTCTATCGGCATATGCAGACGACGCCATAGTACAAGGTAAAAGTGAAAAGATTGATATGGCTCCAAGCCATTTTAGATACTACATGCAAATGGTTCTGGAACCAAAATATGACTATGAACCCCCAGAAAAAAGTAGTAGCATCATTCACATACATTCACAGAAAACTGGACAATTTGGTACTTCCTTTCTTACTAATTGAAAAAACTATGAACTTCTCAACCAATGCGAAATATCTGGGAAACACCCTAGATAAAAGGCTAAACTGGAACTTGGTAGACCTGTATGGCGATCATGGGTGGGCTCAGCGTTTACAGCTACCCCATAGACCCCAGTGCGCTTCCAAGGCGGTAAGAAAGTGTCAAGAGGCCTGTCATTTAAATTGGGACAATTTTTCCGTGGCTAAGCGGTCCAAAGTGCCTGTTATTTTTAAGCTATGGCGACAAGACTTAGGGTACACAAATTGATTTCAAAATAAGTGATATTGAGACTGTATTCAATGGAAAGTTGTAGCTTACGGAATTCAGCGATAATCTTACTGCTCTGATTCCGTTTGTCAACACCTTGGAATGAGGTTTACCTCGTGGCCAGCTACAAATAAAAGCTGGCGGACGTTTTGAAAAAAGAGCTCAATTTTTTTTTGAAATATCCGGGATGTGATAATAATTACCACTATGAAATTGAATAAAATAATTATAAACCATTGAAAAACTCAGTTATATCCAATATCCTACTTACATAAGGCATCGATCGACAAATATCGCCAATGCTAGACAACATTGCGCAATTTGTGTGAATGTGAGAATTGGAGCAGGGCGGAATAGCACAATCAGTGGTCCAATATATTGTCTCTGATTGAAAATTGTTTAAATACTGTCGTTACGTTAAGTACGGGTTTTCCTGCGATATATTTGCAAAAGGGGTTTACGTTGGCGAATTCTCTCAAAAAGCAAGGTTGAACGTCGCAAGAAGGGAGAGTCAGGACACATTTTTAATCATCGGCAATGAGCAAAGGAATTCTTTTGGCTATTTGACACTCCGTTTCAGGTTTTACGACAAGTCGGACTTAATTCATACAGAACATTATAGAGTTAAGAAAATATCACGTTTTTCTTAGCATTTTTTGTTTTGTTTCTATTACCATTTTTAATCACGTTTATTCCTGTTAACTTAAATTATTGTGCTTGGTATTTAAGTTAAAGCAAAGATTATAAGATAGAGGGGAAGGTCGCCTATGCTGTTACGAATGCTATCTAATATTTGTGTCCAAGTACTAAAGTACTGTCATAGCGGTTTAAAGTAATGCGACACACTGAAAATACTACAGTAGCTTGTAACGGATAACAGCACTTTATTTATATTTTAATAAAAAAAAAATTAAAACAATTTCGACATAAATTATTTTTGTCCACGTTTTACCTTTCAAGCTTTAAATTGAATTGAACCGTACATTCCGCGCATTTTCCGTTTTCATGACTGGACACAATCACAAGAGGCGTTGAAACTCGTGTACGCTTTTTACATTGCCACTAATGGGAGGCTTCCCCTCTATCTTATACTTTTTGAGTGCTGTGGTGGTTCATTTTGGGTCGTGGCGGAGATGTGGCAACAGCGCGAGAGTCAGTGCCGTCTGTCACACAAAGTTGTAGGTAGACAAGCACTTGACTTTTCATTCTTGTTCTCATAATAGTTAGATTGTTAATATGGGTTAGCTTTGCAAAGCATTCTGGTCGGTTCGTAAAACTTGTGTTATTGTCGGAATTGTCGTTCGTCGATAATATTTGTAATATTTGTACAGGCCGGTTGGTTCAATGGACTACTGAATAAATCATAAGAGTGTTGTTCTTGTTGAGAGGATAAATTACGAGATTTTATTTTCTCATTCAAAAAAACAACCAACTCAAAAAACCAATAATTACTGTCCAGAACAAACGCAATAAAAACGACCACCTACCAAATTGCTGAGGCCATACACGGGCTAAAATTAGTTGCATAAAAATTTCGAATTAAAAACTGCTTCACCAACCTTAAGGTCGAATTTTGATGAGGCAGGCCCTTGCGTCGGCGGGTGGCCGCCAGCCTGAAGGGAACAGGAAAACTATACCTTTATCATATTTTTTAGATGTATTGCGTATTACCCCTCCCTAATTCCCTACTTTTATATAGGGCTGGAATTAAAAAAATTACCTTTTTAAAGTAATTTTGTAATTTTTGTAACCAATAAACTACATGCCAATTATGGGCAGATACTTTCGAAATGATTTGTCCGGAACTCATCTCCATTATTTTGAATGTAGTCCTGTAACATACTTCCGTAGGCTTTCAGCGCCGGTATCGTAATTAGTTTTTCCGGGCTGTTAGGCCGTGGTCTACAGTGAAGTGCAGAAACCGAAGTCGCTAAGGAAAAAGAAAGTCAAACTTTTGTGCACGATACATGAAAACCCACAGAATCTACGACCGAACAGAGAACAAATCTACCAAACTCGAAGAGATATAGCTCAAAATGACAGTCTAGTCTTCCTCCGAACGGAAGATTAGTGCCAAGAGAAGAGTGCCGCGCGTTGAGACAACTCAACAAGGACACTAGCCTCATTGTCTTGCTAGCAGATCAGGGAAACGCTACAGTGGTTCTTAGCAGACACTCCCCTACGACATACAAATTAGCCCAACATATCGAAATTGTTACGCGGAACCAGCTTTTACGTGAGGGATTCGAGACATTTTATCGAGTCTATTAAGGGCATTGTGGTAACACTCGCAGATATACTGGTCAGTTTGGAAGTAGTCTCCCTGTTTACGAATGTCGTATCGTATATCATCCGAGACAAAAGATGAAAACTATTAAAACATTCATAGACAGGGAGACTAGAATCTCCGATGCAGAACACCGGCGGAATTAAATGATTTAGAGAGAGTGCTAGAAAAAATCAAATCAAAAGTCAAGATACAAAAGAAGAAACGCCACCGGACAGTCTAGTCTTCCTCGATTACATCAGAGCCGTAACGATCGGATCGAAACATAATAAAAAATCAATGTTTAAACCCATCGTTGTGGTCGGCCGGGGTATACAGAATCTCATGTTCCTATGGAGACGTCTATACTGGTACATCGAAACGTAGCATCACTACACGTTTAGCGGATTTAGCGGAGACGATCTCGCCGCTTTGGACAAGTAGAAAAATAGGCGGTTGCAGAGCATGTTTCCGAACGAAGATCATAACATCAGATTTGAAAACGGAAGTATTGTTCATACAGAATCACTATTATGCGAGATTACATCGAGAGGCCATCGGCCAAAAACACACACAAAAACTGTATTCCACCAACTCGGCAAGGGGGCGGCCCGGACCACCGCTCAGTCCGCCCTACGTCCTAAGCGTTAGAACAGAGGTACGACTTCGACAACCGGCACCACTACCGCAACAGTCGTAGCACTACATTCTACGGTTTACTGAGGATGGTTGCTGCAGTAGCAGTTCAAAGCTTTGGTAACAAAACCAATAGACCATGGCCTAACAGGCCGGAAAAACTCAGTCCTGTAATTTCCGATTTCATTCGAGAGAAACAGAACGCACCTGTTGTATCCAGCGACTGCACGCATGCGCACGTAAAAAAACCCACTGACTCGAATAAATGAAGATAAAAAAAATATATTTTCCAAGAATGATCACAGCACAAAACTACAATAATTTAAATGCATTATTTTAGAAGTAGATGAATACAAATTGTGAAAAATAAACCAAAACTGAAAATCCGGAACTATCAACAGTGGTGTTACTGACAAAAGCACTATCAGCATGCAACATCAAACTGTACCTTGATGAGTGTATATTGTTAGGATCGTTGAGTCGCAGGACAGCATAGAACTCTAGATACAATTAGTAGTCATCTAGATCTACATCATCCAGTGGCTCATCAGCTTGCAGAGACTGAAAGTCCACTTTGTATCGCAGAATTCCTAGCATATCCAAGCAGCGTAAAAAAAAAGGGACAAACAAAAAGTGATAGTTAAAGCTCATTGCTTTAATGTGTGGCAATTTTCAACTTAATTGCAGAGCGACACTGTCTGGACTAGTTTTCAAAATATCCAAATTTAAATTAGCTGTTAGTTATAGTAAAACAAAAGAAGTTAATAATCAAAAAACTTAAACACAACTCACCACCAATTCCGCCAAAGCCCCTTACAAATTGAGAACCTTCCTGAGATTTGTCGGTGATAATTTCAAGAGTTGCACCAAAATTTTTATAATTATTTGCTAGCCATTCAAGAAGTGGTTGACACTCTACTAATTCTAATTCCACCCCACTCTATAAAAAAAAAATCCATGTAAAAACTAGTTGAGATCAAGAACACATTCCAAACCTCTTTATCTGTGAAGTGTGACTTGTCCTTTTCTTGTTCAGGGGTTAAATGCAAAACAGTTTCTGTTCCCGTTGTATGATTTTTTAAAACATATCGTTGTATGTCCAAATTTTCCCAACAAATTAAAGTCTCCACTGCTCCTAGTTCCAACCCCCTTAGTGTATCCTCAACACCAAAGCAATATTTCCCTGTGTCCTGGCTGATTTCATCAAAGTACCTGCCAATCAACTTCTTTTCTTGGATAAATTTCACATTTTGTAGGGATTCGGCAGCAAGTTCTATAGCTTGATTAAAACCATTTTCTCCACCATAAGATACATCAACCAATTTTATTACTTTTGCTTGCAGTCTCTGAAAAGGTCAATTACACTTTACAATTGTATTAACCGATCCATGGATTTAACAGGAATAAAGTTATTGTGTTTCTGCACCCACATTAACAAAGACAAAGAGGGGAATTCTCCTTTTTCTCATTCTTGCCAGATTTCAAGGGGTGTCATTAAAGAGTGTGGAGTGTGGAGTCCTTGTTGATGTTCAGGGGTTTTTGATTGCATTTCAAATCTGTATGACCAGAAACATGTAAGGAATTGTTTGTTCTTAATAAGTTGGCAGTTAGCAAATAAAAACCAAAAATCATCATGTTTAGAATTAGACTTAAAAATTATTGTTACTTAATTTTTTAGCCACCTGCAGGCCTCTACCTTAAACTCTAATAACAGCAGGTATTTTAGAACCGTTTTGCAAAACTTAAAAAAAATATATTTAACAATTATAAAAACTCTGCAATACTCACAGGATCAAACATATCTGACTGACTAAGTTCAGTTTTAAAATCAGCACTACCAGCCAATATTAGTCCAGCAATATTTGGCTTGTCATTTGTGATAAAAAGCTGAGTGGCTACTTCAGCAACCTTTCTAACATAGTTGTGCCGTTTCTCCATTCTTAAACGAGCAAAACGAAGTGCAGACTGACCACCTCTGCCATGCTTTTTTGGTAAATCTACTGTAAATTTATGAAGCACCTCCCTAGTATTACCTGAGTAAAATATGCATGTAAAAACATAATTTGCCCCCATAGAATTTTACCTTGCAAAGTACCAAACAAGGCACCATTACCATCCATGACAATAAAACCAAATTTATTGTCATCAGCAAGCAATGCTGTTAGAGCTTCTGTATGAAATTTATTGTCACATAAATACAAAGAAGTATTAATTGGTTTAAAAGGTTCAAAATCAATGTTAACTTTCTTCTCCTTGCCTTCATCTGTGACAATTGTTCCACAATAAATTACTAACCCATTTGGGGGCACTAGAAATATAAAAATTGTAATTAAAAATTAAATTTGCTTTCAAGAACAATAGCAACCTTTTGTATAAAGCTTCAGCCTATGTTGTACAGAAGTAATCGCTCCCAAAACCGATAATCTATTTACGCGAGATTTTATATTTGAGGCAGTACCAAATTCATCAGCTAACATTTTGCTAACCCTAGAAATCTGATCTTTTGGTGGAATAATAAGAGATATCATACTCGTTCCATTCCTGAAAGAGAAAACTATTAACTTTACAAAAAACTGGATAACTTTTTACAAACCCTCTGGCCAGCTCTAAGCTTTTAATTAGTTTCTTGATTTTCCAGATCTCCACATTACGATCGGCCGAAGTTTCCTCGCCCGACATATTTCTAATTTTTCAAAAGGAAACACGTCTGTACTGCAAAATGGCGTGGTTTCAATTTAACCACAAAGTTTGAAAGGCCGCTAGCCACAAATGCACTTTTTACTGGTTTGTCAGACAGTCAACCAATAACTGGTTTGAACTAGAATTTTATGGTTTATGTTTACAGTTTATAACATTGATGTTCCATGAACTTTGCGATGTTTTGGAAAACCAAACAAACTTTAAGCGAATCGTTTGGCTTAGCTGCTAAAAAATCGGCAAACTGATTTTTAGCAAACACAGGGAAGAAAAAGACCAAATGTTTCCTGATATTTAATAATAATAACAAAGGATTAATTTTTACGATTATTGCACATGTCGCATGATATGGTCCATGACGGATTCACATAGATCATCATTTATTTTTATTTTTTTTAATACAATTCCCAATCAGAAACCTTTTCTGCGATGTGATTCAAAAAAACATTGGGTGTCATAGTCAAAAACTTCCTTTGACCCGGTCAAGGATTGTTAAATCTTGTCCTTTATATGAACAGTTCTGTCTCCTTAACATTTTTCCAAGTTACTTTAAAAACTTTCTGAACGAAATCGAGTAGTATTAGTGTATTTGCCCAAAGCCAGCTTTCTTGGGAAGATAAAAAATAATGCACAGAATAGTAACCAAACAAAATTAAATTCTTTTATTTTCCAGATAGAAATAATAGTTTCGTTTTATTTGTTGTTATTTATTATGTTTATCTATGATAATGATTTAGTAATTCGTGGTTCAGGAATTTATAATGTATGAAAATTATGAAGTTCATCCAAAAACACAAGAGAGTTTTTAAATGCATTACTTTATCAGTCATGGGATTTAGGTAAAAGGATTGTATTAAATTCTTTATTGTAATAAATTACTGCTTTTATATGTATATCAGTGCAGGGTGGATGTATTACCAATTGAATCGAACAAGATACACTTTAAACAATGCCATGGATACTTCTGTTTTGGAAGAAATGGAAAAAAATATTTCAAATAAAGAAAGTGCAGAGCAAGAAATTGTGCATATTAAACCCTTTATAGAATCCAAGCAAAATAATGCAATAAGCAAGTTTTGTGATACTTTAAAATTTATTTATGCTAGACGTTTACTCGCAGTGGCAAAAAGCACTGAAAAATACTTTAGGTTAAAGGCAATTAATCAACTTTCCTCATTGAATTATTTAACTGATTGGCATTGCGAATTAATTGCTAACATGGTGGATCCTCACACTGCAGTTGCATTAGCTCGGATTAAACACACTGATGAAAGATTTTTCCTTGAGCCACCATACAGATATCATAATTACGACAAAGACATTCTAATTAATGCCATGAGGGAATTTTTAATCACTGTATATGAGAAGTCACGACATCCTTGTGTCGGTTATTTTTTATCAAAGGCTTTTGTTTATGAACATGTGAGTGTAATGTTACTATCCTAAATTCCAATTGCTTTTCACCTTGTCATTACAGGACAGTAGTCATATAGTTGATCATGACACATCATGCTTAGAATTAAGTAAATTTATTCAAACAGAAAAGGAGGTTTTGCCCTTATGCCTGGAGTCTCTTCTCCATCATGTCAGCTTGGAAAATTATTCTACGGATGTTGCCGACTTAAATGGTTTGCCATTACTTATGGAAGTACAGAGGCGGTATAAAGATAACATTAATATAACTATTAAACTATGTCAAATCTTATCTTATATGTCACTCCACAAGAATCTTCTACAGTCCATGTACACATCAGGTGCTTAATACTTTATTTGTTGTCAATGGATAATGAAATTACTGTCATTTAAATATCAAGGATGGATTGGTATTCTTGCAAAATGGACACACCATGAGGATATCAGAATATCAGTACCAGCTGCAAAAGCTCTGGCAAATTTAGATAGAGATAATGAGGCCCAGTACTCCAGTTCCCTTTACTTATTGCATCCTTTACATAAATCTAATTATACTGAAAATGCTGATGTGGTATTTATACATGGTCTTTTGGGAGGAGTTTTTTACACTTGGCGACAAAGAACTAACAATAAGACCAAACATAAACAAAAAGGTAGAGATTTTTGGATTTCCTTCTAATGTGATATCAAATATTAAAATTAATATTTTAGAACATCTTAAGTTGTCAACTAAAGAATATATTGAAAATATAAAAGACTTAATTGTGCCAGATGACTTTGAAATTGTATGGACTGACATCCCATTAAATTCTAGTCAAAACTGTGCCGGCCCTTTCACATGCGAAAGTCAGAAAATAAAAGAATATAAGGCAGATGACAGTTACACTTACTGCTGGCCAAAGGACTGGTTAGGTGTTTACAAGTCCAGTTAAATCTGAAAAATTTCCAATTTAAGAGACTTCTCTTTTTGTAGCAAATGACCTTAAAAATATAAGAATTATAGGAATAAATTATGATACTAGCTTATCAATGTGGGCACCATTGTGCCCACTTGAAAAAGAAAAGTTAACTTTGGATGAAAGAAGTGATATGCTGGCTCAAAAGTTATTGCAATGCAATTTAGGTAATAGACCTATTGTATGGATTACACACTCAATGGGAGGTCTCATTGTTAAAAACATTCTATCTAAGGGTATGGTAAACAAATATGTTTATTATATATGTAAAAAGATCAAATTTTAGCTTTCCAAAGCGATAATCCGGACCTAAAAAGGGTATGTACCAATACTAAAGGCATAGTATTTTACAGTACTCCTCACCATGGTTCCAAAGCAGCCAGTTTAAATCAAGCTGCATCACTAGTCCTATGGCCATCTGTGGCCGTACAGGAACTGAGAGAAAGTGAGTCATCAAACATATCTAGATATTTATGCAACAAATTATACACTTCTATGTAGATTCACCAAAGCTAAAACAAATTCACGAAGAGTTTTTGGAAATGACAAACAAGATTCCTATGAAGGTGATTACATTTGTTGAAACCAAACCAATAGTGGTGACAGCTATGAAATTTAATTTTGTATTGGTCGAGCCTCAATCTGGAAATCCTGGAGTGGGAGAATATTATGAAATTCCACAAGATCATCTTGGGATTTGTAAACCTGAAAGTAGGTAAGGAAGAAAATTTTTCATCCAGAAAACAATGTTTTCTGCTTGCATTTGCGTTTGTAGGTATTCATTTCTTTATCAAAGGATATTGCACCTGTTAGAAGAAATTACAAGTAGCAGCAGTTTTTAATTGGATTAATTTGTAATGAGTGTTTTGCTTATTAAAACTGTATTTGTAATTCTGTGAACTTTGATTAAATCAATTATCTAGTTGGTAAACGAGCAAATAGCATTACACATTAACAGGACATACTTGAACAACCAAGCATTTGTGCATCAATTGCACTTTTGAGACTAGTGCAAAATACATGTTAAGAGACAGCAAAAAACATCTTTTACAACATTTTGCCAGAAAAATGAAAAAAATTGACCTTGAACAGTAAGAGTCAACTATGTTAAGCAAACATAAAAACTTCTTGACTATTAAATATATATTGGAACCATGTTGACATTCAATTCGATGTAATATTTCTCATTTGTCTAACAGCAGCTACATATCTTGCAGAACAACTGGTACTTTGACTCTGATACTGATCAGATGGAATTTTTAATAACAAGGAGAGTTGCTGCAAATTTTCAGAGAGGCTGATACCAAGGTCTTGCAAAACATTGTTTAAATAACCTGAAATTATTAAAAAACTTTGTACTGATTTGGGCAATATTGATTCAACAAGTGCTTACTTATATCATGGGCCAATTGCCTACTGGCCGAATGACTTAGTTGGCATACAGATAGAATCTTGTCACAAAAATTATTACATGTTCCTCTGGCTACAATTTTGAGAAATACTTGCGCCAATGCACCTTCTGTATTTGCAGCAGTTGCATATTCTTGATCAATAGACTTAAGGGCACACATTAGAGAAGGATTCTCTCTAAATAAAAATGGTTCTAAATGTTGAGGTAATGTCATTAAATATTGGCCAATCTAAAAACACATCATTAGAACCAATTTTTTCAGTTTGTGGAAGTAAGTACTGAGAATACAAAATTACAAAGTTACAAAATTGTCTAATTTTACTGCTTACTTGTGTTATATACTCTTGAGGAGAAAAGCTATAATCCGGCAAATCTGAATTATGCATTGCAGATTCATCATATTGTGACCAAGTCTGAGGAACTTGCACTACAGATAGTTGGGATGCAATGGGTCCAAATACAACTTGATATGTTGTATGATGTATGTCACTGCACAGTTTACTAAACTCATTTGTTACATGGTCCAAAAGTGATAGCTGTGTTCCTTCAGTTACACATCTTATTAGGGAGTCATACTCTTTTAATGCAGAAGCACTCAAAACATAATGTTTTAAATCAACTCTGTCTTTTTTCTTATTCAATTCCAATACAGTGCTTGTCAAATCTTTTTCAAGTTCTTGAATTTTTAACAGTACATCTCCACTGTATTGTAAAAGAGTAAGACAAAGTTGAAATGTTGACCAATCTTCCTCAGGTCTCTTGGATCTGTCAACTTGTCGCAAAGCCACTCTAAAATATAAAACAATAACTGACTTATTATAATATGGCAACAATTTGAAATATTACCTATAATATCCACTGTAGTTTGAAAAATATGCCCTCAAGGCAACAAGTAAACCACATATACCATATTGTTCTGTAACTTCAAAGCAGCGTTTTTTTGCATCTCTAGCATAATCTATAATTACTGAAACACTCAATCCTAAGGCTTGAATTGTATCTGACAATTCTTCTTTCATGCAGTTTATTGATCCAAGTTGTTTATTCAAATGAGCTTGTTCATATGCAGCATAATTGCTGATATAATTGACTAAATGAGCAAATATGGCTCTTAATAGATTTTGAATTTTGGTTGGTTCTATGCCAATGGTTTTCTCTAGCATATTTTCAGAAAATTGTGTGGTTACCTCTTTGACCTCCTTTAAAAATATTAATTTATCAGGCACCTGTTTCATGGCTGCTTGAAGACAGTCACTTAAAGAAGGATCTAGAGAATTTAATACCATTACATATATGTCTACTAAAGTGCTACTGGCACATTCTCCCGTAAATACCTGGGTGAACCATTTTACTTGTGTATGCCAATTTGAAATGAGTACATTGTAGTAATTGTGCATACACTGAACTACTGAGCCATCCAGTTCAGTTTCTAATTGATCGCGCCACTTTTTTATTAATGTATCTTTTTCACATTTACCATAGTATTTTATCAATTCGGGCAATCTCCCCATTAACTGGAAAATATGAACATATCTTGCAGCCTGTTCTAATAAAAAAGAAATCAGATTTTGGAATCATTTATATATTCTATAATACCTGTGTTGTAAGAAGTAAAAGCTTGTACAATTAATGGACTAGCAATTGCCTCCAGTCTATTTTTTAAACCTTCCAATTGTAGCCTTCGATCTTCATAATCAACTACATTAACCAAAAGTTTAAGTGAATTTTGCATACCCAGGATTTTGTTTGAAATATTTTCTATATTTTTAGAATCGAATACTTCTTCCAGGTCATTTACTGAAAACAAACTTAACCTAAGCAAAAACTTTTTAGAAATTCTTTGGAACACAAGATTGAAATTTAAATTAATCATGGTGGAAAATTACCAAAGTTTACCTAAAATTGCCCAGTTATCTGTCTCTTGAAGCCCTTCTTTGACCAAAACAAGCTTATTCTTTATTGAATCCAATGCTTCAATTGAATTTATAGATTTTGTGGTATCCAATTCAATTTTTATGATGTCTTCCTTCACCTGTTCCATTTTTTCTTTCAATATTATAGCCTCTTCTTGTAATGCTTTTGTATCTCTTATGATTTTTGGCATCATAGTCAATGTTTGTTGACTGGTATTTTCTAAAGCTTTATTGACTTGTTGAACATACAACTGCAGTTTCATTGCTAATCCGATTACATAGTCATTCTAGAAATAAATTCAATCTCATTTGCTCTGGGCTGGATATATATATATATATATATATATATATATATATATATATATATATATATATATATATATATATATGTGTTCGAAGTGTTTTCGGAACGCGAGCATTGAAGATGCCAAGTGAGATTTTGGCGAAACGTCTGCAGGATTCCAGTCGGATGCAAGATTTGCAGGATTCCAGTCGGATGCAGGATTCCAGTCGGAGTTCAACGAGCGAACGGATGATATCCCGGAATATAGTGTCATCATATATATATATATATATATATATATATATATATATATATAAATGAAACAAATATAAATCTATACTACTAACCTGCTTATCTAACACATTTGAGTTTAAAACTGCATTGACCCAGGCTTTTGCGTCAAAATCATCCTGAGAAAATTCGCTTATATCCTAAAACAAATCTGGTATTGGCGAAAAATGATAAAATACTGAGAACTTGCCATTATAAGCAAATTTTTATGTGATGCTCAAACACGTTCTCATACTTATGCCGGATTACCAAATATATTTTGAAAATAATGTCTATTACAATTAATTGTTACAGATAAATAAATAAACACAACATAACCTTTTTCTTCTTTAAGCATTCATATTCTTCTTTATTTTTAGGTTTATACATTACTTATACGTGTTAGAAAAAGGGGAAAACAAAAACAAATGCCTAAATTCACTTCGCAAGTTGTGTGCGAAACACTTTAATAAAAGTATTAAAAAGAAATTAATCGCATAAAACCATAAAAATGAATCGATTTGATTTTTTAAAAATAAAATAATTTTAAATACTTATCTTGATTAGGCAGTGTCTATATTTCAGTTTTCCAAGGTTCAGCAGTTAGCACTTTTCGGAACATGGTCAAAACATTTTATTTCTTTTTCCAGGGGTAGCAACTTCCTTTTTGCGGTTTTGACGATAGAATAAGTTTAGTTAGTACATAAAATATAAAGAAATTTACCAAATGAAAACTCTCCCAAGAACTAATATAAAAACAAAAAATAAAATATATTATGGAAATTTTAGGAAACATTGGGAACGTCACTGGGTTAAATTAAAAGAGCAGTACTTTTAAAAAATTAATTATTAAATTCTGGAGTCCACAATTTAAATGTTCTATCATAAGAGCTTGTGGCAATATAATTACTATCATGTGAAATATCACAGGACATAATTTTTCCATCATGACCTAATAGTGTCTTTAAAGGTTGCCAGGTTCTATTGCTCCACAATTTCACTTTATTGTCATAGGAAGCTGTCACTAAAAATTGGCCTTCATTTTTTTGGAACTTTACATCAGATATTAAGTTGTTATGTGCCGGAATTGTGTAAAGGGGTGACCGCTTCCTCAGGTCCCATATTTTGCAACTATTGTCCTCACTTGCTGTCGCTATTTGATATCCATTTGGTGAAAAGTCAATTCCTTAAAGTAAAACAAGTAAACATGAAACATATAGCAAATAAGAACAATTTCATATACCTACCAAATATGGATTTCAGATGTCCTTCCATAAACATTATGCACCTACCAGTCCTTAAATCCCACACTCTTCCAAATGCGTCTAATCCCCCAGTTGCACACACAGATCCGTCAATTTGAAAAGATATGCAATACACAGGCTTGACATGACCTTCCTGATGCAAAACTTCTGTGCATTGTTCTAAATCCCACAAACGCCAAGAATTATCAAAACAACAAGTGCCAAGAAATCTTCCTGATGGATGAAAACTTATTCTTGATACTCTGTGTGGAACATGTCCTTCAATGTCTGCTATGGGTTCAGAACTATTAAAATCCCATAATTTGACTGATCCATCTGCAGCACATGAGGCCATATTGCAAATGGTTTCTTCTTGTGATATTGTGGCTTTAGGGTGAAATACTATTGCTCCTACATTACATGTATGTCCCTTCAGTGTTTGTTTTAACTGACAGTCGGGTACTGACCACACATTGCAAAGACCACTCCATGAAGCTGTTGCCAAAAATTTTGAATTAGGACTAAATGAACAATATGAAATTGGTCTGGTGTCTCCAATCTGACTTGAGTAAATTGACATGGCATGCAATTTTTTCTGTAACTCTTGCAACTTGGCAGTTTTAGTTGTGGAAGGCAATTCTAAAACAGCACGAGCCTCTTCAAGTCTGGCCTTAGTTCTGGGTAATGAATATTCAGCAATCCATAACCTCGCAATTCTTAAAGATTCTGGCCCTTCATGGTACCATGTTTGTTCATGGTCTTTCTCAAATAATTTCCTTTCTTCCTCTGCTTCTCTTCGTATAACAGAATCTTCACCTAGTCGACTCAAAATATCTCTTAATCTACTTCTTCTTTCTGCAGGTCCCTCTCCAAACAAACAAATTGGTTCACCAAGTTGCCTCAAGTTTCGTTTCACTTCCCCATCATCTGTTGATACATTTATTGATCTAGCTTTGCGTCTCCTTTCAAATTCCTCTAGCAAAGCCTGCTTGTCTCTAGACATAGAGTTTTCAAGATCCATATATTCATTTGGTTCTTGAATATGGGCTGCTTGAAGCGTTTCTGTTTGTGAATCATTACTATGATCATCCTCTTCTTCTAGTGGTCCTCCTCCGGCTCCTTCTGGCGAACCATAATGTATTGTTTTCTGCTTTTTCTTGTAATGTACTTCCTCATCGGACATGATGAGAGGCCACTATCTTATAAGACGGTATCGTAAAATCTTAGACAGAAGTGATTTTGCACTTCCCAGGAAAAGATTATAGTATACCAATTGGAATATTTGGAATATTTACGTTTTACAACCTCCTATAATCCTTAGTTTACATGTTAGACGTCACATTTTTATCTTTGTTAATGTCAATTATTCCTGTTAGCCAAAATTTGTAGAATCATTCGGCCAACATAGGGATCAACTAAAAGCAGACATTCTAGAAAAATTCTTGGAGATGACTTCGTATCGGAAAATGGAAGAGTTCGGAGTCCCAATTCATTCAAAACTACTTTTACATCATATTACTTGTTTCGTGGGGGATTGATAACGTCACTGCTTCACCTAAACTGATAAACATAAATTATTGAAGTATCTTCTTACGCTATTATAGGAGTACATGTGTTAACTAACTTAATAATTTTCAAAATAAAAGCTCGACATCCAGCGAGCCTTGAGTGAAATAAGGAAAGCTATTCGATAGCCTCCCTTTCTTTATATGATCGCGCCATCTGAAGGCGAAAATGCACACTAAATTTAAAGTTTTCATTTAAGTTTAAATGACATCCGCAAAAAAATAGAATCGTGAAAATATCATAGACCTGTTGAAGTTCTCTTTACATGAGCACTTTGTCTATCCCTTTCTAAACTTTAAAAAAATTCCAAAGATGGGAAAAAGAATTTTTATCTTCAAGATTTTTTTTTCCACAAGGATCAGGGATAGCAAGTAAATGCCTTTAAAAAATTATCGTTTAGTGGTTGATTAACGCAAATCTATGTATATTTCTTATAAAAAACAAGCAATCTTAAACGGCAATAAGTTATGTTTAGGTTTTCTCTTTCTTTCCACAAGCCTGTGAAAATCTGAAGTTTTTATAAAAATAAATATGAAAGGTCTAATTACCGTGTTGATACGGTGTTGTCAGTATTTTTGACCCCGTTTTGAGTTCGCGAAGCTTTGTATTTGATGCCGTTAGGTTATCTTAAAAAACAGTTGTTTCCGCAAAGTCGAAGTCATCTTGCGGCGATAAATGAAAGATAAAAATGTAGACAAATTCCAAAATAAGGGCATTTTCGTATGTGATTTTTTAAGGAACGTTATTGATTTGCCTTAGAGGCTTGGTCGACGAATATAAAACCTATACATGGTTTACGAGGGTCTTACGTGGTTTCTATTGGCTCACTGAGTCATAAAAACTCTGGGACACATTTTTTATCGGAATTTTCCAAATGATTGAACATTTACATATGCGTTTGCAAATTTTTAGAAAGTCTAGAAATCTACAGAAAGTGTTGAAAATTAAAAGTCGAATGGGCTTGAAAAGTGCTGAAATCAGTGTTTTGTTATGTGATTTAAGGAAGATTATGGAATTTGAAAAGGAATGAAAAATTGCGAGTATTGATTATTTTTTTAAACGTTTTCAACTTCTTTAAATGTTGTCTCATAAAGTTTTTTAAAAACGGGACTTAAGGTGTTGTAAACCTGAGAATTGTGTTGGTTTGGTAGTTTTTGAAACATAACCAAACAAAAACAACATAAACAAAATGCTTCCTCAACAGTATTGTTTAAGATGGAGGTACCATCACTCGAACTTGCAGACCATGTTCTCCCAGCTTCTTGAAAGGCAGGCCTTCTGCGATGTAACCCTTGCCTGTGAAGGAAGAACAATAAAGGCCCACAAAATTGTTCTTTCTGCTTGCAGTACATATTTTGAAACTATCCTTTCGCAGTATGAAGAAAAGGATCCAATCCTGATAATGAAAGATGTGAAATATATTGATATAAAATGTTTAGTTGAATTTATGTATAAAGGTGAAATCAATGTTGAACATGTGAGTTAGCAGTTTACATTTCATATTTTTATCGTCATTCACATTTCCTTAAGAAAATCTAACTTCTATACTAAATGTTCATTTTATTATTTTTTAGTGCCATTTAGCAACATTACTTAAAACAGCAGAGGAGCTACGAATAAAAGGTTTGGCTGAAGTATCGTGGAAAGATGAAGAGCAAACTTCAAGTGTGAGTGATGGCAATGTTAATGGAATACAGACAGCAATACCCCAAGTGACGACTGTTATGGATACTCCTTCCAAATATGACCCTCCTCCAAATAAGAAGAAGCGTGGGAGACCACCCATAGGTAAAATTTGATGGTTATACATGTGAGTAGAAAATTATACATTCTCACTATTTAAAGATGATTATGACAGCACATTCACTACTCCGAGAATAAGTAATGTTCAAGGAACTACCGATGAGACTTATTCCAATGATGCCATGTCTAGCAGTGAACATGATCTAAATATTTGGGAGGATGATCAAGCAAATGACCATACAGACAATGAGGAGTCACCTATAAAAGTTAAAAAGGAAATTGTGAGTGTTACTTTTGTTACCCCACTATTTAAACAGCACATTAATTAAAAAATATGGCTTTTTTTTAGTCTCAGGAGGAGGATTTGGATGACCGTAGCAACAATTCTTTCTCATTACAAAATGAATCATCAAAAGGCAGTACAAATACCAATGCTAACAGATCCACAAATGTAACCACCTCTGGGGGGCAATCATTTCTGACTCCCCAAATTGAAAAGGAATGGCCAGATGTCATTAAAATGAATGAATATTTAAACACAGGCCGACGTCAACAGTTCTGGGAGGAACCTTTTACCAAACGTGTGATGGATGCAATCAAGACGAAAAATTTGGAAATGAAGGTAGCTGCTGAATTGCTTGGAGTTTCGTATGGCACATTATATGGGAGGTATCGAGATTCCTATGGATGTCTCAAGCATCCTTACAGGTAGGATTGATTAATTTGTGTGTTCCTCCATTTTCTGATTTACTTTCCATTTGAGCATTAGTCCATAAGTATTTGTGCATTAATTTAATAATTGTGTGTGTTTATAACTAGTCATTTTTAAAATGATTGTCCCAATGTTTACAGAACCCACACATTCCACACACCCAACATTCCCGTGAAAATATACCTTAAGAAGCCATTAATTGATTTGAATTAGAATTTTGCATTCAACTCTCAATAATGAATACATCATCAATATTGTTAACTTTTATGGAAAGATGATCATCAAATGCCTTATAATATTTGTGTTAATGATTTTGTGATTATTGTATTTTATAGAGTAATTTGAGATTTAAATTAGTAAACAGACTGTTGCAATGGTTATGCTGTTTATTGTGTAGAATGAGTAAACTATTATGGTGTCCAAGAAACTCAACTTTCACACTTAATAAAATCATCAAACTAATCTGTTATCCAAAAATATAACGAAAAATAACTACTTTTTACAAAACTTCGGGATTCCGCCTGGGTCGTTTTTTGCTGAGTGGAACTTGCTTACGTTTCGCCAATCATCCTGTTGGATTCTTCAGAGCTTGACTGAAACTGACTGGCATTTTACTCTGTATTTGCTCATATATTGTTTAAGGGGGCGGAGCTAAATGAGGGGCATAACATACGTTTTACCATTGAGTTGCTAATAATAACCTTCCATTCTCAGATATTCTTATTAATAGAAAATCAGACCTAACATTGCGTCATTGTGTTTACAGAAAACCTACGCACTGCACGTAGACCGATACCTTAATGCATGGTCACATCACCATCCGACCCAAAAATTATCGGTTATCAACTCTCTTATTTACAGAGCCGTAAAACTAGGTCAGCCCAAGTCACTGAACCCAGAATTAAAACACCTTACCTCTGCTCTTCTCTCTTATAATATCCACATTAAAGATATTAAGCGTTCCATCAAAAAATACACTTCACCACAACCTTCCAATAACAATGAGGCTGAAAGCAATCCTTTCTTGCCACTGTGGTCCTTCATTACATTCAATACATCACTGACCACATATCAAAAGTTCTAAAGAAGTATAACGTCAAAACCAGATTTACCCCTTGTCCAAAAATCTCTCAACATCTTCAGGGCGTCAAAGACAAAATTCCATTTGAGATGCCAGGAGTTTACAGCATTCCATGCATATGCAGCAAAGAAAACATCGGAGAGACCGATGAAAAATATCAACTAGGCTCAAAGAACACGAAAGAGCCTTACGACTAACACAAATAAACTCGTCAGCTGTTGCCGAACACAATCATGAAACCGGACATAAAATTTTATTCGATAAAACTAAAATTCTTGCATGTAATCAATTCTTCTACCAACGAAAAATCCGAGAGTCTATTGAAATCTATAAACAACCTAACAATCTTAACCGCTATTCAGGTCTTTATCTGTCATCAAAATGGGAATCAGTCATCCGAGATGGTGTTCAACAGAATGATTGGCGAAACGTCACCAAATTGAACTCAGCAAAAACTCACGCAGGAACAATCCAGAAGTTTTGTGAAAACTATTACAGTAACCTGAGGAAGTTTCGTTGAAAAAAAATTAATAAAAATAACTAGTTTACCATACACACTTATTATGGCTGGTTACAGTTGTTTGCGTAATAAAAGTTCAGTTAATATTACAATAATATAAAAGAAGAAATATTGTCAAAATTAATTTAAATGCGAGATTTGTTTGAAAAAAAAACAAAACCTTTGAGGGATTAAAATATAAGAGTATATTTAATTGTTCTAGCTAGTATTTTTGAGGTTACAGTGTCCATTGTACATTGTACATTTTCAGATTTGCTCTGTTCATCGCACTGTACTAGCGATGAACAGAGCAAATCTGAAAATGTACAATGTACAATGTACAAATCTGCTTTTTTACGGCATCTATGGTTGCCTACGAATGAGAAAACCGCAGCAGTCGCAGCCAGAATGAAGTTTCCTTTGCTATACATTCGCTCTATACAATAACAGATACAACTCTCAAAGACCTTAACGTTTCATTAACTCACATTACGTGACCAAAAACAACTTGCGTAACCATTCAATTTATTCGGTATTCTTGTTTTTTTTTGTATATATTTATTATTTATTTTTTGCCTATTGTTGAACTCAGATCTCAAAGTATTCTAAAATGTTTTATATACCTTATTAATTTAAGTACCACACGAAAATATGATCATCCTGTTTATATATTTTTCAATTTTTTCAGTTTTCACCCATTATTCAAAAGGTATGAAATTAAATTGGTTGTATGTATTAGATTTCTTGGAACTTGTTTGCTCTCAATCAATTACCTAAATCATGGCATGTGGGTTTGTGTGAACCATAGAGTATTAGATAATATAGGGGTTGTAAATACTTGAGTTATTACTGGTGGAAATCAATGATGTACGACACCATTAAATAGCATTTGCTACTATCTTGGAATTTGAAGCGATAATAATCATTCGCGGATGCGCATATTGAATGTTCTTACTCAACATTTTTTCATGCTGCCTTCACAAATGCCTGTTTTAATGGCAAAGCAAAACCCTATATATCTAGTAGCTATATGGTTTAAACCTATTTAACCAATTTGATCTAGTAGAAAATTTCTTAAAAAGTTTTAAGTTACATAAACTTATTTAATAATTTTAGAGTAAGAGACTTCTGGACTGAGCAAGGACCTACCGATGTGCTGCTGAAATTGAAACGGAAAGAGATCACTTTGTTCAGGGCGGCTGAACAGCTGAACGTTACCCCACAGACGTTGTCAAATTATTTAATTTCAATGTCACAAATTGACAATCCCGACAATTCAAGCGTCCAGTCTAATCAAGGCGAGTCTTACGAAGAAGGTACTTCGGAAGATGAAGCTGATTCCATCTTGCCAGACATTCCATCAAATAATACAAATGTATTTAAGAATTTGGTAAGTTCAATTTTTCTCTTTTTCTCGGGTATACAATAGAATCATAATGTCAGAACAAATTTATTTAGATGTTGCATTTTATGAAATTTGGTAAATAGATGCGCCTAAATTTGCAAAGATAGCTCGCATACCGAAAAATTGTAATGGACTGACTGCAGACAATTACCTTTTTGGGAAATTAACATTGAAAGCAATGATCGCGATTCTGGAAACAAATTTCGAAGCTATTGACAGTAAAGTTATTCCCTGTTTGACCTTGTTAAACGTTTCAAAAGCTTTTAATTATGTTAGCCATGTGTTTCTTGTTAACAAATTTGAATTTTATGATGTTTTTTTAAATCTTATCTTAACAGAAAACAAATCGTTACATTACCAAACGGTGGTGAACCACAATGTACTCAATGTACATTACATTACTTCTGAATATAAGATTACATATTTAGCACAACATTATTTAATTTGGGTAGAACTTTAAGTGATGCAGTATCTTCAAGTGCTTAAGCAATTGTTGATGCAGAAGACTGGTTTCATTCTAATCAATTAAATTAGATGAAAATAAATCAGAAGTTTTTATTTTTAAGTGCACTCGACATTAACTCTCACTCTCTCTAACTAACTAACTCTCACTTCTAGGTGTGTACCTAAATCGTAGATTTAACTGGCATGTGCAAGATTGAACAAAGTTACATTTCAAATTCGAAAACTTATTGAACTTACAACTTTCGAGGCAGCTATAAAGTTTTATTTTACTATTTTTATTAACGTGAGAATATACCATATTATTATTATTATATTATTATTAAACTTTGTGTTCTGCACAAAATAAGGATCACCGTAAGCCACTATTTAAAAAAATGCAAATCATGACTGTCCTTTCAATTTTTATCTATACCTGTATTATATAATAAAATACCAGAAACTTTTAGAAACAACTGTTTGACGAGTGAATTGAAAAAATGTAGTAAATATATTTCAATAAAGTAGTGCTTCTATGACCATAAAGATTTTACCTATAAACTTAAGATTATTTGTGTTTGCTGAAACCTTTCGTTATATACATTGTATGTTTACTTAGATGAATATATTAACAACTTTAAATGTATTTTTTATCCAGGTTTGGACAATAAATGTTTTTATTTTATTTTTTATTTAAAGGTTCAAACACATTTTTGACAATAAAAATTAACTTAGGTAAAACCTTCGCAAATATGAAAAAATGTATTTATTGTTAATTGTGAAGTGTATTTGGTGTTCCTAAACCAGGTGACATAGTTTAAACTACTTCCTACGCCCTTTATTTCTGGGGTTAGCAACATACGAGTTCAAATGATACTTTTTACAAAATTTCTGGATTCTTCCTGCGTCGGTTTTTGCTGAGTCGAAATTGCTGACGTTTCGCCAATCATCCTGTTGGCTTCTTCAGAGCTTGACTTACTCTGTACCTGCTTATATATTGTTTGAGGGGGGCGGACGTAAATGAGGGACATAAACACCGTCTCGGATGACTGATTCCCATATTGGTGACAGGAGACCTGAGTCGCGGTTCTATAGACTCTCTCATTTTTCGTTGGTAGAAGAACTGATTGCATGCAAGAATTTTAGTTTTATCGAATAAAATGTTATGTCCTGTTTCATGAGTGTGTTCGGTAACAGCTGATGAGTTTATTTGTCTTAGTCATAAGGCTCTTTTGTGTTCTTTGAATCTAGTTGATATTTTTCGTCCGGTCTCTCCAATGTATTCTTTGCCGCATATGCATGGAATGCTGTAAACTCCTGGCATCTCATATGGAATTTTGTCTTTGACGGCAAAGAAAACATTCGAGAGACCGGACGAAAAATATCAACTAGGCTCAAAGAACACGAAAGAGCCTTATGACTAAGACAAACTCATCAGCTGTTTCCGAACACACTCATGAAACCGGACATAAAATTTTATTCGATAAAACTAAAATTCTTGCATGCAATCAGTTCTTCTACCAACGAAAAATCCGATAGTCTATAGAAATGTATAAACAACCTAACAATCTTAACCGCGACTCAGGTCTCTACCTGTCACCAATATGGGAATCAGTCATCCGCCCCCCTCAAGTAAGCAAGTACAGAGTAAAGTAAGAGCCAGTTTCAGTCAAGCTGTGAAGAAGCCAACAAGATGATTGACGAAACGTCAGCAAGTTCGACTCAGCAAAAACCGACGCAGGAGGAATCCAGAAGTTTTGTAAAAAGTATTACAGAACCCTGTGGAAGTTTTTTTTGAAGAGTTTAAATGATATTTTCAAAGATATACAACAAATCAATTTTTTGAAATCACAACCCTGTATATTTGTGTAAAAAAACTCCTGCTAAAATTTTGTGTATTTGTATTTTCTGTGTACATAGATGTTATTATATATATTTAAGGAGTTAATGTTCTTTGAATTCATTTTTATTAACGGTATCGATCGCTCACAAAGGAGCCCGAAAGTGATAAAATTCTTCAAAATGTTAAAATGCGAAATTGCTTTATTTAAAAGTTGAATTTTGTGGTGGGAACATACAAGAAGTAATCACGTTCCATTGACGGCCGCTTTGGCCAATTTTTCTCCTCTGCCGAGCACAAACAAGCGGGGCCTTTTGGTAGTATTTAATATTTGCATGTTACCTCTGAAGCATTATTCGTTGCCTTGTTAACAGTTTTTTGTGGTGTGTGGTTTGTGGTGTTTTGTAGATGGCGGCGTACTAATAAACGCAAAAAGCGTAATTTTGGGTCTACTGCGAATGCTGATAACTTAAAGGACATTTTTCTATTGTACCCAAAAACTAGCAAAATAAAAGTACTTTCTATGAATTGAGTATACATACATTGTATTGCTTTCAGTTGTAAAACCGGTTGGTGGAGAAGTGTATTGGTGGCGATAGTTTTTCTATAGAATCAAATAAAATAATTGTTCACAAAGCTATTTCTTTGGTGTTTGGATTTGAAACCGGTAAACTTTTCCTTAAATATTGAATCCATAAAGGAACTGAATCGCGAACGATACCAAACGAACTATTTTTTAAAGCAACGCAACATATGAAAACAACACCGCCATTTCCAATTTCCCGCAATATTGAATTTTAGAATCGACAATACCAAATGATATCGGCGCGAGTGGGGTGATGCCTTTGTAAAGGCAGTTAAAAAGCTGAAGTTAATATTCCGCAGAAGGCCAGCCTTTGATCTAACAGAAAGAAATGCTGCGCGTAGTAAACAAACACAGCCTGTCAATTGTCAACTGAGGTTAATTTTTTTTTATAGGTTACCCCTTGCAGTGCATCCGGAAATAGGAATTCGCCGTCAGGCAATTCGGTGTTGGCTCATTGCCCTGACATAACCATAATCAAAAAGGAAAAGCTGGAGGGGAAGGTAAACAATAACTCAGATCATTCCGAAAGTAACAGTGACAAATAAAATGAGTATCGTCACCTGCTGTTTCCTTGTACTGAAAAATGTGACGTTTATATTTTCCAATATTTAGTATTTTATACAGACCAAAGTAATTTTTGTACTGTCTCTCGTTTAGTTTAATTTTTAGGAAAAAAGTGACGCTACTTATAGTACGGTGAATATTGTTCGTAGAACTTTGAGGTAGTGATCTATTGTGTGTTGCATAGCAACCTTTAGTAAGTATTCGAAATACTGAACCGCTGGGATAATCTTTTTCAAGAGGATGGTTGGACACTTTTCTAATTGGCAAATGATACCTTGGTTTTGTGTATACTGTCCCATTGAAGATGGAAGTTTCTTTGTGAAAACAGTTTTGTTTTTATCTTCGTTGATGTAGTATGTCTGCACCCACATAATTTTTCGGCTTAGGCAACATTATCTGAAATGCGTTTGTTTTACCAGGGGAGTTTGTTTGTGCAAGTGTGTTTTTTTACTGTATTCGCCAGCAAAAATATTTTTTTTCAATGGTTTTTATGATTTTGCTTATAAAATTAAAATAAATTTTATCCAAAAATTGCGGCGAAATGTAACTTATTTATTTCTATCAGGTCCTTGTATTAGGTGTGACTAATTCAACACTTGTAAATATCATAACTGTTTAATTTTTAAAATTATATTTTTATTTTGCAAGCTAAATATTTTTCATATATTGCTTAATGTTGGACTTACTTGCATTTGCGAAAATCTTTGTAACTTAAGCAGCGCTGTTGTAGCCGATTGAACTAGTCTGAAGTATATTTTTTAAATTTTTAATTAATTAAATTTTAAACTGTGATTGCTTTCTATTAACGACGTTCAATTATTATTCTTGTCTATTTTTGGGACACTATAGCTGCTTTGAACCGTGTTATGATTTAAATGCGCAGGTCGCGCCGAATTAACTGATCAAGGATTCGTGGGTGAAAAGTGAACTAATTATTTAACACTAGTAGTTCAATCGGAGTGTTCAGAGAGCAAAGTGCTACATAGGTATTTCGTCTTAATAAAGGGGGTGCCCGTATTGTAATCTGTTGTATTGAAGCATTAGATTTTGGCTGTGTGAAATGATTGGTCTGATAATTTTCCGCTCTCTTTTCTCTATTCTATTTGGTTAGGATATGTTTATTTATTTATTGTTAAAAGTCGCGGATGAGGTTTGGAACATTTTCCTGCTTTCTTCAGTCAGTACTTAAGGTTTTAGTAGCTGAAGATTGGAATTTTGCAGTATTGTTTATAATTGGTATTTTTTTTATATTTAGTTATATTACTAAACTAATTGATAGCAACAACTTTCTTTGAATACTTACTAAACGGTTATTAGACAGTATTTTTTCGTAATAGTTCTTCAAGTAATTAGTTCGCATCAACAATTTTCAAACTATAGTATGTCATTGTACCTGATTTTCTCTCTACCACGTTTTTCGTTAGCTTGTAGTTGTCGTATTTTGTTTTACGTATACATATAGCATCTTAGCATATAGCGTATGGGTTCATAAGTATAAATTTTCTTTTCTAAAAGTTATCCGGTTTCGGATGTCCTGATGCGCGTTGTGTCTAAAATCCCAGTATCAACTAGAGCTTACACATTCCAACCTATGTATCTATATTATAAAAAGAATAATAATTATGAACCTATTGTAATATAAAATCAAAAAAGGCCAATTTAAAGCTTCACTTCCTACTTTAATCTGTTTTATCCTAATTTAAAATAACCTTAGCTTATGGCAACATTATAAGGTAGATAAGCAGTAAGATTTCTTAAAAAATACCACTCATTTGAAGATAATAAAATAAAAGCATATTCTACAAGAACTATTTGGTACTTTATTGTAGTTTTTCATAAATTTGTAATATTTGCATTTGATGATTTTGGTTCACAAAAGACAAGAACGACGTACTATTTTTCTTAAAATTGTTTATCAAGAAAACAAACTATTTATAAAAAGCATTACTTAGTTTTATTAGTTGCAATTGTGTTTTATTAAAACTCCATTATTCCTAGAAGAAATTTCTAAGTAATGGACAAGATTCATTTTTTTTAAATATCCTTAGAAATTTTTTACATTAAATAACAGGGTATTATTTGCTTATTTATATTTAAAACGAGCATGATGTGGTTTTATTTACTATTGAATAAATATTGTTGATTTGCGACCAGTTTGCTTGGGGGACGCTACGATGTGCGTTAACTTATAGCGGATAGTGAAAGTGACTACCAAAATGTTTTATGAAAAACAAACGTATTATGCTATTCACGCAATATTATATATCGGCAAAATTAGTTTAGAACTTAGAGGACATATCACAGGGTCCAGTCTGTCTGCACTGACTCTTCAAATTGCAATCCTGTTATTAATGCTTTTAAGTATGTAGGTGAGCAAGACTCGTACAGGGTGTTCGAGTTTGAATTGAATTATAAAATATATTGATTAAAATCGGAACATAACTCAATTATTAATTATCTAAACTTAAATACAATTAATCTTTAGCTCAGGAATCTGATTTAGTTAGACATTTGCAATACTTCATTCTTGTAATTGGTAATTGGTAATGGTAATTCAAAATTATTTCACAATTTGTTATCACTTCAAATTTATCTATGATTAGCAGTTTTTTTTTACACCCTGTATGTTAGCCGATAAGAAGTAGATAGACTTGTATAAATTGCAGTGTATTTGCTCCACTCTCAGTATTTGTCATTTGTGTGCATTATAGTTTTTTGACTAAAAACAATTATTTAAGATTTTATATAGGTTTAAGAGCTAAGCTATCTATTTAAGTCATTTAAATATATTTAAGTACATTCAAAATATAGGTTAGAGTTTGTCATATATTTGTATTAAACATGAAGAAGAGTTTCATGTTATCCTATTTACGACATATATTACCTATATATATTATATGATGACGTATATATTTATACAATTATTTGTTGAGTGCCTAACAAATAAGTTTACAAACATAGAAGATACTATTTTACCCCAGTTTTACACATACTTAATAGACTAATTTAAAAAGATCTGTTAATTTAAGAGGTTCTAAGGACATCATTCAGCAATTGCAGTAATACAATTATCCCACTATTAAAGTTTTTAATTTACAGTATAACATTATCACTTAGTGTAATGTTTTTTATGTAGATTATTTTTTATTTATTACACATTTTGATAGACCATGATTCTTATTTTACCTTCAAACATATTTCCTATCTATTTTTCCCAATTGTGCCACCTATTAAAAAGTACATGTTCTAAATATGTAAACCTTGCCGCAAGTAGGCGACGTGCAAGTCATTGTTAAAAAACCACCTGAGATATATAGAGAAATAAAAAATACGAATCGAAATTTCAATGTTGGCAACGTTTACATGTCGACTTTTAACAAAGGACATTCCTATGTTGCTCCCAAAGTGATCTAACATATTACATGTTACATGTTAAGAGCGATCAGTGACCTCAAAAACTCTCCCCACAGGCAAAATCTGTATCCGGTTGATAGCAATCCGCTCAACATCAACATTTATTTTTGATTGGCCTCCAACATGGCGCACATCGATTATTGACTCTCTTGCTTTTACCCTTTTTAGCAATAGCGAATCACACAAATCCGTGACACTTTCAAGTTGTTCCAGTGTTCTGAGAGTAAGTTTTTTTTTAAGTTAAAAAATTCTGCATTTGTTTAATTTTTACATTTTTTATATTACAGCAGATGACACTAAGGAGAATGTTTTTTACATACATTGCTCAAGTCCACGTTTTTTTTTTAAATAAATTCGGACTAGTTTTTCTAATTTTAGAATTTCCAAACATTTTTTAATGGTTAATCTTTCAAACGTCATGTCGAAACTATTACAATTATGATTCTGTTAATGCACCGACAAGAATACAATAGTTCATCCAGGCCGTCATAAAAGATTACCTCAATTTGGAGAATATTAGAACTCATATTCCCTAACGAAATATCTAGAGAAAATCATGAAACACAAGAGAAAAATTAAAGTAATACTATGACGAAAATAAAATAATTATTCTCGTTCCCGAATACAGGATCTTAATTTAAAGTTGGTTCATGAAAATCTGGTCACCCTTTATACTTCCAACAACAATTATTGGACCCAAGTTTAGAATTTTTCCGTCGCTAATTGCCAGCTTGTAAGTTGCATACGTCCACATACTTCTTACCCCATGCTCGCAAGTATTTTGTCTACAGAGTGATCAGTAATGAATGCGCCAAAAAGCAATATTAATTGATCAGACTGCTGAAAATGCACTAAGTGGAAATTGGAAACTTCAATTCGGGGTAATTATTGAGAATTTCTGGCAATTGAAACTTAAAAACCCTATAATCTCGATATTTAATGCCATAACTTCTTCTTTGTCTTTTTGAAAATGCACTAAGTGGAAAAGTTTAGACGTTCTTATTACTCCAATTGTGTCTGATCTATCGACGTGAAAACTTGAATTCGGGGTAATTCAGGAGAATTTCTGCCAATTGAGACTTAAAATCTAGGGCATAAGACTAGGGGGCGTTAGACACATCCTATAATCTAGATATTTAATGCCATAACTTTTTGTTTATATGTTTTTATTTCTTTTGTACTGAAAATTATGATGGTATTTAGTCTTATCTTTCGAGCATCGCACTGTTGCAAAAAACAACTAACCAAATTTGATTGATACCCAGTCCGTATTACAGCATTGCGCCGAGTGGTAGAAAAAGTGTTTTTAAATAGTGGGAAAGAGCGGGACGGAGATCTGCAATGTTTCGAGTGTTTGGTGGTATCTACTTATTACAAATGGATGAAAGAAGTTTATTTTATTAAATATTAAAAATAAATGAATGTTTGGTTTATTTTTTTAAACCATCTAATACTTTTTTGTGTACCGTGTATTTTGCACATTAAAGATAAGTAGTTTACTAATAACGCATAAATTGGCGTTTTTGCTGACCTGTCTCAATGTAGATGATTTGTAAAGCATAATGACATGTGCACTATGCACTTTGTTTTTCGTAAATGTCCTCGAAACAATGTCGCGAAAATATTTTAATTATACCTATACCCATTCAAATTCAAAATTGTTTATTAAATAGGTTCAACGGAAATGTTATCAGTTATTGCATATGTTTGTTATATTTTTTTCAAAGCCCCCATTTTGCAATTTTAATTTTTTTTGCTAACAAATCGGACTGAAACACAAATTGGAGTGTGTATAAAATTGATAGATACTTATTTGTGAGCACAAAAAATTTCAAATCAACTCATAAGTACAAGTTATAACCATTATTGCCATAAAATATTCCAAAAGAATGTAACTATCAGGTTTTAGAACGGATAGAAGACTATCATAGCAGGTGTTAAAGTTATAATAAGACTAAGCAAGACCCCAAGAATATTATACGTAGCGATATATCTGTTAGATATATAATGTTGAGATGGATGATGCCAACATTACGAGCCGAGTGAGGCAAATCAATTTTTCCGTCTTTATGGACACCATGTTATATAATAGGAAACTTAAAATATTTTGACATATCAATTTTGAATCACCAAGGACTACTTAGTACCTACCTATAAATAATACAGTGACTAAGTGGGTAAGAACGGTAAAAACTGACGCGCCTTAGGCGGCTATGATATTTTCGAAGAGAAGGGCCCCTAAATTTCACACATTAATTTGCCCTTTGCGCCATATTTAATATTATATAAAATATTAAATCGGTTGTCTCTGAACATTTAACATGGTCTAACGATATTTTGTCAGCGGTCATGCTTTTTTGAACGCAGGTTTGGCTTACTGGTTGACAAGGAAATTTTTTTATTCCCTTCTGTAAAATAAAATTATACACCCATCTAGCACGCTGGAAGCGTCACTTAACCACTTGAGTTTCTTGTCCCAAATCCGAGCCACTTCGGACATTTCTGGGATATTACCGGTATGGGTTTGAGATTTCACCGCACGGCTTGAAGTGAATGTATTCGTGTTCTTTAGCAAAAATGTATCCAAAAACTAACGGTCGTAGAAATTAGTATATTATGCAACAAGTTCGGTAAACGGCATTTGGTTCACTAGCGGAACGAGTGTTTAATAAACCAGTGCTTTCAAAAGTTTACCAAACGTAAGTGATAAAGGGACGCTTCCCGCGCTCTAGATCGGTGTATAATTATGTATTTTTTATACTCCCGTCTGTAAAATACCTAGTTACACACCGAACTAGCGTGCAGGAAGCGTCAATTTACCACGTCAGTTTTGTTTCCCACGGATCCGAGCCACTTCGGACATTTCCGGGATTTCACCGCACATTCAGCTATTGCTGTGCATTACCTAAAGTTTGTTGTGCAATTACGGAAATCTGACTACAGCAAATGTGTATAGCATGTCCGAAATAAAATTCCCTATTCCTTCAACTCAGAAACTACGAACGAAAGAGGATATTTAAATAGAAAATTGCATAGCTTCATCTAGACTTTTCAATTTTCCATATATACAGGGTATTATATATAATGCCCTATACCTTAATTTAACGTTTTCGACAAATCTTCAATTTTAATCAACCTTTGCAGGCCCTAAGATAATTAAATGAAGTATAAAATCGTAAAAAGGCATTTTTTCAAATGGATAATTTTATCCGATTCGGCATTAAAAATTAAGGTGAGTTTGGGACACCCTGTGCAGTACATGTTCGACGAAAGTAAATAAACATATAGATACCAAGCAGGTTCTACCAATTGTTATTTCCGTAAGTGATTTCGTAGATCAGTCTTTAGAACAAGGTCTGGAGAAATTGGATTTCTCAGCTCGAAAATGCTAGTACACTATACACCGTAGATTTAAAACAAATTTAAAATGGTGATCATCTAAAAAGTATTAACGAGACCAAATTTCAAAATGATATCTTTAAAAGTGAGTGAGATATTTTGATCAATTAAAAAAAACATTTTTATCTCTTCCGCGACTGAAAGGAGATGGGTCCAATAGATATAAAAACTTTTTTACTTAAAATGATATATACCACCCATTTCAATTTGTGAATCTGAATCACGCAGTATAGCTGCATTTTTTGGAAAAAATGTTCAAAACTATATACAAGTACACAATACTAGGTCAACATTTTCTTCGCAAAGGCTGTATTTTGGTAAAAAATTATTTTCGATCCCTTTATATATTTCAAAGAAGTTATCGTATTAAAGCTATGGTACAGGACGAGTGCCATTTTCGTAGCCATTCAGATATTGGCGTTAGATTGTTTTTGTATGAAACCAGTGCCATTCGTTGTTAGTAAACCATACAAATGTGATCAATAGGTATTTTATTTTTTATATAAAAGTTTTTTTGTACAACGTAAAAAAAACAATAAAACACAAATATGCAAGAATGTTTATGCATGTGAGGTATGTATCGTGCCTCATGTAGGAGACAATAAAGCGCGCGTGACGGGATGGCGTTTTAATCAATGCAAGTTAATTTTTTTTTCAGTGTCTTTTTAAAAAGTATAACATTTTTACGCCAACAATCATAATGCAAACGCTTTCCAGGCAAGTCCCGTTACTTTAGTTGGTTTTCAACGTTATCGTACTAGCGATTAATAAGCGACTATTTCTAACCTTTGCATCGGTTCGCTGTGCGCGAAAGGTTCCACCAATTTCACATAAAAAGGTACTTAAGATGATTAAAATTATGTCCGATTAGGTTTAAAAAATTTCTTATCGATATTATTGTCTATATTTCATTTACATTTTAGCGACCAAGGTGATGAGTGAATTGTTGTTTAACATTGCGCGCGGACATCAGTTTTAAGTACATACATACCTATTTTAAGAAATAATGGATGTTGGGTAAGTTTTAATGATGTAGTAGATACAAACAAATTTCGACCACCTACGAAAACGATTTTATTTTTGCCAGCTGCAGTATATCAACAAAATAATAGATAAATATCAAACCATAACTATACTCGTTTTCCATGCTTTTATTGATAAATTAGAAAGTGCACGCAAAAAATTCGTTTATATAACAGAAACCTTGTTCTGTTGGGTGGCAATTATTGGCGTTTTTTTTATATGTAGGCTTCGGAAGCATTCAGCTTATTACTACGCAAAATTATCCGCACGAGCGTCCGGGAAATAGGCGAAACGAAATTGAGACCTCCTTAGGCGAATTTAAGTGCTGCTTTATTTCGTGTAACATTTTAACTCTTTTCGGACGCTGCCATGCTAATAAAAACAATTTTATATCAGTCGTCAATTTTATATTACCTATATTTCATTCATTAAATCAAAAATCTGTCGATAGGACTCTCGAAAAGTGAGACTTTTTTTTTGAGTAGATTAAGTAAAAATGTAGTTATAAACAATACGTAATTTTGTGGCTAAGTATATACACCACATTTTTTCATTATTTCGTAGATGTTTTAAAGGCGAATTTTTCATTATATTACCAAATGTTGTCTAAGTAAGATCTTAAACCTCATTACCATAATACACAGGAACACGAAGATTTCGATAATACATCATTTATGATTGATAGTGCCATAAAACTCTCAGCGCGCCTACTGTTTGTGATTTTCAAATCTCCAAGCTTAGAAATTGCGACAAAAAATAACGGCAAACTTTTCGGCTGGGTTCAAAGTGCCTCCCAATTTCGAAAAGTTTTTAAAATATGTCATTATTCATAGTGCAAAAGGCAACAGACTCAAATAAATCAGGAAATAATTCTAACGGCGTCTGTTTGTAAATTAAAAGTGCCAGTAGTTTACGCCACAAAATGTTTTTTGTCTAATGTCTAGCGAACACATTCAAAAGTGCATTGTAAAGACAAAATATTAAATAGTAAGACGAATATTACTCATAATCATCCACTTTTTAATAAGTTAACAATTTATTACGTTTATGTAATTTCAGAGAAACAGGAATTGGATTCAAAATAGGTCTAGCGCTATTGAATTCCATTAGCTTTGTCTTTGATATCACCACATATATAGTTTACTGTTTGACCGATCTACCATGGTCTGTAAAATCTAAAGCTAGATGTCTTAAGGTTGGTATTTTAAGTTTTTATTTTCATTTAATGTCAACCTAACGTGTGGTTATATAATTATGTTCCATGGATTTCATAGTTTCTAAATTACTAAATCGTTTCATATGCAAATTTAAAAATTTCAATCATTTTCTTTTTAGTCAACAATTGTGAACGTCGAAAAAGCAAATGCGGAATCCCACACAATAAACGTGTTTGATGCCAAAAATGAAAAAGTCGTTGAACGTTTATCGATAAAAAATAAATCTGTAAGTATGGCATTTACTGGCATAGTACAGAAACGATTCAAGATTTTTGGTTTGATATTTGGTTACTCCAAGTTTTTCTTATTATAGTTTATTATAGTCTATTTCATTAGTTATGTTATTCATGGTAACCTGGGCAATACTTGAGCCACTTTCATTGTTTGCAAAAGTTTTTATTTCTATCCAGTGCAGATGGCACCACCCGGGATTGGGTCAATTTATAAGTTCTGCTTATTATTATCCATTCACGAACACCGAAAATGGCGTACCAAGGGCGGTAGGATACTCAGAACAAGTATAACGTAATCTTATTTTTTATTAAACATTATACAAAAAATAAATTTTTCAGAAAGTTAATTACAGAAAATCTATCTCGGCGGTCCAATCGATCAAGTAGTCATATTTTTACCTCTTCTTTATTATGCCATGGTCAATGGCTTGTTCAAACAATAGCTTCAGGTCTTTCATTTTGAAGATAGTATCGTGTCTTGCTACAAATCCTTTCACTTGCGTGGTATAGAATTTTTGCCCTATCTTTCCTGCTATATCTGTGTTAAGTGTATGTGTTAATTTTCTATCCGCAATAGTTTCTTCTTTATCAAATTACCTTCAAATTTAATATTTTTAGTGGTTAAAATTGGAGTCTTCTATTTTCGTCACCAACAAAATAAAATTACAATTCAAACATGCGTTATGCGGTTACAAATGAATTAAAAACCGACTTTTTAAACCGCTTTATCATATCTACCTAATTGCTTTTACTTAGGTTTTGGTAATAAAATCAAAGAAAATTATTAAGAATGTTTAGGTGTGATCTTTCACCCATTCTGGGTTGCACATTACCGTAATGCATATATTAAAAGAAACAGAATATAATACAAAAAAATACCCAGGCAATTAATTACAGACTAAATACTAATTTGCTTGTTTGCTTATCTCCAACAATTTGAAAAACGAACTACTCTTAAAACTAACAGAAAATGGTTACAAAAAACTTGGGAACACTGAAAATGCAAACGGCGACCACTACCTAACGACACAACAAATGGACTGCCGAGAAGAAGCACGCAAACAGTAATGGCAGCTTTCTCCCTTTGCAATTTGCAATTGCAATTAATAATTTGTTTTAAGCATATTTCTATATAAAACAAATACGCAATACATCAAATATAGGAAAAAAGAAAATTATTTATGTTTATTATATATTTATGTTATGTTTATAAACAAATCAATATCAAAATATTTACAAAATTTTTTGATTTATTAAATTGTAGAAAAGAGTTGATTTATTACAAAATGAATTTTTGTGCATTTTAAAACGCATTATTTTCTGAGTGCAGGTACAGAAAATGATTGGAGATGCGGGCGTCAGCGTCACTTACAAGCGCATTTTCACACCATCGAAAATTCACTCCATGTTGCAAAAAGAGAACATCGACACCCTCGAAAAAGTATTGAATTACGTTTCGCAAAAGTTCTCGTCCAAACGTTGCCTTGGCACGAGGGAATTATTAAACGAAGAAGATGAAATTCAAGCAAATGGTCGTGTTTTTAAGAAAGTGAGCTTCTAGGATAAACTCGGCGAGTTAATAGTCACTTGGTAAATTTTCAGTTTAACTTTGGAGACTATCACTGGAAAACATATTCTCAGGTGAGCATGTTGGCGACGAACTTCGGCAGGGGATTGCGTGAAATCGGATGCGTTTCTAACGAGAACGTCGTGATATTTGCTGAAACTAGAGCAGAGTGGATGATTGCCGCTCACGGTCTGTTTAAGCAGAACATGTTACTGGTCACAATTTATGCCACCCTCGGTACTACTATCGGCTCGATGATGGAGGTGTATTTGTAAAATGATAAATTTCAGGTGAAGAAGCAATCGCGTACGGTATCAATCAAACCGAAGTGTCGGTGGTCATTACATCGCACGAATTGATGCCGAAATTTACGAAAATATTACACATGACACCCAAAGTAACGACTTTAATTTACATGGAAGACCAATTGAAAACATTGGATACTTCCGGTTACAAGGAAGGTGTGACTATATACCCATTCTCTGAAATACTTAAAATGGGGGCTACCTCCGACAAGGGTAATTTATTTAAGTTATTAAAATTTATTTCATTTCATTGATTTCATGAGAAAAAAAGCAACCTCGTCGTCATCCACATTAGTGTGTTGTTTCTTTTCTATAGAGTTTACTATTCCACTTTTAGACATGGATTTTTTTTTATATTAGGTGATAATCCGCCTTCCGCGGAGGATGCTGCCATAATTATGTACACCAGCGGTTCCACCGACGTACCCAAAGGCGTTATTTTGCAACACAAAAATCTTATAGCCACGATGAAAGCTTTTAGCGATGTGTTTGAAATTAGCGAAGACAATGTCATGATCGGTTTCTTACCTTTGGCGCACGTCTTCGAACTGCTCGTCGAAAGTATCGCGTTGTGTGCTGGTGTACCGATTGGCTATTCGAGCCCGCTTACGGTGATCGACTCGGCTAGTAAGATTAAGAAAGGAACCAAAGGGGATGCTTCCGTCCTGCGACCTACTGTCATGACCGCAGTCCCAGTAAGTTTTACTTAATATTAGCAGATTTTAATCTACTGCACGTAAGTGGACTCAGTTATATTAGAACAGCAACGGCGTGAGAGAAAAGTGATCCAAATTTTACAATAGTCCAATGGCCTATTGGTCTATGTTTCCCTTTTCACTTTTTTTGTATATATTATTAAATAAAATGTAGAACTTCTTTAAAAAAAAAACCTTCGTTAAAAAGACTTATTAGAAACTAGCAGCACGATTTTTTTAAGAGGATCATTAAAAAAAGCACTTATTTACCAATATGTTTTATTTCTTGAAGAAGGAAAAAATTATGTTCTTTTTAAACGTTTGTAACAAGTACTACTACTTTATTTTTATTAGTAAATAACAAACACATGCATAAAGATACATTATACATAATATATATTTGAATATTTTATTTGTAAAATAACTCTACGATTTATTATTTATTAATAAAGCAATCTTTTTTATTTAATTAACAAAACATATCAAAATAGTCAAAACATATCGCAACCAAAACGATAAACAATTGAAATTTTACCACCCAGTCGCCAGTACAATCATTTTCAAGATGGTGATAAATGGGGCAGCGCTAACTGGAGGGAATACTAATTCAGTTGAATTACTTTCTAAATTCTTAGTATTTTAGTGGGTGCCTTAGTGTTTCTATAGGGATTTAAATCGTATTACTATGTATATAAAAATATTAAAAAAAAATCACACACTCAACTATCTGAACATGAACATCCTTTGCACTAACTGCATACTTATGTATACGTATACGATGGTTTTTATATAATTAAACCCCTTTATGAAACTGAATATATGATTTTATTTTATATGTATTTCTATTTCGAACAAGTTTATATGAAATATGCTTATTTATGATTTATCCACCTTTTCAGAATGGTTAGCGCCCTTTACATTGGTTGAAATGTCAAGTGCTATTTTTAATAACAATTGGACTAAATATACGGAGTGTTTTTTGCTAATTTTCATATGACTCTACATATTTCATTGGCAGTTGGTACACTGATTTCAACCAGCAAAACACATTTTTTTATGCTAAATAGTTTTTATACCAGTGATGTTCATACCAGATTTAAAACTTAGGTTTGTAATGTTTAACATTTTTATCATAATTTTGGTGATTTTGCCATGCACCAAAAATAATGTTTATTTACGGAAAAAGCAATGGTGCACCATTTTTTACTTCAAAAATATTCTCTAAAAGTTTGGTCACCGGTAAATTAAAAAATATATATAAATATCAAAAGATACTGCTGCTTGAAAGCAGCGTACAAAATGTCATCAAAATATAGTGGTTTGAAAATTATGATAAAATAATATTTTTTCTTAGAATTTCAACACCCTGTATCTCGAAAATGAAGCACTTCCATACGTATATTCTATTTAGGAAACTAGGGTCTTATACGTACAATATGCCATAAAAATGTGATGCATTAATTTCGGAACATCCTGTTCATGTATTTCTCGTTTGATTTCCTGACACTGTATATTAAAACCATTTTAAAAAATTTTCATATTAATATCAGCGTCATATAAATACAACACAAAGTGTCTAGACATTCCACAATAGTATGCAGATAAGTTACCAGTTACTTCTCAGAAAAAAATTGGCTGTGATCGCACTACGATTTTAAATGATCATCTCTTGACTTCGGACTCTGTGTTTTATATTAAAAATTATAACAAAATTGACGCAAAACATATTTGTAGCAAGTGAAATTATATCATTTAAACGGACTAACGGTCTAATTCCAGGTACATAAAGATCCAAATGATACAGAAAGTAGGCGATATCGATAAAATTAGGATTATATACTATAACCTAACAAGTTGTATACACAATACACAAAAATTGTTAAATACCAATCAATACATTTTCAAAGAAACTAACACAGGCTACTGTAATACTATTCACGAATCTTTTGGATTCCTCCTGCGTCGGTTGATGATGAATTGAACTTGCTGCCGTTTCGCCAATCATTCTCCAGTTTCAATTAAGCTCTAAAGAAGCCAAGATGATGATTGGCGAAATGTCAGCAAATTTAATTTATTAACAACCGACGCAGCGACGGTTGAAGCTTTAAACTCATCTAAGTGCTGGGAATGAGATTAGTTTTTTTTCAGCTAATTCTCGACAGAATATCTAAAGGTATACACGAGAAAGTAAAGAAGAGCGGTTCATTTAAAAAACTATTGTTTAAGTTCGCTTATGACTATAAAATTAGATGGACAGCGAGAGGATTTAAAACGAGGATTATTGATAGGTAAGCATGCTTTTCATAATTACGTATTAATAAATATAAATACATAAATAAATATATTTTGTAAAAATGTGTTGGAATTGGTAATGACTTTTGTATGGAATACAAAGATGTTTGACATACTTCAACTCGTAGATATAATCGATTCTATTCACATATGACAATCAGTGCAAAATTTGTTACCGGTTCAATGTGGTTCTTGAATAACTTGAAGAATTGTATCAAAATTTTTGGCGTATGGTGCTTTATAAAATTATTAAGAATTTTGTTTTAAAGGGCATCCAAACAACTCTAAAGTGCTTACATAGTCACCTAATTATCGCCTTAACCCATAACCCTCACGAGCAAAATCTAAACACAAGATATATATTATAATAATGAAGTCTTTGGAGTAATTTCTTTCGTAATTTTGGAAATAGTTTAATTACCCGAGGAAGAAATAATTTGGAGATTGTTGTATATCACTGACGTTAATAGCGCGAACAATTCGACTGACCGAATCGTGTGTAAGTTTAAGTAGGTAAATAAATACAATGGCACTGTTCGAAAGCATTTTGTCACTACTGAATCACTGTCTACCACCTTTAAAGAAACTTCCGGAATTCGTGTTTCGGAAGTATATCGGGAATTTCAAGTTCGACTCGGTGAAGCGAAATCGAACATCGAGGGAATTTTTCTGTTGTAAATTATTAGCCGTTAACAAAAAATGCTTGAATAATTGGTCAATTTGTTTTAATTAATTTGTTTTAATTTAAGTATCCAGAGCTACAATCTACAATTTTTGTATTTACGATTTTCGTCTATTATATAGTTGCAATTTTTCGCACATATTTTTATATTTATTTATATTTACCAAAGTTTGACATGACTCTGAAGAATATAATACTAGTCAATAGGTCCTATCATTTTCAGAATCGTCTTTAGCAATATTCAGATGATTTTGGGAGGTCGTATGAAATATATATTAACGGGTGGTGCGCCGCTGTCGGCTGACACTCAAAAAGAAATAACCACATGTTTATGTGCTCACGTTATCCAGGGTTATGGATTGACAGAAAGCACGTCAGCCGCCTGCGTAGAAAACAGTATGTATATGATTTATATTAACTGACCTGTTCCAGAGTTAAGAAAATAGAGGTTCACCTATCTTTATAGATACAAAACTTGGTTCGCAAAACATGGGTTTTAGAATATTTCGCGATTTGCGGAAAAAGATATAGACATAATGTAAGGGCGAGGTACGAGATTTGCGATTACGTATTTTACGTCTTTTTGTAGTATCGAGACAAGCGACAAGTTATGCACAGATTGAATTGAAAATCTTTTCCATAAACATTACTAAAATTCATGAAAATGGAACAAATTAATGAGGAAAGTGGCCTTTTTGAGCAAATTCAATTATTGGCTCACAAGGGAGATAAAATACGCAAGCGCATAAATGACTTGTGCATGTACAATTTGCACAAGCTTTATTGGCTTGCGAAAGCCAAAAGTTTGAGTTGTGTAAATCTACACCGGTCAGATATTTGCATGTGGTTGGAACTTTAGCGCCCCATAGACCGTATTCGTGAAGCAGTTATCGATGATTCTGCGTTTCTGTGTTGTTTTGTAATTATTTATATTTGTTTAAAATATCATGAAAAAGGGAATTTATAGTAAAGTTGACTAAAATATATAAATCATTTCCTTTTGTTTCGAAAGTGCAACCCAAAATCCCAAAGGTATGAAATTTTCTAAATTTAACGAGACATTAAAACGAAGACACCAACTCAGTTTTATTTGTGCGCAAATTGTTGATCTGTTGGTTTGTTACCTTTAAATTTTGTTATATTAAGCATCTAAAATATAATAATAAATTCTTATAATTTATTTTCAATTCAATTTATATATCAGAATGCACTCACTTTATGCACTACAAATATGATGGGCCTTTGAACCTTTTTCTCCCTGTATTGTTCACATGAAATGCATCACAACTACTTCAAACTTTTTTGTTAGTAACGACGATGCAATATGGTCGCGTTGGTCCTCCATGTTCAACTTGTCTCGTTAAGATTGTAAACTGGGACGAGGGAAACTATACTGTGCAGGACAAGCCATGGCCCAGGGGTGAGATGATTGTTGGAGGCGATAACGTTGCCGCAGGTTACTACAAACTACCAGGAAAATCGAAGGAAGATTTCTACGAAGAGGGAGGGAAAAGGTGGTTCAGGACTGGAGACATAGGCGAAGTACACGAGGATGGTGTTTTCAAGATTATAGGTGAACCTAGTGCAAAGTATGATTTCATCGAAATAAACCTGGAAAAGCAAATTTTTAGATCGCAAAAAAGATTTAGTCAAACTTCAGGCAGGCGAGTACGTATCTTTGGGGAAAGTCGAAACCCACTTGAAAACATGTCCATTGGTGGAAAACGTGTGTGTTTACGGAGAGGGCACCCAACAATTTTGCGTTGCGCTTATCGTTCCTCACCCGAATCACCTCGAACAGCTGGCGAAAAATAAAGGGATACCTGAAGGAACTTTTGAAGAGCTTTGCAACAGCGATCAATTAGCAAAAATTGTTACTAAGGAACTTGCGGATCACCTTAAAAAAGGTACGGCGGGAAATATGTTTAGATATTAGAGCGTAAAAAATATCGTAGGTTAGCAAAAACGAGGCCAGTGTTTGCCTGCAAAAAACTATTAAAATGTATTTTTCAACAAACATTTGTTATTTGTTTTTTATTTTACTTGTTTAATACTTATTTTAAACAATTTTCATTTAAAATTTTATATAACAATACAAAAGATATACACAGGTTAAAAGAATTATTTGTATTTTAATAACAGATTTCTTGTTGCATTGATCATTTGTTTTTATTTGTAGGAAAATTGGAAAAATTCGAAATTCCAGGCGCCGTTAAACTCGTACCGGAGGCTTGGACTCCGGAATCCGGACTCGTCACAGCCGCGTTAAAAATCAAGCGGAAAGAAATTCAAAAATATTACGAAAAAGAGTTGAAAGAACTTTATGCAACGTGACCTAAAGACAAATGTATTCTTTCCGAAAAATCTCATGCAAACAATGTTATTAACGGCAACTAGAAACATTTTTTCGATTAATTTTAATTAGGGACAATAATTAATGTATAAAATTGAAATATTTACTTTTTAACTTACATTTTTGTTTATACTTGTACAGGGTAGTCCTAATTGAAGTGTAGTAAAAACCTTTCTTTTGTACCAAATCGATCAAAACCGACTTAAATGACGGGAGCTCGATTTTTGAAAAATAATTATGGTAAAAGCAATATGGTTTGGAAAATGACATTATTAGGGCACTTTATTCGAGTGAAGTTTTTATATGTAATTTCTGGTTTCTCACAAATACAACTTTCTTTTTTAAGTGGTTAGACAGTCTTTAAAAAAAAGGTTTATGTGCAGCACTTTTTTATCAAGTATTGTTGACATTTATGTAAGACGGCTCTGCGTATAAATGTTAAGAGCGATTAAAAACGTTGCCTTTATTCGATTTTGCATTCTATCATATACACACTTAAGTTTAAACATTTAGAAATTCGGAATGTATCAAGAATGATTGTTTACGTTATTTTTTTTAATTTAGTTATATATGAGTAATTTTTAATATTAAAATTAAATATCAATAATGCCATTTTCAATTTCATTCCTTCATTTAAGATATTTTAACTTTTTTAAACTTTCACTGTTGATGGATATTAACGTTATAGGTAGAACTTACTCATAAGTAAACAAAAATTGACTTATATCTCCGCCATTTTTCATGATCGATACCAACAACCAGGGCATTTTTTAAAACCATAGTGACCAATTGCTACATAACATAAGAAAGTTGTATTCATTTGGGGGAAAACACAAAATTATAGAAAAAAGTGTCGACAATTTTCAAAATGAATTAAAATTGTGTCGACCCTTTTCTTTGCTCTATCAAGTTCAAAACTGGAGTTTCCCCCTTTAAAACATTTTAGTTACAACCACCCTTTACAAACTGTCCAATTTCTGATGATTTTGCTCCATTTTCGCTGATTTGTATTTTCTATTGTATTGTCTCTCTTAGTTTTTGATATACAAGGAAAGTTGAAAACTATGATGTTCGAATTTCGCTTGTGATCCATCAAATAAGCGAAAATTGTTCATAAAAACTTGTAAATATTTAATGAATATGTAAAAAATGTATATTTTCTCTTGTCAAATTTGTCTCTTTTAGTTTTTGATATACAAGGGAATTTTGATCATTATGATGTAGAATTTCGGTTATGAACCATCAAATAAGCGAAAACTTTTTGAAAATTTCTAAGTATATAAAGAATATGTAAAGAATCTATATTTTTGCTCGGAAACTGTTTTTAAAAATATGTAAACTGGTAGAAGCACGAAACTGTATCACTATTAGGTAGAAGATCAGGAGATCGGATTTGTACCAAATTAAACATTATTTTTATTTTAAGGTATATTGATTGATTAATTGATTGAGTTGTTTCCTAGAATTCCCCAATATAGGAATATATATTATGAGTATTTCATCTACCAAATCTTGATTTTAAAGCACCCCGTGGGTAAGACTTTGCTAAACTGCAATGCCAGGGTATCTAGACTTTTCCACGAACCATCTTGGTTTTCTGTTAAATTGAGGCATAAACTAAAACTTTTAAGATGTTTAAAGAAATTCGATTTTTGTCCCATAAAAACAAAATCAACTCTTTAAAATGAAGAAAGAAAAACTGATAGGTAAAATACTCTTCTTAAAGATAAAATAAAAATTAAGATTTGTCAAAATTATCTAATTTTTACAAAAACTTGCTTCTATTTCGGAAAACCCTAACCATTCAAAGGTAGAGGAACATCGTATCTAAAAGAGCTGTTTCAGTCAGTTTATCTGCGAAGGGGGCCATGGCAAATTTAATATCGGAAACTACAATTTCGCTATTATTATAAACCGCTATTATTCTTTGCGTATAATGCGTATAACCCCCGTATACCCAAGAGACCTCGACAATTGGGCACTCTGCACTCCCGGTGCATAGCATACTTAAACAATAATATTCGATAATAATATAATTATCACTGAATGAAAACGCATCCCTGCTTTAAGGAAATTTATCGCACACTCCTACCCTAACCTAACAAAAAAAAAATGGTCGAGTCGGCGTATTTGAACCGCTGTGGCGCCGTTTCTTTGAAGCTTTTCCGGTGACGGTGGGGATCCCGAGGCAAAGGGATAGCCGCACCAATTTGCCCGTCCCGTATAGCAAGTCCGTAGTCTGGATGGTTTCTTTACGGAATTAGGTGATCATTTAAAAAATGTCGAGCGATGATAATAAAGAAAGTGATTGCTGCGAATCAAGTATCGATTCCGACAAATTTGTCCGAAGCATCCTTTCATTTATGGACGAATGCGATGAAAATAGTACTACTACTAATTCTTCCTTGGAGTTGAATTTGCGCTCGGGCGGCAACGTTTTAACTTGTGGTGTTGACGGTGAGCTTTTTTTTGTTAAATAAATCACACACAGGATGTGGCAGTGGTAAGGAATTTGATCTATTTCGGGGAAAAAAAATTTTGATTGGTTATTCCGTGACGTCTATATTTTCAAATCTATATATATATATATATATATATATATATATATATATATATATATATATATATATATATATATATATATATATATATATATATATATATATATATATATATATATATATATATATATATTTAATATTTGGTCAAAATTAGGGGAGGTATGCAATGCGATGAAATTTTCGCTAAGAATACGAAATATTTTGGTGTTAGCATTAGCGTTAGATAGGTTTCTTCTATTATTCGTAATTATTCGCAATTTTGTAAAACGAATATTTTTATTAAAGCAGACATTTCTATCTTTCACCCCAAATACTTGAAACAAAGAAATGTTATTATCAAAAGATGATTTCAATAATCATGTCGGTTTTTATAATACCGGGTGTCTTTGTACGGGCGACGAAATTTGCGATATTAGGGAAACGGACGATCCTATAAATTTGAAAAAAAAAATTAAAATTATTTCCGAGTTTTGGAAATTTTGGAAATAAAATGGTGTAATTCTTATTTTGAATTTTAAAATTCGGTTTCTACAAAATTTTCTAATTTAACCATTAGTCATATCTTAACATCCTTATCTAATATGCACTTAATATTCAAAATAAAGATGAATTTTGGGATTTGCCACTGTACGAGTTGTTATTGATATCTAATTAGCCCGACTTTACCAAATCGAACTAACATGTATTATTTAAGAGCCAAACGATATTTAAAATCAAAATAGAATGTTATTATTTATCTGTTACTTTTCTACAATAGATTCCAAAGGCACCAAATTATCCCATAGCCGATATTTCTACGTTAGCCGTTTTCAAATATTTAGTAATATAAACCTGGTCAATTGGATTATTTAAGTAGTAAAACCAGCCAGTATTTTTCTTCGTTAATAAAGCGTTGATTTCTTGTAGGCACTGCATTGCCATGAGTGTAAATAAGACAATTTTAATGCATTAAAATTTATAAATTAATTAGAACGCTAGGTAATCCAGAGATTTGATGCGACATCAAAGGTGTGTAGCGTTTGGTCAGATAAAAGCAATTTTGACAATATTGAAATTATTTTTTTTAATAGTTTAGTTAGTAGACCGTGTTAGTGATTAAATTTAATTTTTAATGGAAAAATAAGTGATAATACTAAGTATTTGAAATAATATGAAAAAATGTCAGGTACGGAATAATTTGGTGGCCGTCGAAGGAATTGTAAAAAAAAGTAAAAGTTACTGTTTTATTTGGTAAATTAGATACAAAAAAGTGGAAAGTTCCCCCAAAATCCAACTTTATTCGTTCGTGTCTAGTGGATTGTTGAGTCCTTATTTGATTTTCTGTTGACATAAAAAACTCGTATCGTTGCATTTATTCCTTATCCAGAAAATTATTTTTTTTGTAATTATAATCCACCTGGTGGCAAGGTAAGCAACCACAAACGCGTTACTATTGATAGACTAGGAAAAGCTCTCGAGATATGAACATTTATTTAAGAAAATATTCAACCAACCCCCTCCACTTTCTTTTAAGGATAGATCAAACAGGATTAAACAAAAAATATTTGAATTTGTCTCAGCTTTAAAATAGTGCGGCTATAGTTAACATTAGAAATTTTTGAAGAAACCGTGTTTTAAAATTCAAATTCAAGCTAAAAAAAATAATGGTTTTTATCACATTGTTAGGACTATTTGTCTCGTCGCCCATCCTGGGACACCCGGTATATTACCTATACAGGATGTTTCAAAAAACATTTCTCCAATTTCTGGGTCAAATGGAATATTAAAATATAACATTAATTTGGTTAATATGGTTAATAGTTGGTTAAATGTCCGACAGGGCTACTTTTTTAAGAAACGGCGCTGTAAAAGGGGCCTAATTTTTTTTTTATATCGGAACTGCTGACAAAATTTTTATATTTTGTACAGGAGCGTTGCCGAAAAGGTAGGGATACTATTTATTTTGCTCCGAAGTTTTTTAGTGGGAATATTTTTAATTTTCTGGGCAAAAATAATATTTCTTAAACAGTTTTCCATAAAACAGTTACTCTTGTTTAAAGAAGAAATTCCGGTTTCGAAGTTTATTTGCTGTTTTAAGTAACGCTGACGGAATTAAGAAATTATTTTAAGTAATTTTCATACGGGACAACGAATTATCTCAGGAATGTTTATGAATGATTGTTTCAGACATAACTATGACACAAAAATAATACAAAATATATATATTATAATTTACATTTTGTCAACGGTAGCTTTTATGACCTTTAGTTAATTTTTTGTTGCAGATTTGATATACCAGAACGCAAATCTTAGTTCAAAACTTAAACTAAGCTGGTCCAAATCGTCTGCAGGTTCGGTAATATCCTCCATGATTTGGGCTTCTAAATATCCAATAAATTTCGTCAGTAACAAACACATCAACACAAACACGGACAACACTTCAAATGACGTTTTTGGTTCGGTGGAAAACAAATATCTTTGGTTTATTACCCAACTGAACGATATCTTGCATCTAGGAACAGAGAGCCATCCTAGTAAAGCAAAGTACGTAAATGACGAATAGATATGTGCAAGTAGCGCTACCTTGATTAGGTTATGTTTATTATTAAATAAGAATAAATTTTTTTTATATATTTAATTTGGTTTTTCTTTCTTATGTGGTAAGGGATTTATATTTTCCTTGATATTATCAGCATAGACTCTACAAAATTTTACTGTCTACAATTAAGACCGGTAGACACTATTTTTCTTAGTAGGTTTTATTTTAATATACGTCCTTACGGCAAATTTTACGACTATTACTTTTTAGAAATATTTGGTGGGCAGCGTGTCCCAAGCCATACCAAACACAATTGTTTGATGACTTTTTGAAGTGAAGCATTCAGTACAACAGTATGATTTGAAACATGTTTTATAAATGACACTTTAACCACCAGTTTGTTTAACTAACCAAAATTAACCAGGAATTGTAACTGATATAATAAGCTCTTCCTTGATTAACAGTTATTTTAGTTCGCAAACGTCATATGTGAAATGCACATAATGGGTATAGCATCGAAATATATAGTTACGTTTTTTCAAAAAATATTTTTTAAATGTTCATCATGTACTTTTCTTTGATGATCTGATACCTGATGAGTCCGCACTTGTCTTCGTGCTCTGACTGTCAACTTCAGTCATATTCGAATACAATTCAACTATTTTTACACTTTTCAATTTTGAGTTTTGGTGACGACGCATTGGGCACATTGGAAATAATAACTTTCTTATTTTTAGAAAGCGCATTTTTACTAATCCGTTTCTCACCAATAAATTCAAAAACATTAGCCATTGTCAAGAACGAACTTTGGCAACAACTGCCGCATGGCAACTATAAACACTAAGGCACACGATCTGTCCGTGCACCTACTACTCTCCAGACCAATGACAATAATACAGGTACAATACTTCGCCTATGGAATACGGTTAGGACAAGTCTTACAGTGCATGATTTATAACTTTCTCGCATTAAGAAACAGCACAGTTTAGGAGAGGTTGCAATAAGTACGTTTTGCTTTTATACCGAGAAAATTTCATGGCAAAGTAAAACAAAATAGTAAGTGTTTATTATTTTTACATGCCAATTTTCTTGTGTTATTAAGCAACAATAATATACTGAATAAGATTTCGAGTACTTTTTTTAAATTATTTAGTGCATAAAATTATAAAAAAATAAATAAAAACATAGCAGGCTAAGGTGTTTTGTCGGCCATAGTTACTTGAATTTAGTTATGTTCAAGAGCCAATTTTCAATTCAAGTAAAAAAATCTAGATAAATCTTTCACTATTTGATAGAAAAATCTTATTAATTGGAATATGGAGAAAGTATAAATATTTGCGAATCGGAAACGGTCCTTAGCTATTGTAAAAGACGCCATCGTAAAATGGGAAAATCCCTGGGTTTTCAAAAATGTATCGAGCAGCTGGGAAATACACAGACGTTGGATACCGAATGAGCGTGTGTTTGTTCAATAATTATTTATAAAACGAATCTCACATTTGTACACCGATGCAACATGTAGCGCGTTATAACACAAAAACAGGAAAAAAATTATAAAGTAGATTTAATCAAATAAAAGTATTGTTTTTGTTATATAAAGCTTTTATTCGTTTTTTTTTAACGTGCCATTTTTCTTTTTTAGAACAAGATCACATTATTTAAATATATCGCTAATCGATAATCATAACGGGGTTAAAGTTTAGTTGCATTTGTAATTAAGCGTATTTATTTTAAATACGCGATAAACGGCAAGTGCGAGCTAAATCTCCATCGTTTAATTTCTTTGCATATTTGGTCTTTTTTTTTTTGGTCGAACGTGGCAACGTTGCCGATTGTCCAGTAAACAAAATAGCGGCTTTCAAGGAGCACCACAGTGTGGTACCGAGAATCATAGTTTTGTGGTGGTACTGTGCTTCTGCTGCTGGGGCACCATATTCACGTGGGTTTTGTTTCTAGATTGTATTTGCCATTTAATTTGAAGTAAGTATTTTCAAATTTATTATTAATTGATTTACAAGCTTAATGTTAATTGTTTTTCAATTAATTTCAACGCCAAAATAATTGGCATTTTTTACTAGTAAAAAACAAAAGATTTTTTTTCTTCCTGTCTGCTTGTTTCATTAATTTTGATATTTGCTAAGTACTGTTTTCTGATTTCGTTTATTTTGATAATTTGATTACTGTTATTTAAATAATACTTATATTTCATAAAAAAACAATAAAGGATTTTGTAGAAATAAAATTAAATTAGTTAGCCCTTTAATGTAATTAATATAATAACAAATCAAACGCGCAATATAGGGTTTCCTATTTATTGTTCATTATTATTTTTATTATCCATCATCCGAAAAAAGTATTTGTTTGTGATTTTTTTCGAGAAATGTCATGAACCAAACCACTTTTAATTTCTTATTTTACTTTGACCTATGCGTTGAAGGCTATTATATTTTTACACTCGTCTACTGATGATAGAAAAAACTTGAAATACGAAAGCTTTTGGGTTTTGAAAATGCGATACGAAAAACATGAAAAAATTAAATAAGCACATTCTGTTTTTTATGGATAGCGCATAAAATAAGGGGTTTTTTTCTTTAATATTTAAAATACCATTCACATCGACACCGTACTTACCAAGCTAACAAAAACTAACCATGATTCTTGCCTTGTACATACAGAAAATGTGTATAAATATGAGTAAAATTATTTCGAGCATAAAAAAATAGTTAAACATGATTATGAACATACTTCAAAATGAGTGAAAAAATAACTGAATTTGTAACAAAATATTATTTTTTTTATAAACTAAAAAAAACTTTTTGTTTTAGGCTCATCATGATCATACCCTCACTCTTGCTAGTTTTAGCAAGCTATCTTTACACAACTGAAGCACAAGCGGTAGCACAAGGTCCACAAGATATTGATGATCTGATCAATCAAGTATTTAGCAAACCCAACCCAGGGACCGCCTTAACGACAAGCGCGCCTAAACCAAATCTGCAGCCAAATTCTAACGTGGGCGGTGGTGGATCCGGGGATTGTACTTGTGTACCTTATTATTTGTGCAATAATGGTTCTATCAACACTAATGGAGATGGCATTATCGATATTAGGTGAAAATATTCTATTTCAATTTTTTACGTTGTTACGAAATGTAAAGGTTAAGTGGCAGGTTTTAAAGATTTTCACCTCAAAAACTTTCTTCCATTTCCTGATCATAAGCAAGAAAATCGTTAATTTTGATAGCCTCTTAATTAACGGTAAGTAAGTTACACTGGATATCTCAATTTTTGTTTCAATGCGTCACTATGGGTAGCTAGCGATTTGAAATAGCATGGTTACTTTCTCTGTTCTTCTACTTCGGATAAGGGTTTTTTTTTTATTTTAAAAATTTTATTTATTTGGCTAAAATAAGAACAACGATTGCTTTAAAAAATATTTATTATTTACAATTTTTATCACGAATCGACCATTTAAAACATGTGAAGTTAAAGAAGAGCAAAGCTTGAATTTTGAAACACAATAAAAAATGAAATAAAACTAAAAAATAAGATGTGCTAAAAAATTGCAGGCGTTTCCGCTCTAGCCGGTAGTGCTCTTGAAGTATTTAATAATTATAGGGTGTTCGTTGAAAACAGTTTTCACTCTAACTGCACCGAATTTCATTAAAAATTTGCAAAGTCATGCATTTTGGTTAGATTAAATTGATCAATATTTTTTTTGTTTGGAGATTTTAAACTCGTTAATTATTTCCTAAATTTCTGGATTCCTCCTGCCTCGGCTGTTGATGAATCGAACTTGCTGACGTTTCGCCAATCATCTTCAGAGCTTAACTGATATTGATTCAGGAGAAATCCAGAAGATTTGTAAATAGTATTACATTAGCGTGTCGAAGTTTCTTTGAAAAGTAAACTCGTTAAGTTAAAAATCAGTCAGCAAAAAACAATCCTATTTCAGAATTAATGAGGGTCCCTGCGAGAGCTATATAGAAGTCTGTTGCAACAAGGAAGATAGAACAAAGGAACCAATTACACCAACTCCTCCTCCAGTCAAACAAACGGGTTGCGGGTATAGGCACCCGGACGGAGTAGGTTTCAGGATAACGGGAGATAAAGAAAACGAAGCCCAGTTCGGTGAATTTCCATGGATGGTGGCCGTACTCAGAGAAGAGTCGGTTGAAGGTAATTCGAACAAATTGAATGTGTACCAATGCGGAGGAGCTCTGATCCACGCGCAGGTCGTTGTGACCGCGGCTCATTGCGTCAGCGGAAAAAATAAGAGTTTCAAAATCCGCGCTGGTGAATGGGATACTCAACATACGAGCGAGCTTTATCCACATCAAGACAGAGAAGTCGAAAGCATCGCCATTCATCCGCAGTACTACGCGGGCGCTCTGTACAATGACATCGCGGTTCTTTATCTAAAATCCCCTGTTGATATTGCTGAGAACGTTGACGTCATCTGTCTCCCTCCTCAGGGAACAACCGTCGACGTTTCGACGTGTTATGCAACTGGTTGGGGTAAAGACGTATTCGGGCAAAAGGGAAAATACCAGGTGATACTTAAAAAAATCGATCTACCATTAGTGGGGAGAGATCAGTGCCAGGAGAAATTGAGAACCACTAGGTTGGGCAAATTTTTCGAGTTGCATAGGAGCTTCATCTGCGCAGGCGGGGAATCTGGAAAAGACACGTGCAAGGGGGACGGGGGTAGCCCCTTGGTGTGCCCGATCGGAAACAGAGGGGACCGGTATTACCAAGTGGGTATTGTGGCATGGGGTATAGGATGCGGCGAAAATAATACGCCGGGTGTATATGTGAACGTACCCTTATTTCGAGATTGGATTGACGAAAGAATGAAAGCGTTTGGTTTAGACACGTCTTCTTATCAATATTAAGGAGAGTAATCTCTCAGTCGGTATCTTGTATCAAAACTACGATCTAACATATAAGTTAATAGAAACGTGTTGTGATGAAATAAAATGTAAATTAGTTGGTACCACGTTTTGTTTTCTAAAAATTTTCGATTCCTGTCTTATTAAAATTTGACCTAATTATTGATATGAGTCAATTGTCCTTTTAGGAATTAGATGTCTTGTGATTCTTGGCAAATTTTATATTAACTAAATTATTAAACTCTGAACCATATAAAATTGTAAGTTCGTATATTTGAAGTTTTATTTAATATGCCCCATATAATAGCAAAAACAGACAGTTTATGTTAATAATCAAACTTACCCGGCGGTATCTCCCAGTTGTTTTCTTTGTTTTTTTTTATCATCAAGCGAAGGACAAGCTATATTTAATAAATGAGTCGGGGTTAAATTCCAAAGAAATAAATAGACAATATCAAAAAGATATATTCATGGTTAATATTGATTAAAAAAAATTTTCGCCTTGGCAATCTTTCGCATTTAGAGTATTAATTACAAAGAATTTCAAGGTAAAACTGATTTCTTGATGGCGACTAACCAGTTTTAGCCAATTCGAATAAAAGCAGTAACCGCATTTTCGTGTCAAAAAAGGTTCTTGCATGCAATAAAAGTCCCATGGCGATATAAATTAATACACCAGGACAGCGGTATCAAAAATAAATTGACATTAGAGTGGATTGGATATTTTTAGTCATGATGTTAATTTAAAAATGGAGGTTAGGAATTTGGGTGGCGTTTACTTAAAATATAACAAATATAAATAAAAAAGTTATTTCTTCTATTTTATTACTCGTAGATAGATGCATATAGATATATTATTTTACATTACATTTACATTACATCGTTTAATGATACCAGAAAATACTCTAGCGAAGTCTTTCATTTTAAACTAGTTCCATCTAAAATGTATCCATTGTTTTCTAATTAGTTCCGAATAAACAGTCATCGTAGTTTTCAAGAAAAATTCTTGACCGGCGTCATTTGGGTTATCGGGTATTTTCTTGCTCATTTATCAGTGATGAATGGAGAAACAAATAGTACTATAAATAAAGGATTTTATTTGTCCATATAAAAATTGGGTGACTGGACTAACGGTTTGAAAAAATTTATGATTTTCGATATGTATAGCAGGCCATTATTTATCTTTAACCAGATATTGTATATCCGATTAAAATAGATTGATTAACTGATTATCACACTAAAATGACTGTATATTACTAGGAGGATAAATAAAGAAAAGGTTTTATTTTTTTATAAAAAAAACTAATTCTGATAGCCCTATTAGTTGACGATGTTCCTTGTCCAATTTTGTCCATCCATTGAAAGGGTAGGGGTAGAGATAAAATTAGTTCGAAATCAAAACTAAATCGCTACATATTTCAATAAGGATTATCTCTTATACTGTTCAGAATTAGTAGGTACATAATTTAAAATTATAATCTTGAAACAAGTTTTATTCGAATTATAAGTTAATATCAAAAATAAATAAGTTAAATAAAAAAAGGAATACTTTTTCAAACCGGATTAGTAAATTCAATAGTTTTACAAGGTTTTTTTCCCCTACGTCAAAGTATTCAGAAAATTCTGTATAGAATCTATCCGTTTGAAACTTACCCTCAATGGCCAACAAAAATAACTCAACACAAAAGGTCGGAAAATATCCGCTTTTATAAATTTTTGATAGTTTTGGTTAGTTGTTATACAAACCGCATCACCGATAAAAAAATTCTCAGAAACATCTGCTATTACTGTTGCGTATTATTTCAGCCATAAAAGGTTAATTTAACTTCGACTGGTTGTAAATCGGAAATAGAAATGAAAGACTGGTACATAAGATTTTGGTAAACCAATTGCTGTCCCAAGGTTATCAACATTTAACGACAAATGATTTCATTTATGGTCTTTCAAATGAAGTTTGAACGACGGTTGTTTTCGGGAAAAGAATATTCATAACAATAGAAACCGCGACATTCAAGATATTTTCTACAAGCTACAATACTGAGCGTTAGTAAGATTGCCGAATAAATTCACGAAATAGGGGTAGCAATACAAGGTAAATATTAAATTTATTAATGATGCGATATACGGATTTGTTGATATTGATGCAAGTTTCATAATTATTTATATCTTACGAAAAATATAAAAGGAAATAATGTCAAATGATTACCTACTGAGCAAAAACCAGTGACGATACGTTCAAATGATCATTCGCAAATGAAACTAATATTCAGTTATAATTTATAATGTTATAATCTACATCACAAAAATATTTTCTGGGATTCTGTTTATCCTAATATTCCTAATACCAATCTTTATCTCCCAAACTACTTATAATTCTTTATCCAGATAAACTCTGCTGTAATACAGGGTGTTTTCTAATTGAATGTCAATACTTAAGAGCGCGATTTTTGGGTCCATTTTAAAAAGAAAATTTCGTCTTAATTTTTGAGATACAGGGTGGTAAAGTTTTCAAAAATAGAACAATTTTTTTTAATATCTGTAATATCACTTTAGATGTTTTAATGAAATTTGGCACACATGTACACGGTTTTCGCTTAAAAAAATGAAAACTTCTTCTCTGCATGGTTATAACAATATTGTCAATATGACAGCATGCACAGAAATTACTTTTTATTTGTAGGTGAAAACTGTGCGACGGACTAAAAAATAATTAAAAGATCAAATGCGCTCATAAATGAATGCAAATGCCATTACCTTTTTTAAGGAGATCAGTGGCGTAATATATTGGTGAATTAGGCCACTGCACTGGTTAAATTGAGAACAATCTTTTTGTAAAATAAAATATCTACCTAAAGCAAAATATCTCATTTTTAGTTACCAACTAGTGTCATTCAGAAAAAAAATTAGAAGACTGTTATTTTTACTTTTACAGTTTTAATCAAATAACATAACATAATAATTATATCCATACTTTTTTGAAGTATGAAATAATAATCATAATAATTCTCTGTAATATTAACGACATTGTTATGACCATGCAGAGAAGAGTTTGTTCTTAAGCGAAAAAGTGAAGAAATTATTTTTTTTAGAAATAATTAGAGATTGTAAGAATAATTTTCATTTTAAGAGAAATTAGTGACGTACCATCAATGTTTGCCAAAATACATATGTGAAATTTCGTACGCCCGCCACTGGTGTATTTTAAAAAAATAATTCCTGTTTAACAAAAATGTACATGTGTGCCAAATTTCATTAAAATATCTAAAGTGGCATTACACATATTAAATAATATATTTTAATTTTGAAAACTTTGGCACATATGAAATTTTCTTTTTAAAATGGACCCAAAAATCGCCCCCTTATTTGTTGACATTCAATTAATAAATATCCTGTATACAAACATATGTCATATATTTTAAAGTTAAAAAGTTGTTTTAAACGTGTGATTTAAAATGCTTTGTTTTCGAAATACAGGGTGTCAGAGTTTTATTTTTATTTTAGTTTATTTTTCTGCATAGTTTCCTAAAGAATTCCGATTTCGGAACAAAAATTCGTACCTGAATGTTTTCTCATTTGATAAATTCGAATTTGTTCTTAGTTTAACTTAATTTAGCTCTCAAAATCATTAAATTTAGCTCCTAATTGTGGGGACCCTATCTACACATCTTTTCTGACTATCAAAGGCTCAAAAAATATTTTAATATTGATTTTTTTAAATAATAACGCATTGTAGAATACACATAATAGATTACTTCAAACAAAAATATTTTGAAAACGGTTGCTCCTGGCGACGAATTCTTTTTTTGCGCCTCTACAAATTCAAATTTCTCACGTGAACAAACTCTCAAGTACAATCTTCAGGAAATTATGCAAAAAAAATAAATAAAACTCCGACACCCGGTACCACGAGAACGAAGCATTTTCGGCTTCACATTCATAATAACTTTTTATCCCAAAAATACTTGAGGAATCATCCTCTGATATGTATTAATTACCACCCTGTATATCATCTCGCAGTCTTTTATTTATTTGTTTATTTAATTACTTGCTCAGTGTGCAGACAAATGTGTAAACAAAAATATTTAATAGTAAATTAATACGACCCTCTAACTAAAAATGTAGGAAAAAGGCATTTGAGGGGTTTAAAAATAATAGCTGGAGGTGAATCGTTTTGAATATATCAAATGTTATTCTGATATCGGAAGGAATTGACTGAAACAATTTTTTGGAAAAGTAGTAAGTAATCATTCCATTTTCACTTGATAGAACACATGTCTTAATGAAGAATGGAGTTTAATTTGAACGATATTTGTCGACAGGCAGTTTGTGAAGCCATAAAAAATCGTTAATGTGAAACTGAAACTTAATTACTGCAAAATCTGATTTTGTTGCTTAATGAATTTCTAAACTGTACAATAATTATTTGAAATTATTAAATGAATCATTCATAGTATTCTATGAAATTGTATATTTTTAAAAGCAATAAAGCTGGGAATCGAATAGTTTTGGTTTTTAATTTAACTAAAACGTATATATGTTGGGCTTTGTTAAATTTTTGTTAGTAGACACCTACTATCCCTACATATTCAAGATGTTTGTTAATAAAAATATCTGATTTACCCGTTATTCATTATCGTCTCCGAATATGTCAATTTCCAAAGTTATTGAATATTTAAAATATTTCTCCAGCTATTAATAACAAACTTAATGGTTCTTGTAATATCGCGACTTAAGGTCAAATTTATAAACGGGTCAATGCAGCAACTCGAATGCAAATTAAGCTATATTCAGACCACACAGAGCCGAAGTGGAAGACAGAATAAAATCTGGTATTCCCAGTCTCCGTTTAGACAAAAAAAAAAGCAAAACACTCGGTGGGAGAGTAAGTGATCTCATCGAAAATAAACAACTGAAAGTCCAGTGTATCGCTAGCCAGTGATGACCACTTAAGAAGCGCTGTACATTTCAACAATTGCCGCCCCAAGGTTATCAACATTAATTAACTCCTGCTAATTAAGGATTATTTCGTTTGTCCCTTTTATAATGAAAATTTTTATGATTGTGTCGTTATATGCGACGGCAGTTGTTTTCGGACAAAATGATGTGGATAGTGACACTAAACGCGACGTGGACCGACTGTTTTCTTCTCCGAGGAGTAATGATTTTTTACCGGGATACGAAGAAGTTACTAGTACGTCTTCCGGTAGCGTGGGAGCGTTGGAAAGATGTGGAGAGGGTTCAGATCAAGGCATTCATGCATGTGTGGCCTATTATCAGTGTGATGGCATAACAAATATGATTGTGCAAGACGGATTAACTGATGGATTCGGAATTATCAATATAAGGTAAATGGAAGGCTTGATACTATTTCCATAACGCTTTTCTATTAATATAGTGTTAAATAGTCTTGAAGAAGACTATTTAAGAAATTATTGTTCTGGTGTTTCTTATAATCAGCAATACGCTAACCTTTCAGCTGTTTTAAAGTTGATTCAATAATAAATATCTCAAGTGTTGCTACTTTTATGAAACACGGCAACACGGCGTCACTGCTTACGCAAATGACCAAATTTTCAAAACAATCGTTTGACTAGAAAGAAACAAAAGAAAAATCTGGTTTGTTTCCATTTCCAGCACTTAAGAAATCCACCCATACTTCATATATAATATAAATGGCACTTTTACATACACACACAAATAATTTTAAAAATGTGATTTTTAAAAAATTTTGCCATTGTATACAGCAAAAAGTAGAATCGTAGATACTATAATTGATTTCATCCGATTCCCTAATGTTTTTCGGATGGTGCTAGTCAAACTACATCCTCATAAATTCATTTTGGTTTGAAATATTGTGTTTCTAATCCTTACTCTAAGATTTAGGACGTCAGCAACACTGTCGCGAACCATTTCCGGTGTTTCCGGTACATGACTCACGGGTTTGGGAGCGATCGTCAATGGTGGTAGAGAAACTTCCTCAGACACTCGTTCTAATAAACACTCGCCCGCTCGTGTCAAAATAACTAAAGGTAAATTCATTGGCGAGCTATTGTTGTACTCCGAAATTGTAGGCCTAAACAATACTACGATTTTTCGAACCAAACGTTTGAAAGGTATACAACATTTTTGCAACGAGGATGGTGTAACAATGTAAAATTTAGGAATTTTTTCCCGAAGTGCGTTAGACATGTTTTTCAGTAAACTGGTGCAAGCGTTGATTTTATAACGCTTTCTTAATTTCAGATTTGGTGAAAATTCATGTCCTCATCCGCTAGACGTATGTTGTGGTATACCAGACAGCGGCATACGCGAACCAGACGAACCGATGCTACCCAAACCATCTACTTCTCCTCCCCCAGTAGTACCCCCAACACAAAGGCCCAGTGCACAGTTTTGCGGTATCAGAAATCCCAATGGGATTGATTTTAAGATAACCGGGAATAAGTAATTACTTTCTTTTCCATCAATTTTTGAAACATTCTAACTAAAATGCTGCCTACAAGTTTTGATTTAGAAAAATTTAAGTGTATAACAAACTAAGGTTTAAAAACATGCTCTCAGTAATTTACGGGGTTTAATTTAAAGGGATAATGAAGCGGAATACGGAGAATTCCCTTGGATGATCGCCCTGCTGAGGTCGAATTACGACAGCTCCAGGCATCAATCTTTGGCACTTTGTGGAGGATCTTTAATAGCACCAAATGTTGTTTTAACAGGTGCACACTGTGTGGCTTCGTAAGTATGTGTGCATATCAATTTTATTTGAGAGAAAAGTGGCCGCAGCATAAAATTCTGATATTAAAATATTTTTGATTAAAGATCAGAAGAAAAAACGTTAGTGATTTTATTTTATTGTTTTTGTTTACATTAAATGGGAATTCTGTATTGTCGACAATTTTTTATACATCAGAATATTGCACATAATTATTTCATAATATTAATATGAAAATATGTAACTACTTTTCGCATACAATTCCTAATTTTGGTTGCTTGTTGTCCTGGATGGATAGTTTGATCATGTGCTAGTGTTTCCTTATCTTCTTTATTTTGCTTGAACCAATATTATCTTTAATTTATAGTATTTTCGCAAAATCAATCAAAATGCATTCTTTATTTATTCTTTGAAGTTATATAATTTGGGAGAATCTTCGGCTTTATCAAAGCAAACACTGTTTATATCTAGTTTTTTTTGTCTTCTCTTTTCGCGTTTTTTAAAATCATTTAATTCAGGTAATAAATATATTAAATCTAGCCCAATGTTCATCAAAGTCCACCAACATCTAGAAAATAAAAAAAAATGCCTTGATTAATAAAATTTTAACTTGAAAATGTGTGATCATTTAATCTTACAGATTCGTTGATCCTGGTACTCACTTTGGTATGGAATTTAAGTTATATTTTAAAAGAAATTTAATTATCATCTCTGAGTGACTGCTAATTACGGTGTCAAAAAAAACTTTTTGAGGGGAAAAACAGTTTGTGATTCTATATTTTATCAACTTGGTTTTGCCCCATCCCTTTTTGCTTTAAGGTTTGTTTCACTTGTAGCCTCAAAACCGACGAAATTAAAATTCGCGCCGGAGAATGGGACACGCAAACAACAAAAGAAAGGCTACCATATCAAGAACGGAACGTAGCTCAAGTGATTATCCATGAAGAATTTCATCCGAAGACGGTCATCAATGATGTGGCGCTGTTAATTTTAACTGAACCGATTAACGGAGCTGATAATATCGGCACTATCTGCTTACCACGTCAAGACGAAAGGATCGACTCTAAACAATGTTTTGCAAGTGGATGGGGAAAAGATGTTTTCGGTAAGCGAAACTTTAATTTTAAACAAATCTTCATAAATGTTAAACAGATTGTACTTTGCCCTATATGAACAGAATACAGGGTTCGCAGCGGAAACTTTAACGACTTATTATGGGAAAATGCGAAAATTGGAATTTTTCTAAAGTATTTTTAAGATGGCAGCACGTCCGGTTTTTCCGGAGTTGGGGGTTGTTATTTTAGATAGTATATCCGTTGTATTATTGAAGTCCTCGGAAAAAGTTTAACCGTTTCTAAGATATTTAATATTTACTTCAACAACTTTGCAGATAAAGGTCTGTAAAACAAATAAAATTAAAGTTCTATTTAATAATTAAAAGGACAGTTTTTAAGTAAATTGAGTAGGCCTACAAAAAATGTACTTATTTGGCCTTATAAATATCACAAAAACTGTAAACTTCATCCAGCTATAAACCATTATACGTAGACGAATATGAATAGAATCTTCCGATTCCTAAGCTGAACGAACCAACCTTAGGGGAAGTCTGGAGTTTCTTAAAAGTTACGGAGCTCGAAATATGAGAAACACAACTCATTTTTAAAGGTACGCTGTATCTTAATAGTCTCTCGTGCGATTAAAAAGATAAAAACGACTTTTAATAGATGTTTTATGTAGAATTCATTGACGTGCACAAAAACTTTGTTTTGAGTTATACATATATATTGAGTTTTTATTTTTAAAAACACTTTTTTTATTTCACGTTTAAAAAAAATGGTAGCGATTGTTGTATGTCATTGAGAAAAATTAGCAGGATTGTGTTGTGGTTATAACCCAAAAGTTGTAGAACAAAAAAAAAAAACGTTTGTGCAAACCATACATAAAAAATCAATCAAATGACGTTTTCATATTTTTACTATCACCAGAGAGTACCAAGATACAGCCGCTGTACGAACATGTTGTAATGCACTGATGTTGAAGTACCTATATCTGCTTCGCTTTAATGTTTTTAGAAGAGCTATCGTTTTGACTAAGCAGCTGCTTATGTTGTGTTATCGATATGCTGAACATATTAATACAACACAAATAACTTGTTCCTCGTGACTTGTATTCTATTTAGATATCACTTTTTCATTAAAATCCTCTCACGAATTTGCTATTAGGAGATGAGATCTGGCAATAAGTTTGTTGCAAATAACAATAAATTAAAATTTCAAATCTGCAAAATTTTAAAACATATAATAACTCGTTTGGCAGGCATAGTTAGCAGGTTATGTATGTAACGATAGAATAAGTTCCCAAAAAAAAATCGTGACTTTTTCTAGCGTAACATAATTAAACAAAACGACTTTTTTTAGTTTATGCTCAGATAGGTATACTGGGTCACCCAAGAAAGCCAGAACATATAAGTATATTTTTGGACCAATGGACATTATGGACAAATGATGTGTCACATATACTTATTATATATTTACTTTTAGTTGCTTACCCCTCCCCCCCAACCCAAAAAAATTGACATTTAAAAAGTTAGCGGCGTACGTTGTTGTTAGAAATAGACTTAATTCTAATCAAGTTTGAGCTAGAGGCGTTACTTATTGCTACAAATAAAACCACGAAATTTCTACTAATAACCACAAAAAATAGTTTGAAAAATAAAAAAATATTAAAAACATAAATTTGTTTAGAAATATGACCCCAAATTTAGTCATGCTTTTAAATAACCATGCAATAAATCCGCAAGGACGCTGGTTAATGTTGTTAGTTATACATGTATTTTTGAATTCTTCGTTAATATAATATAATACATTAATACATGCTGGACTTTATATAATTTATTTGCCATTATGGATCAGGTAAGAAACAAAACTTAACACATTTATTACTTCACTATGATATGAAACTCGTTATAAGCTGTCTTCGTTGCAATAGAGTGTCGAAAGTAATTCAAAACGAGATATTTAAAATTTTATGAATTTTATTTAATCAAAGACCTAAGAAATATAGGAAAAAATATTTAATCCAAATTGTCATATGTTTAGGGAAAGCAGGACAGTTTCAAGTGATCCTCAAAAAAATCGAATTACCGATGGTACAATGGGCAACATGTCAGGATGCTCTGCGGACGACGAGGTTAGGTTATCATTTTAATTTACACCGGAGCTTTATTTGCGCCGGTGGTGGAGCTGGAAAAGACACTTGTACGGTAAGTTCAAAAAACATAATGTTGCATAAGGAAAAGTAGAATGGGTTCAACTTTCTACAAACTTGAATTATTTGTGGCAATATAAATTGAACATTTAAACATTTAATCATATGGTAAACGTACAGAACAATAAAAAATCAGGAAGCTAACAGAATCAAGCAGCCAGTTTTCTGCACTAATACTTGTCGACGGCGTGTATGTTTACTGTCTTGAGATAGCATTTGCTTAATAAATTTATATTTAGTAACTAGTAGAATACTCTTTGAAATTTGCAATAATTGGGCTGCTTCAACGGTCGGTCAGTCTCAAGTTCTATAGGTTTTAAATATCTATTTACATAATGATTAAGTAAATCAAGATTGCTTAAAAAATCATTTTGAGACTTTTGTTGAACTGTTTTTCTTTTTTTTTCGGAACTGAATTCAAAAATTGGAAAAAAACAATAATGCATTTCAGAAAGATTACCAAAGAGAGAGTACTCGTAATTTAGAAAAAAAAAGATACAATCATAGATTAGCGAATATTTAAAAGTCTGCAAAAGTTACGAAATTTGTATAGGCTATATGTTTTGAACAATATAATTTAAATTTTAATCCGGGCCTTTCCAACGTGAAGTAATATGTCTGAAACCGACCCTGGTTTAGGTTAATTTAAGGGTAGTCGAGGTCGCAGCCGACATGTTACTCTCTGATTATTTATTATACTATGGTAAAAATCAGTACCCAAACAATACAACGATCAAGAGATTATCAGATTTAACCGTAATTCAAATCTACATTTTGTTAACGCATTACGCAAAAAATAGCAGTATCACTTAAAGCTAAAAATTAGATTTCCATTGAAAAAAATGCATCTTTATTGACTCTTACTACTAATTTTACTAATTTTGTCTAGATATTTTTGCATCCAGTGTTTGTAGTTTCATTGTGCGTTTTAACCTGTTAATTTATTTGCAGGGTGATGGTGGTGGTCCTCTGGTTTGTCCAGATCCGCAAAACCCAAGCAGATATGTCCAAGCTGGAATCGTGTCCTGGGGCATCGGATGCGGCGAATCTAATATACCTGGTGTTTATGCCGACGTCACAAAATTTAGAAATTGGATTGACGATAAGCTGGAACGGCTTAATATTAATACCGGCTCTTATGTTTGATAGATCAATATCTATAAAATACTGTTATTTATATACCTATGTTAAAGTTATGTGACTGACGATGTAATTAAATTATTTTCCCTAACAGGTCCAGCTTATTTAAATACCTTTTTTAAATGTGATTAAATAATTCCAGATACGCAGAAACTTTTTATATTTGAAGGTTTTTTTTTTAATTTAGTAAACATAATACAAATTTCAAAGATTCTGATACTAAGATCAGTTATTGATTCATTCATTCATTGGTAAAAAAAATAGAACTAGAAATAAAGAATTAAGTAACAAAATACTAGGTTGCTAATTTCTAGAAAAGCCAGACTATTACATCTTGGGTAACAATGAACATACTCTATATACGTAAATTGAAACTAGGAAGATACCAAGTTATACCAGTGCGTTTATCACCCCGTCGGATTCACCAAATTATTTCCGAAACATAATAGTTCAACGAATTTGCGAACGAAAAATGATATTCGATGTTCCAGCATTATAAAATAATAAAACGTTAAAAATACTCTATTTTTTTAAAAACCATTAACATAAGAAGTCGGGGTGGAGTTAACAATTTTCTATTTGTAATCTTATCAAAGACTTTTTTCACTTGACTTAATAAAAAGGTCATTTCGTATTTTTTACCAATTATTATTTCTGCTCTTAAAATATAGATGTCGTTAAGAGAAAATTATTGGTGGGTTTATTTAATAAGTTCGTTTGTTCTGGCACATTAGGCGTCTCAGAACTTTTAAACTGTAAATATAAACTTTGTAGGTATTTGAAGTTTATGTGAAGTCTATGCGAGGTTATATTTGAGATGCTGCAGCTCACCGAAAATTTGACTATAGTGGAATTTTCGTTCCTCTGTAAATCCAAGATCAAATGAGATGGAAATTAAGAAATGCTTAATCGCATACGAACAAACGAGAAAAATTTCGTTAAAAATCAAATTGGTGGTTTTTACTATACTCCTATAATCTGATGAAAACAAAACAACACTTAGCAGTGATCAAAATTATTGTCAATTTCAAAGTTAAATAAATAAACAAGATTACTTAAGCACTCTGGTCCAAAGATATTAATATCCGGATGCAACCAACAATACACACTCATCCAAACGCTTTCGAATGTCGGGTCATTTTGCAACACAAAACACTTTACTTTTCTACACCTTTAAATAAATTTGTTTACATAATTTGTTGTTTATTTCTACCGAAGTGTAAAGTATAACATTTAATTTACGTCAAGGTTTAAAACAAATCGAATTTTACAATTACCACATAGTTTCACAGTTTTATGCATCACTTACACTTGAAACGTACAGTATTTCACTTTCTCTCGAATACATTCGCAGCGATATTTTCAGTTCGACGGATTATCTCTATCTGCGTGTCTCCTCCTCCATTTTATTTTAAAGCGCCAGTGAATACGAGTCCCTTCCGAAACAGAACGATCGTTTACGATTTGACTCTGTATCGTGACGTCATATAATTAGAGTAAATACAAAGTAGACGATGGTGTCAGCGTGCCGTTCTAGTGTGCTCTAGTGATTAAATTATTAAAAAAATGGATATTAAGGATGTACAGGTATGAACAATTTATCACAGTTGTCTAACATCGTTTTACATATTTTAGTCTTGTTTCTAGAATTTTAACAGTAACGGTTTACGAGAAAATTCAATTTTGTTATTGTAAAAGCTCCGTTTAAGTGCTTTTTAAAATTAATCAAATTATGTCGGTAGTTATCCCACGCAGCAGTGTACCTTAAATATTTATTTCTTTGTCGTATACACGTTATGGTTCGTCATTTGGGGTTTAATTTAAGACAACGTGCTTTGAAGAAATATTTGAATGCGTTTTTTAAATATAATTGATTAGAATGTTTTTGTTACACGCAAATGTTTATTGTTTAATTGCTGTCATGCGACGGATATTATTTTATGTATTTAATTAATACGCAGTTGTGTTTGTTTTGTGTTTGCAAATGCATTTTTTAATTACAGTTGGTGGGTTGTCCATGTGGACAACACGGTCCGTACACATTTTACAAGGCTTTTAAGTATACGAAAAACGGTTCGAAAAGAATAGTGACTTTGAGTGAATTTTTCTTTGTTAAAATGTGGAGAGATTCGGATTTATTATGTATCGGTGAGTTGCAGTTATTGTGGATTGACAAAAATAGTGAACAAATGTTGGCGAGTTTGCGTTTATATTTCTTGCCCGAAAATACCCCGGAAGGACGAATGGATCACGGCGAGGTAAGTTTATTATTATTTATACAATGCATTTATAAATTCGTCAAGACTCGACAAATATCTAGCTATTTATTCAGTTGATAAGAACAATGATATTGCAAAAAGTTGATTCATTTTTGTAATTAAGAACGTCGTTTAATTATAAATCAGTTTTCTTTTTAACTATTTTTAATGTAAATGAAGCCTTGGAAGTCGGATAAATTTATGCCACAATTTCACGCGATCTTGGCACGTAAAAAGCTTAATACGAACGGAATATTCGTCTGTTGCCGTAAATATTTGCCGCTTCCGGCTAATGGTGCTTAACGTTCTCTCCAGTGGAGCTTACTTCAGCCGGTTTACAAAGATTATCCCACTCTAGTTTATGTTTCTCTTTCTACTTTATATATGAGGTTATTATTTCTGTATTTCAAAACTTATTGTAATTTTAAATAGCGTTTCGGTTAGTTTGTAGATGGCAGTTTCGAACAATTTTCGATACGCGGGCATGTTTTGCGAACGGGCGGAACATTTTCTATTTTATTATTAGTTTGGCTGAGGATTTGATAAAATGTAAATGGGACCCAGGCAATCGATGACCAGAGCCAACGGCCTCTAAACAAGTCGAATACCACTGCCTGAAAATGCCTTTGCCTCTAATAGAATATAGTGAAATATTTTCTGTCCATTTAAAGACAAAAGAATTAACCATTTTACTTTTATTGTTTAGTAGGTAGCAACGTAGTACGTCGATTACTGGTGCGATTTATTTTGCCCATATGAAATTTTAAATTGCTGAAATGCTTATCTATCTAATTAGTTTGGTAGAAAGGCTTACATAGACTAATTAGATGTCCTACGGAGTCGTTTGGCCTAACTTAAAATAATTTTAATATGTACAACGCTAGTTTTTTCTATTGTCTGTTTAAAATTATTTACGTGCTTGGTTGTAAAAAGCAGATAAGATTAATCTAAAATAAATTCTATATCTGTAATACTCATATATATTTATTATAATCATTTCCAGTAATTTTGTCACAGGCCCTTAATTGAATAGTTTTTCATTCTTTAATAACAATAGATAACCAAGCAAATAAGCTTTTGTTTACTTCACTTTTAATATAACCACGCTAATTCGTTTCTATATAAATTATATTTAACCATCCACACTGCATTTACTAGTATTTGTTAACCGGTAATTAAAAGGGCTTCCCATTGTTTTTTGCAAAGGAATTTTTGAACCGGAATACTTGATTCGATATCATTTTCAACATGAATTTATTTTTCGGCTTGTTTTTCTAGTTTATCATAGTATAAAACAACAATGTAATCGAGATTATAATAATGTATAAATAATAGCTATTACTTTACGATATTAATTAGGGTACAGTTCGCTTTTGATCGTATGGTATTAGATAACCATATTTTTCGCTTATTTGGCATTTGGATTATTATTGTACAATAATGATATCAAAATTTAAAACTAAAATTTGCAGAATAAAAATAATTTTAATATAGGTATAGGTTTATAGCCTTATACCCTGTTTAGCTGCGACTTAAACTTGGTGACGTTGAACGGATGTTTAAATTGAAATACCGTGTTTGCTAAATATAAAATGCCATTTTGATGTTGTATGGTGCATTGTGAGGCACATCAAAAATATGTGAAATTTTATTATCTGTTCAATTTAATCAAGGTCGATGATTAAAGTGACGTTTAATTTTCGCTCGCAAAATTCGACGTTGAAACGATAACAGTTTGTCGCTGAATGAATTGAATTGTACGGTATTGGTTTTTAATGTTTAGCACTCGGTTTAGCGAAAACAAACTGTTTTTATATTTACGTAATAGTTAAAACTTTTATTTTTTGAGACAGTAATGGAAAATATTGCGGGATTAATAAAATTATAAATGGAAGGTAATTTCCAAGCGTTATCGATTCGTTGAGTAATAGTTCGGATCCCGGTAAAGAATTTGCATAGATATAGGTAGGTATGTAGCATGCAGATTCCGGTTGCGAGTATGTGTTTGGTAAATAGGAATTGCGGAGAGACGCATTTGAAATTTTCTCCGGATTTTCAGATAATTTTGATTTTCGATTAACGCGCGGGAAGTTGATGTGACAAGGGATCGGAATGAGGGTCGGACTAACCGAGACGTGTACGAAAAAGAACGGTTAATGTACTTTGCTAGAATTATTTTGTTACAGGTCCCTAAAAAACAACACTTCATAATTGGTAGGTCAATTCTTGGAAAATTTTCTCTCTGAAACCATTCTTCTTCTTCTTCTTCTTGTCATGCCTTATCCGTTTCGGATGTTGGCGATCATCATCGTTATTCGAACTTTATTGGCAGCACATCTGAATAGCTCGGTGGAGGTACCACCATACCTTTTACGAAGGTTTGCCAACCAGGAAATTCTCCTTTCCGGGCCTCTTTGTCGTCCATGATGTTATGTAATAGGCGATATTCATTTTCATTTCTCATGATGTGCCCAAAGTATTCAAATTTACGTTTTTTAATTGTGAGTAAGAGTTGTGGCTGGCATCTCATTCTGTTCAGGACTTCATTGTTGGTTGTGTGGTGTGAAGGTATCTTCAGGATTCTTCTGTAAATCTACATCTCAAAGGCATTTATTCGTTTCTCCATAGCCTCCGATATTGTCCAATTCTCCACTCCATACAGAAGCACTGGATAGATGTAGCAGTTTACTATTCGTTTTTTCAGCTCCAAATTGAGGTCTCTGTTGGTAGGTAGGTTTTTCATTGTAGCTTAGTTTCTTTCATTTCAGCTTAGTTTTTTTTAAGATAAACACTTCACATGAACCTAGGCGTTAAATGACTTAAACTTTTGAGCTCCAGGGTGATGCCTTTTTTTGCATTCGTATGATTCACCATACCTCATACTAACTGCAGTTAATTTCAAAAATTATGTGTGTGTCTTGAAATGTAAAACGTTTAATTTAATTAAATTTTAATGAACAAGAAAAGCGCAAGAGGTAACTTTTATACAGAAATGACTAGACTATCCAAAGAAAATATTCACCGGAAATAATGATTTACGAGTTTTTCTTCAAAAATTTTCGATTCAAATCTCCGATGGCCGCAACTGATAATATAGATATAAAGGTTGTCGTGTCTTTGAAAATACCATTTGATGCACAGAATGAATTTACTACATTTCAGAACGATAACATCTTTCTTAGATAATATTTAAAAAAAAATGAAAACTTGAAGTACCACGGTGTACCCCATAAGTCCCTTAAATTATTGAGACACCATCAAGCAAGACCCCGTACATGCGTTTCTAGGGGGACGTTCGAAAAACATGTGCGAACGCTCTGCTGGTTACATTTCGCTATTGAGATGCAGGGTGGAACAAATTCTAATTGTTAATGAAAGAAAATGAATGAATGAAAAAAAAAATCCAATAAGATAGTACTTTAAAAACAATACAAAACCCTTCTAATCAGATGATATACTTATCTAAATTGACTTGAATAAACAGCTGAACTGAATAATAGTCGCTTATTAAGAGCTTTGAATATATATACGTAATAACGTTTCATTCTTGTCTCGTTCATTTCATTTTTGCTACTCAGGAGAATACACGATTTTACTTTGGTCCTTTCTATTTAATCTGAATGTGTAAATTGGTGTTAACAGGAACTTTTTAACGTTATTGAAATTTATAAATACATTATTATTAGCGAATTTCACAGATAAAGCAAATATGTTTGATTGTTAGTGGCAAAAAATTTCACTAATAATGTCAGGCATAGGTAATTTCATCAGGTTAATAGTTGTCATCCATTTTCCAAAAATAAAAATGGATGGAAATCCGGAATGAAAGCGGACGGTTTTGATGTCAATCCAGCCAAGATATTGATCTGGCGAAATAGTCGTGTTGAATGTCACTGGAGTAACTTCGTTCCCAATTTATACAAGTTTGTTATTTTGTAGCAATTTCGCTGTTGGCATTTTTTTTAGAAATTTTTTATAACACTTTCTCTTTTATGACATTCCGACATTTCACGACGCCATTTTAGATTTTAAATTTTAACTAACTAGTAAAATTGCACACATTGCTACATAGTAAAATTGTTGTTCTATTTGCCACCACTGACCTTGCTTGCGAATATGATTCGCTGGTAAGCATATTAATGTATACAGTTTTTGTTGGATAATGTACATGTTAGCTGCATTTATAGTTCACTTAAGCAGTTTTTTTAAACAATTATTAATTTATTTTGCAAGTCTTTTCATATTTCTTTTTTATTATTCCGACATAGGCGTTTCAATATTTTAAGTATATTTTACAGTATTAAATATTCGACTTGGTACTGTCCAAAGATACCTTCTACATACATAATATACATTGAAAATATTGTAACACGGAAATAATACTTACTGCAAATAACCTCGGGATTTTTCTGATAACTATAATGTGATTAGACACGCAATTAGATAACGCTTTTTAAAATTTCGGTACCTATAAGGATAATTTTGTATTAATTTTTGGGTTTATTATCTTTCAAAGCACAATAAACCTTGAATAATGTGTCTAAAATCAGGATCCTTTATAAATCGTTTGACTTCTTTCATAAGCAGAGGATGGCCCGATAAAGGTTGTATTTACTAGAAAAAAAAATTACTTCCTGTTTGATTGGAAGTATTAAGTTCAATGTTTTAAATGATGCAACCTTGCACATTTTTTATGGAATGCTATTCTGCTTTTGCGAATGGCTTTTACCTAGGAAACACACTATAAAGTAAAAGAATACTAATCGAAATATTTTAAAAATAACTTAATAATAAGTAATGTCTGTTACGAATAAAAAACATGAACATTTAAAGTAGAATAAGAAGACCTTACAAATTCTATATTTAAAACTTCAAAGAAATAGAAAATAAAAATTAGAAAAACCATCGAACATGTTTTTCAAGTACTTAACGAAAACTGATCGCTAACTATCTAATTCTAGATCGCCCATTTCAATAATAATTCAGCATTTCGTGCGAAA